TTTTTTGGGGGGTTTTGGATTTTGGGTTGGGTGTTTGGAATTCAAGGACTTGATTCTGGGTTTGAATTTCTGTGGGGTGGGTGGCTGGGTGCTTTTGAATTTTTTGGATGTGAAGCACTGATTTTTTTTCCCCCTGAGTTTACGAAGGTAGGAGCTGTGCTGCCATGGGACCCAAGAAGACTGCTGCTGCAGAGGCCGGAGAGAGGAAGAAGGAGAAGGTGACGCTGGAAATGAAGAAGGAGATCATCCGGAAGCACGACGGTGGAATGCGTGTGACAGACCTCGCCAGGGAGTACGGCAGGAACCCATCGACCATCGGCACCATCCTGAAGATGAGGGAGAAGATCCTTGCGACTGATGCAGCCAAGGGAGTCACCAGGATCGTGAAGAACCGCCCAGCTGTTCTGGAGGAGGTCGAGAAGTTGCTGCTCATCTGGTTAGAAGAGAAGCAGCGTGCAGGGGACACAGTGACTGAGGCCGTCATTTGTGAGAAGGCCAAGGCCTTGCACGCAGACCTCGTCCGGGAACAGCCAGGAACCTCAGGCGAGCCAGAAGTCTTCAAGGCAAGCAGAGGTTGGTTTGACTGGTTCAAGGCAAGATCTGGAATCCACAGCGTGGTCAGGCATGGAGAGGCTGCCAGTTCTGATGTTCCTGCGGCTGAAGACTTTGCAGCGGAGTTCCTGGAGGTTGTGAAGACGGAGGGCCACGTTCCACAGCAGGTCTTCAACTGCGACGAGACCGGGCTGTTTTGGAAGAGGATGCCCAAAAGGACTTTCATCACACAGGAGGAGGCCAAGTTGCCTGGCCACAAGCCCATGAAGGACCGTCTGACCCTGCTCTTCTGTGCCAACGCAAGCGGCGACCTGAAGATCAAGCCCCTGCTGGTGTACCACTCGGAGAACCCACGGGCCTTCAAGAAACACAAGGTCGACAAGGAGCAGCTGAGTGTCATGTGGCGATCCAACAGTAAGGCTTGGGTCACACGTGTGCTGTTTGTGGACTGGGTCAATCTTGCTTTTGGCCCTGCTGTCAAACAGTACCTTCTGGACAACGACCTGCCGCTGAAGGCTTTGCTTCTGATGGACAATGCTCCTGCTCATCCTAAAGGCCTTGAGGAGGACTTGTTGGAGGAGTTCAGCTTCATCAGAATCATGTTCCTGCCGCCTAACACCACGCCACTGCTCCAGCCAATGGATCAGCAGGTCATCGCCAATTTCAAAAAACTCTACACCAAGGAGCTTTTCAGGCGATGCTTTGAGGTGACTGATTGCACCACCATCACCCTGCGGGAATTCTGGAAGGACCACTTCGACATCGTCACCTGCTTGAAGATGATCACCACGGCCTGGAATGGGATCAGCCAGAGAAATTTGAATTGCGCTTGGCGCAGCCTGTGGCCGGACTGTGTGGCACCAAGTGACTCTGATGCACCAGAGTCAACAGTGGTGCAGGACATTGTTGCCTTGGGGAGGACCATGGGCCTGGAGGTCACAGAGGAGGACGTCAGCAAGCTGGTGGAGGAGCATGACCACGAGCTGACCACCCAGGAGCTGGTCGAACTGCAGGCAGAGGCTGCGCAGGAGCAGGCCTCGCTGGAAGAGGAGGAAGCAACTGAGGAACGGCTGTCCTCCAAAGAACTGAGGGACATTTGCATGAAGTGGAAGGATGTGCAGGCTTTTGCACAGCGGCACCACCCTAACAAGCACGTGGCACATGACCTTGCGAACACTTTTGATACGACGGTCATGTCGCCTTTCAGGGAGGTGCTGAAAAGGCGGATGAAGCAGCAGACCATGGACAGGTTCTTCAGCAAGAAGCAAAGAGTGGAAGAGGAACCTTCTTCGAGTGGTCCCCCAGAGTCTTAGAAAATGTACTGTACACTTTGTTGATTTTTAAATGTTTTTCTGTCATGTTTAGAAACTTAATTAATTGTTCCTTCAATTTTTGAAATGCTCTTTACAGTATGTGTGACTTTAAAGAGTACTTAATAAACTCTTGTTGTACCAAATTTGGCTTTGTTTGGACTTTTTTTGACCATAGGAACACATTAATTGAATTTCAATGCATTCCTATGGGATTTCGTGCTTCGCAAGACGAAAAATTCGCTAGACGAAAAAACTCGCAGAACGAATTAATTTCGTCTTGCAAGGCACCACTGTAACTTACTTACTGAGGCCATACCTGCAACATACATTTAAAGCACTTTTGTCCTACTTTAAGAGTCATGGCTTCTCACAAAGAATCCTGGGCAGTGCGGTTCATTCATGGTGCTGAGGAGGTCTCCTGGAAACTCTCAGCACCCTTGACAAACTACAGTTCCCAGAATTCTTTGCAGGGAAGCCATGACAGTCATGAAATGTATGATGCAGATGTGGTCCAAGTGAAAACAGCATGGTGGTTGTGCAATCACTTAGCAAGGCGGTTGTTTGAGTGCTCAGGGTAGGCTAGCCATCTGTGCCATCCTCCTGACAAGTGGGCAAGAGGGTCAGTGGTTAGAGCAAAAGCATTTCGGCCTTCTCAGTAGTGGCACCTGCCCTGTGGAATGCCCTCCCAGCAGATGTCATGGCAATAAACAACTGTTTTACTTTTAAAAGACAACTGAAGGCGGCCCTGCTTAGGGAAGTTTTTTATGTCTGATGCTGTATTGTTTTTAATATACGTTTGGAAGCCGCCCAGAGTGGCTGGGGAAACCCAGCCAGATGGGCGGGATATAAATATTATTATTATTATTATTATTATTATTATTATTATTCTATGCAACAGTAAGGTCACCCCTTTTCCTTCATATTATAGTCTTTGGGAACAACAAACCCTTTGTTACCACACTGAGTTGTTGCAGAAGAAGATGACCTAGCACAATTTTGGAAAGTCGAAAGAGAAGTTATAAATGGAGTCTACAGCTGTGAAAAATTCTCCCTTTCATTCTGATGAAGCATCAGTTGGGATGCAGCCCAGGAGATCTTGCTATAACAATTTGAAGTGCTTGGAGAATTTGTTGTAACTGTTACACTCTCATATATATTTTTTAATCTGTATGTTCATTTGACACTCAGTCTTGTTTTGTATACCTGAAGGTACTTGCAGGATTGTAGAGTTAAGAGGAGATCTTATAGTCTAACCCTCCTGCTGAATGTAGGATTCAACTTTAGCATATGCCCAACTTCTACCTAAATGCCTGTTTAGGTAGGAGAGCATGGCCCAAGGCAATCTGTCCCACTGTTTAAAAAGCTTCTCCAATGTCCTTGCAATTTCCACCCATTAGTTTTAGACCTCTGGAATCAGAGGAGAACAAGCCTGACAGGCCCTTCAGGTATTTCAAGACACATGAACCCTCAAAGCCACTGTAGTCCACTCCTTACAGCATTGGGACCAACACGGTAGAAACACAACGTTGAAATCTCTATGTAGCCATAGATTTGGGTGATTTGCGGCCTGTTGCTACCCCTCAACTCAATCTATCTCAAAGGGCTGTTGTATGAATAAAATGGTGATGATGAAGGCCCTGCATGAAGGCAGAAGAAGAGACCATGGAAACCCTGGGCTTTTGGTCTTTGCCTGCATTTCTCAGCCATACCACACTGCCTTTGTGGTCCGTAACAAAGAAAGGGCACTGGACTTCGCAACCATGAAATGCAGCGGCTGTTTTGATCAGGAGGAGGGATGCCCAGAGCTGTGACTTGGAACTCCTACAAAGCAGGAGCAGCAGTGCAGAAAGATGCCACCACACATCTGACACCACTGTTGCACACCTGTGCAATGCAAGGGCAGGGCAAAGGTCCAGGGTTGTAAAGACTGTGGAGAGAATAATTGGGTGCACTCTTCCCACCTTGGATCAAATCTATGCTTCCAGGTGTCATAAGAAAGCTGCAGAGATAGTGCAGGATAGTGCGCACCCCAGAAATGATCTCTTTCAGCTTCTGCCTTTTGGAAGAAGGTACAGGGTTATAAAGACTAGGACTAGCTGCCTGAGAAACAGTTTCTATCCAAATGTGATTTTGGTTTTAAACACAGTGTAAGGTAGTCTCTATGGGAGTACAGTGGTACCTCGGGTTAAGAACTTCCGGAGGTCTGTTCTTAACCTGAAACTGTTCTTAACCTGAGGTACCACTTTAGCTAATGGGGCCTCCCGCTGCTGCTGCCGTGCCGCTGCCACCACACAATTTCTGTTCTCATCCTGAAGCAAAGTTCTTAACCCAAGGTACTATTTTTGGGTTAGTGGAGTCTGTAACCTGAAGCGTCTGTAACCTGAAGGATCTGTAACCCAAGGTACCACTGTATAGTGGTACCTCATCTGGGGTTGCCTGCCATTCCTCATGCTGCAGTCAGTCTCCTTGACCATAGGGAACCAACTCCTAGGGGCTGTGGTGCTTTGACCCCCACAACAAAATATTTGAGGGGGCTGGGCCCCACAAAGTTGATGGGCATTCCCATTCACTTTGTCATGTGATCGATTATGTAGGCTGGGCCCCCACAATATTTTATTCAAGTTGGCACCCCTTCCCTTGACATCTGATGGGAGGGTGTTCAACTGGGAGGCATGCAAATCTTACATGTTTCTTTATATAGGAAGATACATAAATATGGGAGAGAGTGAGTTCTGAGTATATATCAATTCAGGATTTGCATAACGGCCCTAGAATAATGATGGTGAAGCAAACTAGAGTCAAAGGATAAATTATCTTATAATCTTAGTTCATCCCCAATTCCCACTACCCCCTGAGGAGCCAGAAGCCACTAAATGCCCTTGAAAAACAGAAGGCAACAAATCAATCATTTGTCAGGCCAAACAATGGTTTTTATTTCATTTTCTCCGTGACATTTCAGCCATCAAAAAAATAAACTCTAACACATATGGATGGAAGACTTTCTACAAGTGTTACTAAGTGGGAATTTCTCTTTCGACTCCAGGATTTTGATTGGAGCATCTTTTTTTTTTTTTAATTAATTATCCAATAAGTTAGGAAGAAGCATGGGGGAGAGCTGGGGTGTTAAAGTGCTTTTCATTTCTGAGCTGGGATGAGGTCGTCAATACACTGGCCTTTCTCAAGGCGTTTCTCCATTTCAATCAGGAGCTTCACCCCATCAACCACCATCTGTACCAGCTCCACCTCAGAGAACCCAAGGCGGTCAGCGTTGGAGACATCAAACACGCCTCCCACCGCAGCCGTGTCCACTCCACCTGAGGAAAGCCAAACAGGAAAAGGGGATCAAATTGAGGATCATCTACTTGACCATAGGGAGCCAAGAACTCTGCATAAAACCCAAGTTGGCCCTGCAGATATTAATAATAATTTATTATTTGTACCCCGCGCCCATCTGACCGGCTTGTCCCAGCCACTCTGGGTGGCTTCCAACATACCGTATCTTTCCATGTATAAGACGACCCCTATTTTTTGAGCACAAAATTAATAAATAAATAATAGCAACATTCCTTGCATAAGACAATCCCCAATTTTAAACTTTAAAAAATGGGGGGAAATATAGTCTTATACAGGCATCCCCAAACTAAGGCCCGTGGGCCGGATAAGGCCTGAGGGACTCATTTATCCGGCCCACAGCGACCTGAGGTAATATTTCTGGGTTAGCGGAATCTGTAACCTGAAGCGTATGTAACCCGAGGTACCACTGTACAGGGCTGCCTTCAAATGTCTTCTAGAGGTTATCTAGTTCCTCATCTCCTTGACCATAGGGAGCCAACTGCCGAACTCTGATTTAAATATTTTATATTGTTTCTACTGTATGGGGTTTTTTTATGTACAATTGTTGTCAGCTGCTCTGATATTTATGAATTGTGGGATATATATATACAGTGGTACCTCGGGTTAAGAACTTAATTCGTTCCGGAGGTCCGTTCTTAACCTGGAACTTTTCTTAACCTGAAGCACCACTTTAGCTAAGTGGCCTTCTGCTGCCTCCGGAGCACCATTTCTGTTCTCATCCTGAAGCAAAGTTCTTAACCCGAGGTACTATTTCTGGGTTAGGGGAGTCTGTAACCTGAAGCGTATGTAACCCGAGGTACCACTGTATATATATATTCCTAAATAAGCAGGGCGCTCTCCTCTCCCAACAGTCTCTCCAGAAAGAAACCATCTTTAATGGTGATGAATGATAGGGAGACGCCAACGAGAATCGACAGATGATCTCTAGCCTCTTTCTCCTAATAAAAGTCAGGATCCTCAGTAATGGTTGTTTTAGTACCATAACCAGACCTGAAGCCAGACAGAAATGGGTCTGTTTTTAACTTTTTAATATTCTTTTTGTTATATGTTTTTATGTGTTGTTGTAACCCACTTTGATATTTTGATATATTAGCAGCACATAAAGGTTAGCCTGAAGGGATGAAAGATGTCCCCCACAGCCAGGCTAGTACAATAAAGCGAACAATGGGATCCAAATTTATGACTTATTTTATTGCACCGGAGGTTGTATTGCTGTGTTATTTCTAATTATTTTGACTTATGAGGCTGGCTTTGGGGTGGTCCTTCAAATAAGGAGATATAAATTCCAAAACACGAGTAGCATGCTGCGGCTCTAATAAATTTAGGAATACAGAGTCCATCTATGGCAGGCATGGCCAAACTTAGCCCTCCAGATGTTTTGGGACTACAATTCCCATCATCCCTGGCCACTGGTCCTGTTAACTAGGGATGATGGGAGTTGTAGTCCCAAAAACATCTGGAGGCCCAAGTTTGGCCGTGCCTGATCTATGCTTCCCTGCACCAAATCCTAAAACAGATTTTTCTCCACTACATTGGTCTTTAGGAATCAGCCTCTTAGGTTCACAGGATGCCATTTGCAAATGGCTATCTAACATCACATGTTTATCTCAATAACTAAGTGTTGTCTAGGGTTGCCATATGTCTGGGAAAACCAGGACATGCCCACTTTTTGGGAGCCAACATGCTCATCCAGGCAGATTATTTTTACATTTTAAAGTAAATGTCTGGGTTTGGGGGGTTCCTTAAATATTGGGGGGAGGCTGGAGGGGCACACATATGCTTTGGAGGGCGCTGTGCCCTGGAAGTGGAAGCACCACCATAGAGTGAGGCCATCATAGCAAATATCAGGTAGGAGCTGGGATCCTGGCTCTGCACACCGTGGCCCCTGCCAACCCGAGCCCGGGAAAGAGGTGCATGGGTGTGGCTACGACCCCATGCGCCCCTTTCTCGGGCTGGCAGCAGCTCAAGGTCTCCTATTTTTTGCCCTTCAAGATATGGCAACCCTAGTGTTATCCTGATGAATTTCAAAGGGTGCCCCAACTTGGCTGCACTGCCTAATAGGCACCACTGCTTGACTATATACTTTTTTTTAGCACTATCAAGAGCAGAAGTGGGTAAGGCCAGATGCAGCCTCCCTTCCACTGACTTGTCTGTCAACCAATGTTGCATTGCACCAGGCACTTTCAACTTCAAAGGTGCATGTCTGAATTCTTCCTTTCCATTGTTCTGCCCAGACGCTGAGGTCCAGAGCCAAGGGCCTTCAGGCGGTTCCTGCAAAGCTACAGGGAACCAGGCAGAGGGCCTTCTCGGTAGTGGCACCCGCCCTGTGGAACACCCTCCCACCAGATGTCAAAGAGATAAACAACTACCTGACATTTAGAAGACATCTGAAGGCAGCCCTGTTCAGGGAAGTTTTTAATGTGTGACATTTTGATGTATTTTAAATCTTTGTTGGAAGCCACCCAGAGTGGCTGGGGAAACCCAGGCAGATGGGCGGGCTACAAATAATAAATTATTATTATTATTATTATTATTATTATTATTATTATTAGAAATCAAACCATGGCTGGAAAGATTTCTGCGGAAAGCAGGAAGAGTGATGAACAGCAGGAAATGGCTACACTCAAGAGCTCCTGAGTAACATCAATCCCAGCAGGGCTCTCTTTTGGTGCTGAAGGCAAGCCCTGCTTGCAAAGGAATAATCAGGAATGGACTCCAAGGCTCCTTTGCAATCACAGCTTTGCCATATGTTCTCTGCTGCGGCTGAGGGTTTGCAGGCCAATTCAGCACCCTGGCAAGCATCATTTGCTTGAAGGTTCCCTGTGCCTGACCTAGAGCCTAACAGCTGGACCTGCAGGCTGGGCATAAACCTAAAGCAGCAAGAAGCTGCGTTATATATATATATATTTCCAAATATGGGACTACATACAAGGGAACAGCAGTACATGGAGCACTCGGTTTGCAAGCAGAAGGTTGCAGGTTTGATCCCAGGCATCTCCAGGTAGCTCAGGAAAAGAGTGCTGCCTGAAATCCTAGAGAGCAGCTGCCAGCCAGTGCATGTAATATGAAGCCAAATGAATCGGTTTTCTGACTTGATATAGAGCCACTTCCAATGTTTCGCTGCACCTGTGGTTTTCGCTGTTGCCTGGTTTCTACCGATTCGTACTGAGTGTTATAATTGGGCTATTATTGGGAAATAGTGGAAAACTAGTAAAATTTATTGGTGGGAGGAAACTGATAGAAAGCTTTGTCTTCTCCCAATGTTTGTGCTGAAGAACACCGCTCCTTTTGGGCACCTGGTGAAAAAGTGTCCGCTGCCCTGCCCTGATTGGTTTCCCTTATGGTTGTTAACACTGGATCACAGACTGAATTGAGGTGACCCAGTCCAGGGCTGTCAGTGGGGCAGGCGCCAACAGTGGGGTGCCTGCTTGCTTCTGAGAGGGAAGAGCTGAGGGCCTTCTCGGTAGTGGCACCCACCCTGTGGAATGCCCTCCCATCAGATGTCAAGGAAATAAACACCTATCTGATTTTCAGAAGACACCTGTACAGGGAGGTTAGCAATGTTTGAGGGCTTTTTTGTGTTTTAATATTTTGTTGGAAGCCACCCAGAGTGGCTGAAGCAACACAGTCAGGTGGGTGGCATATAAATAAAGTTATTGTCATCACCTTATCTTCCCCCTGTATGCTTAATCAGGGCTCTCCCCTGCTCTCAAAAAAACCCCTGCACACGATTCCCCAGCTCCAACTGCATGAAGTGGGTTCATCGCTTTGACCGTGTCTGGCTGCCCTCAGGGTTATATCAGGGCCATTCCAAAGTGCTGGATCTGGACTCTGGATCTGGAAGAGTCCGTGACCAGAAGGAGGAGGAGTATCAGGAAGCGTGGAATAAATTTACTGATTATTTAGTTAAATTTGTTAAGTTAAACTAACTGAAAATAGCTTGCAGATACTTAATGGGTTTAGGATTTTATTTATGTTAAATGATGAATTAATATGTTTAATTCCATAAGGTGAAGATCTAAGGATGTTAATGTTTAAGTTAAATTTCATAAAAATTGGGATTTGGAAAACCGTTAAAAGGACATGCAATGAAATTCAACCAAGGGGAAGCGAGGAAGTCACTTAACAAAGTTAATAACTCTAATTTTCAATAAAGTTATGATTTACGTTTGTTCGTCTTGTTTGTTTGTTTATAATATTGTGAAAACTAATAATTTTTTTGAAAAAACCAAAACAAAACCAAAGTGCTGGATCCGGCCACCAAATCAAGAGAACAGCCATACGCAGCCCTAATTTTCAAAGTTCGTTTTTTTAAATGCCTGCTGTGATCATTTCGCATATTTTGACGGCTTGGTCTGCGGGACAGCCGCAGTACCACTTGCTCTTGCCAAAAGAGCAAGGAGTAAATTTGATATAAAGCCCCAAGCCCAGGCTTTGGGTTCCTCACCTGTGCCCCGTTTCTGCAGCCTCAGCTTCTTGAGGATGTCGCCAAATTTCTCGTGCTTGCCAAGGTGGGGTAGCTTAATGTGCACTCCGGCACGGAGCCCGGTCCCGAGGTTGGATGGACAGGTCAAGATGTAGCCCAGGTGAGGGTTCCACATGAATTCGTAGTTTTTGGATTTGAAGAGGTTTTCAATCTAGGTGTGTCAGGGGTGGGGAAAAAGACAGGCCATTATGAAGAAACGCCTTCCTCTCTCAAGATTAAGGAGCTACAAGGCCCCTTCGTGGCTATAATTGCAGTGTGGTAAAATTCAGTCGGCTGCAGCAGTTAGAGTGTTGGGCTAGGGACCTGAGAGACCAGGGTTCAAATCCTCACTCAGCCAGGAAGCCAGCCACAGTCTCTCAACCTGACCGAATGAGCTGTGTAGTTGCAATGATAAAAGGAAGATGAAACCAGGAGCTTATGCAGTGGCTGGGCCCAAGCTCACCCAGTGAGCTTCATGCTAAGTGGGGCTTTGAACCCTGGTCTCCCAGGTCCTAGGACTCTAACCACTACACCACATGGCCTCACAGCCTTGAGGCTTAATGCAGTCCTTCAGGAGTATGTCCTCAAAAGGCAACAAAATGCCTCTTGCCTGCTAGGATGAAGAGATGGAAGACCATGAAAACTTCTGGCTTTGATACTGCAAACTGCACCTGTTTCCCTGCCAACTTTTGCAGCTGGCTCCATTCACCACAAGCGTGTGGCCCCTGGTAGGTTGATTGTGAAGGAAAGTGGCCCTCAGGCTGAGACAGGTTCCCCACTCAATATGTAGCTACTGCCTCACACTCGACTGACTCTTTTCTTAGAGGCAGTGACCAAATACCCAGATGATTAATGCAAGATTTGGAAACACAGAAGAGAAGCCTGCCCTCTTACCCCTTTCAGAGGGGTACACCTTAGGAACAGATTACAAAAGCCTACCACTACGGATGTGCCTTAGAGCATCTATTCGAGCCTACCAGGTTGCTGCGTACATGCAGGCAACCACAAAGAGCACCGTGTTTCCATCTGAAGAGGACAGCTTTAAGCAGGCAGGGTTGCTTGCATTCCAGTGCTCTCCAGAAATTTCAGAGACAGGCCTTCCCCCTGGGAGCACATGGCCAAGGTCAATTGCCCGAGACTTCTCATTCCTCTGGATACGAAGGTAAGAAGCACTCCAGCGCAGGCACAGGGGCTCTGTTGCCAGAACGCAGCTGCATTCTCTTCTCACTGCGCCACCACCTCTGCCTGAACTGGGAATTCGCAAAGCCACACTCTGCTGCGTTAAGTTTAGAGCCGACACTTAGGTCAGCACTTTTGAGCTCTGCGGAGAAGGTTGCACCACATCAAAGCACAAAAACACACACACACACACTCACAGGGAGGGAGGGAGGGAGGGAGGGAGGGAGGAGACTTCCACTTGCTTAGACACACACTTATATTTACCTGCGTTAGCCCAGTACAGAAGCGGGTGAAAACTTCCTTCATATTTCCACCTTTCTGCATAGAAATAACTCTAAGGTGATCTTCCTCATTGATCCACACAAGGAATGTCTTGTTGTCGTTGTGCCTGAAGGACACAAGGCAGGGACGGCGTTGAGAGCTATTCCTTTAACCTTTCCTTGAGCCATAGATCTAAGTTTAGCTAGCCACATTTTTAAACCTTGCTCCGTATGTAGTTGTAGCTTTCGAGATATCTTCCACAGACGCTTTCTGTGCCCACGGTGACTTTGCAGAAACCCACCCCCCTCTTAGATGGCCATCAAAACTACCCCAGGGTGTTTTGAGCTTTCTGCCTTCAACCAAATGTTACGCACACCACAGATTGACTGTTTTAGCTTTCAGCTGAACAAGAAAACCTTGGAAATGTAGGGATCCATCTGGTAAAGACATTTGGGTTTCTATAACAGCAACAAATCAGGGTCTTGCAGTGGGTAACACAATGCACTCAAATCCTGGAGATCTGAATTCGGATCCCAAGTAGGGAGCCCTGGCAAATCGCCATTTCTCAGCCTATTCTACTTCAGTTTGTTGGAAGGATAAAATGGGATTGGACCGAGATCCTGAGTTTGATCCCATTGGCAGGCGGATCCCACAACTGGAATTCTGCTAACTTATCATTCCCACCAGTAGAAGACAGTGCGGGGAAGCAACTATCAAGATCTCCCCTTGTCCCTAGAGTTTATTGTGTCCCCCCCCCCCAAAAAAAAACCCCTGCTCTAGAGATTTGGGGGCACAGCATGAGATGCAGCACAGGGAACTTTTGGGAAATTCTGCCAGTAGGAACATCTACTGGATCTTAGTTCCATCCATGAATGGAAGCCTAGTTAGGATCCAATCCATGGGGTGTTAGGGTTTGAAGGTGCCTTGCAAATAAACTCCTCCTCAATGATAATTTTCTTTATCTTTTTTCTTAATTCATTTCTTTTTTTTACTCCTTTAATATTTTTATCTCTAATTTTCCCCCCACTTTGTTTTTGCTGCTACTTTACTCTGTTTCTTTGTGTTGTTGTTTTGTTATTGTCTACTCAGTGTTAAACCACAGAGCCTAGGACTTGCTGATCAGAAGGTCGGCGGTTTGAATCCCCATGACGGGTGAGCTCCCGTTGCTCAGTCCCTGCTCCTGCCAACCTAGCAGTTTGAAAGCACGTCAAAGTGCAAGTAGATAAATAGGTACCACTCCGGCGGGAAGGTAAACGGCGTTTCCGTGAGCTGCTCTGGTTCGCCAGAAGCGGCTTAGTCATGCTCCTATTTACTGACCAGGGCTTGTTCCTCCTGTCTGTTGAAGACATGCAAGACCAGAATCTACCTACACATATTAGGTGCTGCCAGCCAAGACAATATTGGCACCCCCCATTTCTTTCCTTCCGTCATTTTTTCTAAGGGTTGCCTCTACTGGGCGTTACTCACCAGATGCCCCGGCCATCAGGCCAGTCGCGTGCCATTCCGGAGGCTAAGAGCAGAGGAGAGACCGGCTTGTCAAAGAGGAAGTGGTCATCAATGAGCTGCTGCTGTTCCGCATCCGTCATGTTTTTCAGAGCATAGTACCTCCCATTCAGGTCCCCTTCCAGGCTAGCCAAAGCTGGAAAAAGCAAGAGAGGCTTGCAGAATTACTGCTGGGGTTTTTTGGTGTGTGTTTTTACAGAAAACGAGTTAACACGTCACAATCTTTAAGGGAATGCAAACAACGTTCTTATTTTGATTATACATGTGCGCATCATAAAGGAAGCTAGGACTCGAACCAATGGCTTCAATTTACAAAAAAAGGGATCCCAACTAAACATCAGGAAGAACTTTCTGATAGTAAGAGCTGTTTGACAGCGGAACGGTCTCCCTCGGGAGGTTGCAGACTCTCCTTCCTTGGAGGTTTCTAAGCAGAGGTTGGATGGCCATCCGTTGTGAATGCTTTAGCTGAGATTCCTGCATTGCAGGGGGTTGGTCTAGATGACCCTTGGGTCCCAAAGCTAAGATTCGATTCGTGTGGCTCCCCTCCCCCATCCTGCAAACTGCTGTTTGTTGAAGGTGGTGATCATTGTAGCTCCGCTAAGGGTAAACTGCAATTCCGAGGATTCTCTGGGTGAAGTCATGTGCTTCAAATGCATGCCGCAGACATGATCTCAGCATACCAAGATGGCAGCAAATCCAAGCTTAGCATGGCAACTCAGGTGTGCTTATATATAATTTTTTAATTCTCTACCAGCTTAGCTGGCAATTTCCCCAGGGATGGGGGAAGGGAAAAAAAGGAATCCAAGCCCACTATTCTCAACCCTTTTGTTGCCCTATTAAGTTGTCGGATACCAAGGAGCAGCGCTTGCTTATCTGCGGCCAGGTATGCTTTTCCATACCTGGGAGGAGCTAAGGCTTATTATGCAAGCATGGGAAAGAACCCAGAACTCCTCCAGCTTCCTGCCACAGGTGTGGCTTGTCTGGCTGTGTGCTTGCCTTTATTGCACAATAAACTTCCTCTTCCACATTTCACCTTTTGGAGACAACAATGCTGTCCTTTTTGTCTTTTAAAGAGGTGCTATGGAACAGAGGTGCCAGCTTCCTAAATGCTGCCAAGAACCTAAACTGGGGGGGGGGGCACACCCAGAGAGGATTCAGTCCCAAGCGCCTTGTTTAACTGGAACTCGTATGTCATCTTATACAAGGCTTGAATGATTCATGCGTTTTGCATTCTTCCTTGTCCCACGTGATCAGGTTACGTTCAGGGCTACGGGCTAGAGTCTCTGCTCGCTGCTTTTTTTTTGCAGCATGCAAATGCCAGAACCTTTTACCTTCCACGGACAGCTTCTCGATAGCACGCCTCTCTCCTCGGCTGCAATGAGGCGGCAGGCAGAAGCCACGGATGCTCCTACCAGTTCGGACACGTGAGCTCAGGACGTAGTTGGGATCCAGGTCGTCGCCACCCTGCAAGATACAGGAAGGAACGTCTTAGAACCAACCCCGGCGCAACCGCAGGCGATTCATCAGGCTGTCCTGGCCAGCATTTAATGAGTGCAACCACCCGGGAATTAAAACACAAGTCATTCGGAGAAGCTTCTGCGCTGAAACTTTAATGGCCTGCCTCACAGCCATGCATTATAGATGGTGCAGATGCATTTCCCAGCCAGCAGATCACAAGTTCTCAGCTGCCACGATTATATATATATATATATAGTTGGAAGGGACCTTGATGATCATTCTAGTCCAACCCCCTGCAATGCAGGAATAAAGATGCAGTTGTCCCATGTGGGGATCGAACCTGCAACCTTGGTGTTACCAGACCATGCTCTAGCCAACTGAGCTATCCAGACGATGGTGCAGCCAGAACATTTCAAGCGCAGCCAGCATCTAGATCAGGGTTTCCCAAACTTGGGTCTCCAGCTGTTTGGGGACTGCAATTCCCATCATCCCCGACCACTGGGTCCTGCTAGCTAGGGATGATGGGAGCTGTAGTCCCACAACAGCTAGAAACCCCAGTTTGGGAAACCCTGATCTAAATTAAAAGCGCTGGTCCTAGAGTTCTGCAGAAAGCAGCATTTTGTCATCCACACGCAGAGAAGTGCAAAGTAATCCCTGAAGGGGAGAAGTCATAGTTACATGGCTCGTGTCTGTATTAACAGACAGGACTTTGGCCATAAATGGCAGACTTGCTAAAGAGAATGCTCTTGGGATTACTATATTAATAAGGCAGTTTGCTGCTATGATGATGATGATGATGATGATGATAATACACAAGATCTCAGGGTGGTTCACATGATAAAATACAAGTTTCAGTTCCATCGTTGGTATTGTTTGCACACCAACTGACAGAAATTCCAGGTTTTCAGATCTCTCCCAGCCCTACCTAGAGGTGCTGGGGATTCCACCTGGGGCCTTCTGCATTCCAGGCAGGTGTCCTGCCCCTGCTCCACAGCCCTCCCGATTGTTGGATGAGGTCAAGGAGGAAAAGTGGCAAGATTCAGTTTGTCCGTGAGACCAGGCCAACTAGCAATCCTGAGAAGCGGCTACAATTTAAATTGAATAAGCTCTGGCCACATCGACACCATCCCTTCCAAGCAAATTCATCCCACTTCAACAGCCACAGTTCCCCCGCTGCAACCTCAAGAACCCTTGGAATTGCCATTTATTACTCACAGAGTAACAATTCCCAGCACCTTGAACCAACTCCAGTTCCCTGGATTTGTTGGGGAAAGCCCTGACTGTTGAAGTGATATAAATGTATTTTTATATATATGAAGTGGTACATTTATATATGAAGTGGTACATTTATATTTTTATATACAGTGGTACCTCGGGTTACATACGCTTCAAGTTACAGATTCCGTTAACCCAGAAATATTGCTTCAGGTTAAGAACTTTGCTTCAGGATGAGAACAGAAATTGTACTCCGGCGGCGCGGCAGCAGCAGGAGGCCCCATTAGCTAAAGTGGTGCTTCAGGTTAAGAACAGTTTCAGGTTAAGTACAGACCTCCGGAATGAATTAAGTACTTAACCCGAGGTACCACTGTATATGGTGTGGATGGGACCATAGATTTAGTGTGCAGGTGTTTATGTGCACACACAGAACATTAAACAGGAAGGAAGTTACCTTCCAAACACACAGAAAGACTGCTTGCTGGTCAACTCCAGCCAGTAGCTCACTCAGGTTAGGACTTGGGGGCTGAGATCCCGGGCCCCACACAGCAGAATGAGACCCCCAGCACAGCAAGTCAAGCCTACCGCATTCAGAAGTAACACAGCTTACCAGAGGGGGGCCCCATAAGCTCATTACATCTAAAAGTCCAAGATTACCTAATGGCACCACTAAAACCAACAGCCATCAACGTGATCTAGGGCTCATTCAATCCCAGTATCCCCGGCTGTGTGAATGGATAGATCAGTGGTTCTCAGCATTGGTGTGGGGGAGGAAGATCCAAGGACAATCTATTATATTTTGGGAATGATTCCTGATCATACGTAGCCGCATTGTTTTATACTTCCTGGATGTCCTGTAACCATGTTATAAAATAGTTGTGTTCCGTGCCGTAAATCAAGCACTGCTAAGAGTTGTTCCTTTTCGTTTTCCAATAAAAAAATAATTGTGTGGCATGAACAAATTTTTCTTCTGAAAGAGTGGCCCAGAGAAAAAAGTCTGAGAACCACAGGTATAGAAAGATCTGTTTTCTCAGCCACATATAGCACTATCAGTTTTATGCAGACGATCAAAATATTGCTGGCTACTCTATTCCTTTCTTAGGAATTGTTCTTTCCAAACTTCCCACTGGGGTGAGTGGGGCACAGAGGGAGGAGGGGTTAACTTTGCAGAAGCAGCAGAGAAGCAAAGGGGAGAGTCTCATCCTGCTCCAATCTCATTCAGAGGCACCATATGCCTGCTTTAAGAGGAACATATCTCACCAGAATTGCTCCAAGAAGCAATAGCCACCAGGCAATCACAGTAAGCACCCATCTACAGATGGCGTTTGCCCCCCTACACACAACCAAGCCTAATAAATTCACATTATCTAGGTCTGCATATATGCCTAGACAGCCATTATTAGGGCTTTTTAATGGAAAGAATCACCTCTTTAAGAAATATGGGTTTAGATGGGTTTGGTGGCTGTGCTAACAAGCTCTTTGGGGGAGTTTATTACTTTCTCCCACCAGCCTTATGAGGAAGGGTTGAGGGAGTTGAGTATGTTGAGCCTAGAAAAGAGGGGATATGATTGCCATCTTCAAATATCTCAAGGGTTGTCATGTGGAAGAGGGAGCAAGCTTGTTTCCTCCTGCTCTAAGAAGGTAGGATTCAAACCAGTGGCTTCAAGTTTCAAGGAGATTCCAGCTAAGCACCAGGAAGAATTTTCTGGTGGCAAGAGCTCTTTGACAGTGGAACAGTCTCCCATTGGGAGGTGATGGACTCTCCTTCCTTGGAGGTTTGTAAGAAGGTTGGATGGACATCTGTCGTGGATGCTTTCGTTAAAATCCCTCCATTGCAGGAGGCTGGCCCCCGGTGTCCCTTCCCCAACTCTCCAAGTCTGAGTCTACTATTCTTCCAGCAGGAGCAGTCGTCCTAGTCAACCCATGCAAATATCAAGGTCAAACTAAGGATGCCTTCAAGGAAGCCTGTTTCGCTTTTGCAAGAGGCGGCGCCTAGGCAGGGTGTAACATTTGGCAAGTACCTATGATATTGTTCCAGGGCAAGGGAGCTTTTGCCTCCCCCCTCCAGATGTACTGAAGTCCTGTCAGCCCTGTAAGGTCAATTTAAAATGCAATTCCAACAAACCTAAAGTGGTTTTTCCTACCTGCAAGTTATCGGCATTCAGGTCCGTCTTGTGCTGGTCTGTAGGCTTGTAGCCTCCATGTCGGTCTTCAATAATGGGGTCAAAGAGTTCCTTATACACGTCGTAGCATTCCTCATCACCGGCTACACATCCTACTGTCATAATGTAGGGGTGCCCTACAGAGGTCAAGAAGCCAGAAAAGCCAACGTTTGGATGGTGCTCGAGTCTAGTTCCAAGATACCAACAGCTTCATGCACTCAAGTCATTAGGAAGAACAAAAACAGATTTTGCATGCCATTCACTTTATAAGGTATAAGTAAAGCATGTTTCGCTGTGGTGTAAAGGCCGAAGCCCAATTCAATCAATTTTGCAGTTTGCAGACTGCATCCGGAACACCAGTTTACAACAACAAAAATGCAATATTTTTAGAAAGCTAGTTTTAGCAAAGGTGCCTGGATAGCTGTCCCCATTCAACATTAAAGGTAAAGGGTAAAGGGACCCCTGACAGTTAGGTCCAGTCGCGGACGACTCTTATGAAATCCCGAAACTAGACTTGGACGGTCACAATTAACTGGTTTTTGTTCACTGATATTACAAAGGGTTTCTAGCTTTGGGGCACTGCCTAGTATTGAGAAAGAGCCTGGCAGATTACTGACAATGGGCAATTATCCATCGTCATTCATATTCTGAGTAGACCCATTGAAACTGAAGGACTAATTTCAATTGCATCTATTCCCCGTATGAATATAATCACCCAGTGGAAGGTTACAGCTTGGCAAGCCCCATAATGGCCTCTTCAAAGAGTCTGGCCACCATTTCTCATTTACAGGGCTTTGTATTTTCAGCATCAACATTAAAATTCTGACCCAGTTAATCAAGATTCTGAAGCTAGTACGCATGATGCAATTTGAGGGGGAGGGAGAACCGTCTTCCCACATAACTCTAGTTATTTTTTCTTTCCTTTTTGCACCATTTAATATTGCAGGAACAAGGAGTTATGAAGGGAAGAAACTTCACATTCAAACCTCTGGAATTTTATCAAGAGAATCCTTTGGCTTCTGAAGTTTCGGCAGAAACTGCAGTAAGGACTGCAAACATTTTCTCTCCATCAGCCAGCCAAGTTTCCCAGGAAACCAAGTTCTGCACCCAGTGCTAAATCCTGTGATTCACATAATCATGGCATACATTCTAGCTTCATGCTGTGTGTGTTTATGCTGTCTGGGGGGTGTGCAGTCCTTTAAGGAACTAGTTTCCAATGGAGCTAACCAAGATGTGTATTGCCTGGAACCAATATAGGACCATGAAGGCCAAAAAAACCTTGTTTGGAAATGTCACACTGCTTAGATGATGCAATCGCCATTATACAAAGGTGCACACAGTTCAGGAGCCTGTCCAGTTGTTAACACAGCCCTCAGGCAAATGTCTGGTACCTTGGGGGGGAGGGCGAGTTTTTAGGGGAAACCCAAAAGCACGAGAGCAACATTGCTCTCCTGCTGCCATTCCCCAGCAACCAATATTCAGAGGAGCTCCAGCTCTGATCCTGTACATATAGATATCGTGACTAGTAACCATGTTCCTGCCTTTTCCTAATCTCCTTTTAAAGCCATTAAGGTTAATGGCACAGGGCACTTTTTCCAAATTAGGAAGTGGGGGGTGGGGGGGAAGCAAGCCTTAAGAAACTCCATCACAAATTATGAGTTCAGCTCAGTTGCGTAACTTGTTTCATTGGAACCACACTTCTCGTAAAATTGCTGGAACATTTCCACAATCACAGCTACGGCTTCAGACACAAACACATACACAGGGGTCAATGCCAGCCTAAGCAAAAAGCCACCGGTCCAGAGAAGAATCTCAATCAAGGCTTTTTACCAGGATTATCAACCCCAGTCTGAATGACATCATCCACGGTGCAGCCGCTAGAGGTTACTTTTTCTCTCAGTTTCTGGTACAATTCCGGGGTTAGGACCTTGGCCATATGATTGTTGTGGACGCTCAGGTCTGGGTATTCCTCATCGGCAGGCAGCTTCTGGTTATTAAAGAGGGCCATTTTATCCTTGCTAGAGAGAGAGAATGTGTGACAAAAACAAAACAAACGCAAACACGGCAGCGTTAAGACAGACAGCGAAAAAGGTCACCAAGATCTGCTCCCCTTTAATTTGCCAAAGAAGTGCCACGGAAGACAACCAAGGAAGGGAAATTTTTTATATCTATAAAACAGCCTCAGTTTTAAGAACTTGGGTTAAAAAGAAAAATTCTTCTTGTGCAGCAGTTTGCATATTTAGCAGGGTATTTACATAGGGATTTGCTGGGAGACGGTGGAGGCCATTGCATGTAATGACCGGATTTATATTCCTTGAATAAAGCCACCTTTAAGGTTTTGGGTGGTCAAGGGCTTTTGCACCAATACGCAAGGCTTTTTAAAGTAGCCAGGCCTTTTGGAGGCTTCAAGGTTGAATCCCCTTCCAGATGCCATTTCAAAGCAGCACTTCCTCGTTAATGGAGGGAGAACAGATCCGGATCAAAGCAGGTGTCCATTTTTTTTTTACCTGGGTTGTCCACCCCAGTTTGAATCACATCATCCACGGTGCAGCCGCTAGCAGTCTTTTTGTCCCTCAGCTTGGCATACAATTCCAAGGTCAACACTTTAGCCATATGGTTGTTGTGGACACTCAGATCGGGATATTCATCCTCCGCAGAGTACTTGCACTTCAGGAGGTTGTGGCTGTTTGAGAATGGCATGGCTGGCACCTGACTGGCTAGGGGAGAAGGAGAAGAAGAAGAGAGCGTGTTGCCATCACCTCGCCTCTTCCCACAGGGCACTGGCTTAGCAGTCGCTCTCCGGAAGGAGGCTGGGCCACGGAGCAAGGTCACCTTGCCGCCTGCCCTACCTGCCCATTCAAACACCCTGCCTGCCTGGCACCTGCCCTCCTGGAGGAATGCCAGGGACTTGGCAAACATGGCTCAGTCCCGTCCCCCGTCCCCGGCTCCCTCTCCTGCTGGCACAGGTCGCCTCCAGGGCCAGCGCAAGAGAGGGGAAGCCGTCGCTAAGAGATTTGCCCAAGGTCAAGGCGCTGCATCGGTGGCAGCGCCAGGAATAGAAAACAAGCCGCCCAAGCGCTTCCTCCAGGAGCTTTTAAAGAGCTTGGCTACCGAGCGCCTCCCTTCCTTTCCTCGGTCCCAAGGGGTGACCTTCAAGGCCGGGGAGGAGGAGACTTCTTTTGCGGCGAGGCAGAAGAGGCGATCTCCTCGCTAGCAAAATTACGGGCGCACTAAAGGGTGCCTAGTTTCGCTTGCAGAGAGAGAGAGAGAGAGAGAGAGAGAGAGAGAGAGAGAGAGAGAGAGAGATCCAGGCTCCGGGGAGAGGCTTGCAAAGCGAGCGAGAGCAGCCCAGCCTCTTCTTGCGCCCCAGGCCCCGGCTCGCCTCTCTTTTGCAAGAGTAGAAAAGCCGGTCCGGGATGCGCAGCGTTTGGCGCACAGCAAGCCAGCAAGGCGGGAAAGGGGGCGAGGAAATCCGGCCGACGCTTCTCGGCCGCGCGCTAGGAAGCGCTTTGGCGAGGAGCAGGTGGCACGGACTGCCTGCTGCTGGTACATCTCGGAGGGCGCAGGGAAGCCGAGCGCCTCCCGCCCCTTGGAGCAAGCAGGCAGGCAGGGCGCGGGCTCGAGGCGCCCAGGGCGCACGGCCGCGCTCTCGCCGCCCCGCCCCGCCCCGCCCGCCGCGATGCAGCCGGCTCCTTCTGCCTTGCTCGAGGCTCGGGGGCAGCCCGGAGAACCGCGGATCAAGACCCGCGTTTTGGAGAGGGGCGGCTGGCTGGCTGCAGCTCGCAAGTCGGCAGCGCCACGGCTCGGGGGAGGAAGACGCGGCGAGCGCGCCCAGATTCCTGGGGCTTCTCCGCAGCGCCTGACTCTTTCTCTCTCTCCACTCTCAAGGGGGGCAGTTCTGCTCCGCAGAACCGATCCGGATATTTTCTAATATCCCCCTTTAAAAAAAAAGTCCTCATTCGCTACAAGGGCTCTCTTCTCCTCTCGATCGCTTAGCTCGGGAGGCAAATAATGGAAAATGAAACAGTCCCCATTATATAACGCATTCCTCTGCCTGCTTTGGAGACATCGGCGAGGGATGAATGGATGCGAACACCCTGCTAAATATCAGCTGAGCCGGACTGAGGCGTCCTACCAATACACCTGCAGCAGAAGAATTTTAATTTTTTTAAGCGAGGCATCCAATGTTTGAAGCATCTCTCTGTTTCCTGGTTATGGTGGACGCATTCCTAGCTCTGAGCTGCGTCCTCTCCCCCACCCTTAGAATAAAATCTAGCATCTTCGTTCCCTTCCAAGCCCAAGAAGCGTACAAACGCGCATTTTGGGGCAACCCCACCCCCAGCGGGGAAAAAAAGAAAGCTCTCTTTATCCGTATGCAATTTCTTGGCTGCTTTTCCCTAAAAAGGAAAACAACAGCCGCCGCCGCCGCCACCCGATCTCCTTTTTCTCCCAGCCTGCATCTCTAACCGGAGTCTCATTCCATTGCTAAAGAGGACCGCAGTTGCTGCTGCTCCGCCTCGTCTCCAAAAACTTACCGAGGGCTTCAAAGACGAGAAAAGGCAAAGCGCTTGTTCCCTTTGCCTCTTACAACCCTACAGCTCTCCCAGAAAGACCTGCCGGGAATGGAACCTGGCCCCCACCTTCCCATCACTTTTATAGATACCCAGAGCACGCTGCCTATTGGCTAGTATTTATATTCCATTCATTCCATTGGATCCCGGCTCTCGAGGAGGGGTGAGCTCACTCCGTCTTTTCTTGCCTATTATCGCTCCCCAGTTTGCTGTCCAGCCTCCCCAGTCAGATTGGGGAGGCGCGCTAGGGGGGCGGGGGCGGGGAGCGGCGGAGGTTGAAAGAGAAAGTGATGGAGCCCCGGACTTTAAAACTCTCTGACAGGCTGAAGCAAAAGACCTTCAGAGCAAAGGAAAGTTCCTCGGGGACATGGGCTGAGGATATGGGATTCAGGCTGCAGTCCTATATACCCTTGACTTTGGAGGACCGCGTCCCCGTCCCCCGTCCCCCCCACCCGAGATACAGGGTGGGAAAAAAAGATGTAAATAAAGTTTAATGCATCATTGAGAGTAAGCCCATCTGGATGCAATGGGACTTGCATCTGAGTAAACTTGCAGCATCATTGGACGTCACAAATGTATTTTCTTAAAACTGATTAATATTCTGTTGTCAGGTACATTCCAGTTTGTGCCAAGGTTTTCAAATTCCTAGCTCTTTGGGGAAACGTGACGACATATATATTTTTAATGCACTGAAATACAAACAAGATCTGTCAGGGATCTGTTGCTGGCCAGACCTGAGAGTCATGTGAGCGATTTGCTGCCTTTCTCTGTAAACTTCACAGAAGTTACCGAGAATGCTCTCTGGGCTGCAAACCCGACTGCATTGTGCCTCTGCCTGGCATTTGCAGGCTAAGCCTGGGTAAGTCTACTTAGGAGTAAGTGCCACACCAATTTCGATAGGGCTTATGCCCAGGTCAGTCCTTAGGCATAGGACTGCAGCTTTTAAATCTACCAAAGAAAAGGGTTTTTTTATTACTATTTTGCAGTATGATTCAAAAGCTGGTTTAATTTTTTATTTGTTGCTGCTCATCACAGAATTGCGTGAGAAATGCAGAAATGCGTCTTATTTGTGTTCTCTTTCGGTTCTGGTGTGGTGTGTGAGCCGATGAGACATTTCCTGTGTCTATAAGGGTTTGGACAGAAAATGAAATTCCCCCAGATGCGGCGAGATGTGGTTGAGGACTCAGATCTTGAAGGGCAGAAAGAATTTCAGCAGGTGCAGCTGAGGCCTGGTCAGCAAATAATTTTTTAACAGGGGCCTTATTGGGAAAGGACTCTTTAAGACAAAAGGGTTTTTTAACCCCTTCCATTCCATGTGAAAAGCAACCTTCAGTAGGAATCTTCCTTTCTCTGCATCAACTGACAATATTTCTTTTGCAGCTTCTCCAACAGGAGAAGAGTTTGCATGTCCCTTTTCCCATGTGTGAGGCCTGGTCATAAGATGAGCCCTCCTGGACAATGTTCCATATATATTGAGAGGCTGTAAGGTGTAGTGGTTAGAGTGTTGGACTAGGACTTGGGAAACCAGGATTCTAAATCCCCATTCAGCCATATTGACCTTGGACCAGTGGCAGTCTCTCTGCTTGACCTACCTCACAGGGTCGTTGTGAGGATAAAATGGAGAGAGGGAGAACTATGTAGGTCACCTTGAGCTCCTTGGAGAAAAAGATGGGATATAAATGTAAGATAATTATTATTATTATTTTAATCTATCCCAGGATCCTGTTCCAGCCAGCTGCCTACAGGACATGAGCGTTTCAGCACTCCCAGCTCCACATCCCTTGTGTTGCCAGTCAACACATATAAGTGAAATGGAGGTATAAAAATGGGCTCAGGGCCGGTCCTACCATTGGGTGGAGTGAGGTGGGGCAAGGAGTGTCTACAAAGTTTTGGAAGGCAAACCTTTGTGTGCCTTGCGGCATTCCTTGTGTACGCAACCCCTCCCCAAGCTAGCCTGCTGCTCTGGACGCAGTCAATGAAAATGTCCCGCTGCCAGTGTTGCAGTAAGATTCAATTTGACTTTTGTACATGGCATGAGAAACAGTGCCGCCTTGTCCCCCTCCACAGGCAACAAAATACTGCATCTCAGGCCAGCCCTGGGTACCTCTTCAAACTGCAAGTAGCGGCTCACATTTTCAAATTTCTTTTGTATGTGGGAAGAGAGCAGTGCAAGGAGAAAACTAGCACAACAGGAAGCAAGCTAGACTAGACCCAGTTTCTCACTGATGTGCTACTTTTTTTACTGCAGGGAGATGTGTTATTATTTAATAGGTGAAGGTGGTGTGTGTGTGTGTGTGTGTGTGTGTGTCTTTAAATGCCATGCCCACCTACAATCTTAAATTGACCACTCCCCTTCAGCCACCTTGGGATTCTACCACCTCACTCGGTTACATGCGTAGACCTGCTCTCCCAGTGAGCCACCAAGAGAATATTATAATGCTTTTGTGCAAGGGAAAGAAGCTGAGCTGCATACAAGCTAGGCTTTATTTAATAGCCACTTGGTCTGTGGGATCTTGGAAGAGAACAGGTTTATTTCTGCGCTGTGAAAAGCTCTACCTGCTAATTGCTCCAGATTAAGGCACAGCTACATGAGGCGGTTGAAAAGTTGGCAAGCCTATTTTCACAGGCTGGATTGAGCTCTGAGCAAGCTGCTCCCTTTTTCTAAGCTAGGGTCATAGAAGGGACCCTGGGGGTCATCTAGTCCAACCCCCTGCAATGCAGGAATATGCAGCTGTCCATTATGAGGATTGAACCTGCAACCTTGGCTCACTCTAACCAGATGTAAAGGATAGTAAAGAGCCTGGTTAGCCTAGTTAACAGAATGCTTCACCCTGGACTAGTGGCAATCAAATCCCTGTTCAGCCATGGAAGTCAGTGGGTAATCTTGGGCCAGGTGCTTTTTCGTGACTTAACCCACCTCACAGGGCCGTTGTGGGCAGTGCTTTTTCCTGAAGGTACTCAAAGGGTAGCCAGTGTCTGCACCTTTCCCCACCCGCAGTGTTAAAAGTGTGGCAATTACTATAACAACTTCATGGTGCGTATTAGCACCTTATTTTATTATTAACAACAACAACAACATTAGTTGTGGGGATAAAAGTTAGGGGGAAGAACTGTGTGTACCAACCGGAACTCCTTGGGGAAAATGTGAGATTTGAAATGTTGTCAAGGAACAGAAGCAATTGTGTAAAGAGGACATTTTTGCTTGTGTAATACTTTTTCTGCCAAAAGTTCCTCTACGACTGTTAAAGGCACAGCATCCCAGTCACCCTAAAATGCATCTTCTTTAAGCGTGATGGGAAACCACACCTGTCAACATTCTCACTTCTGCACAAATGTCAGGGCACTTCCAGACTGTGGCTACTGAGCAAGTGAGATGTGCATTCTGCAAACTCAGGTTGTGTAGTTTGCAGAGGATACGGTGCTGTTCCACAACAAACCCATTTCTAAAACCACCCAGACTTTTTGTGGTCAGAAAGATGCTCTGCGAAGTGTGGAGATAACAGTTGCCTGACGCTGTGTCATACAACTTCCCTGCAAATAGCTCAGAATGAGTGCTTAGTAAAACAGGTCAGCTGGGAGTGACCTTGAAAAGTGCAGAAGTTCTGTTGATAGCTCTCTCTCTCTCTCTCCAGTCTTGAGCTGTGATTTCCATCAGAGTTTCGGGGAAGGTGATACCAATTTGTATGAGAAAGCTAGTGATGGATCTGTGTATATGCTGCCTGCTGTAGGAGTGCCAATTTACTTCCAGTATGATCTGCTTGTATATTTGCAAATAAAACAAATATTATGACAATGCTGTAAGTTCCACTGCGATATATGTTCCTGGAACTTCCCATCATTTTGAGGAAGCGGGGAACATGTGCACAGGGTATTTTCTTTCTTTTTTTTCCAGATTTTTTTATTGGTTTTCACACTATTATAAACAAACAAACACATAAGACAAACAAACATAAATCATAGCCGTATTAAAAATTACACTTATTAACATTGTTAAGTGACTTCCTCGCATCCCCTTGGTTGAATTTCATTGCATATCCTTTTGACGGTTTTCCAAATCACAGTTCTTATAAAATTTAACTTAAACATTAACATCCTTAAATCTTCAGATTATGAAATTTAACATATTAATTCATCACTTAACATAAATAAAATCCTAAGCCAATTAAGTATCTGCAAGCTGTTTTCAGTTAATTTAACTTAGGGTATTTTCTTTCCTGATAAGAAATATGCCTCTTTAATAGTGGTGGAAGTTAGTTAGTTGCAGTTATATTCCACCTTTTTTTCTCCAAAGAGCTCAAGGTCTTGTCCATGATTCTTCATTCAAACCCTCACGACAACCCTGTGAGGTAGGTTAGGCTGACAGGCAGAATGACTGGCCCAAGGTCACCCAGCGAGCTTCATGATTCGGTAGGGATTTGGATGCTGGCCTGCCAAGTCCTAGCCTAACACTGTAACCACTATACCATGCTGCCATTGTTTTTTCAACAGGTGCAGCTTTCCCCAGAACTGCAGCTCATCTTGGTGAATTTTTGCCTGTTGTGCAATCATTTGGGACAGAGGTCCCCGGCTAGTGTATTTAATCTGATCCTGGATCTAGTCTCCTAGGTGAACTCCAACAGAAATTGTTTGTGCTCTGCCCATCTGGAGAATTTCATGTTTGAGAACCCTGCAAAGCTCCATTAACTTATATACGGCTATAAAGTGCTGAATGTTTGTGGAACTGGTTCCTTGGCCAAGATTTACACAGGGATATAACAATATGCTTTGTCAACAGTACCAATTAATCATTTCCTACCAGTTGCGTCTAATGTTACACGGAAACACAAGCCTAAGTCGGGTGAGATTGCAGATAAGTACGGCTGCAAGACTTCAGCAGAATCAGGCCCAACAGCTTCCTGTTACTCCAGGCCTGGTTTTCAGAAGTGAAATCAAATTGCACACAGTGTTTTTAGTCTGGTTACTTTATTTCAAAGGGACTTTCAGGTCTGTAGGGGCTCCTGTTTTCACTCTTTAAAAGAGTTTTGGTTTTTTTAAAGCACTGATAGTTTTGCTTGGTAGTAAAGGTAAAGGGTAAAGGGACCCCTGACCATTAGGTCCAGTCGCGACCGACTCTGGGGTTGTGGTGCTCATCTCGCTTTATTGGCCGAGGGAGCCGGCGTACAGCTTCTGGGTCATGTGGCCAGCATGACTAAGCTGCTTCCGGCGAACCAGAGCAGCACACGGAAACGCCGTTTACCTTCCCGCTGGAGTGGTACCTATTTATCTACTTGCACTTTGACGTGCTGTTGAACTGCTAGGTTGGCAGGAGCAGGGACCAAGCAACGGGAGCTCACCCCGTCGCGGGGATTCGAACCACCGACCTTCTGATTGGCAAGTCCTAGGCTCTGTGGTTTAGACCACAGCGCCACCCATGTCCCTTTTGCCTGGTAGTTTTCATATTAAAACAGTGATCTGTGATCAATCTGATGATAAAATGACACAGGAAAGGATGGCGATGGTGATAATAATTCCTCTTTGCTTCCTATTCCTTTTTCATTTTACATCGTGACTTTTTAGATGGCAAGGCTAGGTTGACTGAATCCATGAACAAATCAGTGAATGGGATTAGTGAGGCTGTATGGAGCTATAATGTTGATACTGCTATCATAAGATACACAGCTCTTCTTTACCACCACCCCATTCTGAGGAGCTAGGAGAAAGCCATATATTTTGGAATTGATTTGTGGAATATTCGCCAACAAAGGTTGTCAGCTGCTGCTAACCGTATATCTGGAGGCATTAGCAAGAGATAAGGCTTATCTTGAGGACTGGAGAGAGCCAGGATCAAATCCCTCCTCAGCCACAGAGAGCTCCCCAGATGACTCTGGGCTGCTGCCTATCGCCACACTGAGAAGCATAGAGGAAGGAGAATATGGGAAAAAAGTGATTTTTAAGACATTGTCGTCTGAAAAGAATAATTGTGCTCACTGCTAAGGTATATTGGTTCTAAACCTAAGTACTAGCAGCCTATTCAAACCATGGTAGCTATCTTAATGCATACCACTGGAATCAGCTCTACCACACAGCTAATAAAAGGTATAAGAGGCCCATCTTGTTTTTAACCTGGCCACCCTAATTAAAGCCAAAACGAAATAATAACAGCTGAATGCTTAAACGCGCACCCTTTATATACCACTCGAAGTCTTGAAGCCTCATAGCCAGTGTTGCTCAGTGCCATTTTGGAAGGTTCAGTCGGCCATCTTTATTCAAAACAGCCTCCGACTGAGACAAAAACATCATGCAAAATCGACTTACGATATCTCTAGGGGTTTCCAAACAGACAAAACAACTTTCCAAATATATATGGTAGATAGATAAAACAACAGAAGTCCAACGCTAGGACTAAACGGCAGAGGCAGGACCATATGCGTTTGAATAGAAATTGCCGCCCCCTCCCTCCCCCATGAGGGTTGTAACCCTATTCTGTGGACAGGCGGAAATGTCAGAACTTTAGTCTTCCTTCGCACAGCCTTCCCCAACTGAGTGCCCTCTAGATGTCTTAGACAACAACTCCCAACAGCCCCAACCAGCTCAGCAAGTTGGGGAAGGTTGCCTTAGTGCAGGGGTCAGCACTGGGCCATGGGCTGGTCCACCGTCCTTCAGACCATGTGGTGGGCCGGACTATATTTTGGGAGAAAAAAATGAACGAATTCCTATGCCCCACAAATAACCCAGAGATGCATTTTAAATAAAAGCACACATTCTACTCGTGTAAAAACACGCTGATTCCCGGACCGTCCGCGGGCCGGATTGAGAAGGCGATTGGGCCGCATTTGGCCCACGGGCCTTAGGTTGCCTACCCCTTCCTTAGTGCATTTTTATGCTGATGGGAAAAGTTGCCATTCAGCCCCTTATACAGCAGTCAAAGGGAGGTTGGAGAACCTTTGGTCCCTCAAGAGGTTGCTAGACTCCACTTTTCATCATCTGGGGTGGGGGCACAGGTTCCCCACCCCCAAACGAAAGGAAGAGAAGCCTTTCCACTGAAATGTTTTTAAAGGTGTTAATCCCTCATCCAAATAACTGTGTACAAGAATTGCAATGTTTTTTAATGACTTCAGAGCAGGTTCCGATTTCTTCCCTCAATTCTTAGGCCGTAAAGGGGGAAGCTAAGCATCCCTGCTGTCTTCTTAGCACAGCTCCAGCTGAGATAATTCCTCTTAATGCCAGACTTAGAGTTCCCAGTGGGTTATCTTAGGTTACATTTGGCTTATTCTAGAATAAAGCATCGCAAGCAAGACACCACCGTTGTCGTCGGGTGACCTCTCCATTTCTTGCTTTCATTTTGCCAGCCTTCATCCCCCACCCCAGCCAATGAGCTCACTTTGGTCTCGGATTCTAGATTGTTAACTTTTGTCCTGCAAATGCCTTTTCATGACTACTCAAAGCTATCTCTCCACTTTCCTTGCTTCGGTGTCCTTAGCACAAAATAATATTTTTGTGTTTTTATCCCGTAATCCATCCTGTGATCCTCGGATGAAGGGTGGTATATAAATTTAATAAATAATAATAATAAGAATAATATTAAATTATTGCCAGCACTTATATCCATGCAGGAAAAAGTTCATCACCTGCTCAATTTCTGGGTTTGAGGTTGCTGTTAAACTTACAGTTTATTTAATATAAATAACTTATTTATTATTTAGGGAAGCTTTTAATATCTGAAGGACTGTTGTATTTTAATATTTTGTTGGAAGCCACCCAGAGTGGCTGGGGAAACCCAGCCAGATGGGCAGGGTATAAATAATAAGTTATTGTTATTGTTATTACAGAGTCAGTGTGCAGAAAATCACAAGGATATACCGTATTTTTCGCTCTATAAGACACACTTTTCCCCTCCTAAAAAGTAAAGGGAAATGTGTGTGCGTCTTATGGAGCGAATGCAGGCTGCGCAGCTATCCCAGAAGCCAGAACAGCAAGAGGGATCGCTGCTTTCACTGCGCAGTGATCCCTCTTGCTGTTCTGGCTTCTGGGATTCAGAATATTTTTTTTCTTGTTTTCCTCCTCCAAAAACTAGGTGCGTCTTATGGTCTGGTGCACCTTATAGAGCGAAAAATACGGTACTTGTTCCAAGCAGTAGCAATGTTATGTTTTACAGTGACACGTGAAACAAGCAGCCACAGAGAGCTACAATAATCCAAGGCCTACCCTCAAAACTCCACTTGCCAGGACTGCTGCTGAGCCCAAGCCACACCAGGGACTAGCAACTTGCAAAATAAACACAAATAGTTCATATTTGCTTATTCGTTTGCTTGTTTACATACCACCCTTCATCCAAGGATCACAGTTAAAGCTGCCTGGCATGTAGGGGTGGCTGTGGTTTTCTTACTGGATTATCTGTGGGTTGGGGGAAATCCAAATGAGGGGGGGCGGGTGCAAGCTGTCATTTTACAGATTCATAGAATTGTACATTTGGAAGGGACCACAAGGGCTATCTAGTCCAACCCCCTGCAATGCAGGAATCCTTTTGGCTTGAGCCCATGACTCAATGAGATTAAGAGTCTCACGCTCTCCTGTCAACAACATTGGGTGGATCCTGCAAAAGAGCGAGAGAAGCAGTTTCAAATCCGCATTAAACTTCAGTGTGGACAGGCCCTTAGCTTAATTTCTGACTTACAGCTGTTAGGCAGAGTGTCCTACTAGCTAATAGGGACGTGGGTGGCGCTGTGGGTAAAACCTCAGCGCCTAGGACTTGCTGATCGCATGGTCGGCGGTTCGAATCCCCGCGGCGGGGTGCGCTCCTATCGTTCGGTCCCAGTGCCTGCCAACCTAGCAGTTCGAAAGCACTCCCGGGTGCAAGTAGATAAATAGGTACCGCTGTATAGCGGGAAGGTAAACGGCGTTTCCGTGTGCTGCTCTGGTGCCGGTTCGCCGGAGAAGCTTTGTCACGCTGGCCACATGACCCGGAAGTGTCTGCGGACAGCGCTGGCTCCCAGCCTCTAGAGTAAGATGAGCGCACAACCCTAGAGTCTGTCAAGACTGGCCCGTATGGGCAGGGGTACCTTTACCTTTACCCTACTAGCTAACAGCCTATAGATATAGCAGCTGGCAGAGTTTTCCTGCCCTAGTATCTTAAAAGATGCTAAAGGTCCAGCTGTAACAAAAACCAGCCACCGTGCAGCATCTTCAAGGAACCTGTAGCTAGAGAATACCTGCCTGCTTTCTCTTTCATCAGCCTTTCCCAGCTTCCCCTGCGGGTTAATTATCATTGTTGTGCATTAGAGTTCTGTGTTTCAAAAAACAAATAGATTTGGGGGGTTGGGCCTGGGAGCCTTGCTGAATTGGGACATTGCTTCCCCCCCACAAAAAAACTTCCCAGTGTGTTGATAACCGCTCTGGGATAGAAGGTGGCATTAGATATTTCCTCCACTGACCGTATAAGTATCTTGTTGAATTATACAGCAGATGGGTCTGAATTATAGAGCAGGAAGCATGTTTGCAATCAAATACGGAGCCCTCAGATAATTGCTCCAAAGATTTCTAATACGTAGATGGGGGAGAAGCAGAGAAGTTTCTCGGGGGCTGTGCTATTCATTTTCCCCAGAGGCTTAATTATAAATGTTATGTAGTGTGTGCTGTAGGGAAATTGCTTACATCTCTGAAATGGTGCAGGAGAATCTAAGCACCCTATATCTCAGTGCAGTCCTAGATATGTCTACTCAGAAGTAAATTCCACTAGGGCTTTCTACCTAGCTTAAGTGTGTACAAGATTGCAATGTACCTAACGCCACTTTAGTTACAAAGAAGTGAGGTTTGCTACATATGTTGCAGTTCAGTTCTTTTGCATTTTGGGGGAAGGTTTGTAATTTTCACGTTGCAGCTATCTGAAGTAGGGAAGTTGTTCTTTACACTCCCCGCCCTCCCAAAAAAGGGGGAGAGAGAGGAATTGCACCCCATTGGGCGGAAAAGTCCTGCATTGCAGGAGGTTGGACTAAATGGCCCTTGTGGTCCCCATTAGCTGTATAATTCTATGGTCTTTATAATCACCCGATGCAATATTTAGATCCCGGAATCCGTGAACAAGCCCTCAGATGTCTAAACTAATCCTCCCCTCTGATACTGTGTCCTTTTGGTGACCTTACAGTCAAATTTTTTCAGACAAATTATTGCCTTGCACTCACATGTGAAAGAACAGACGCTGTTTTCCTGAATATGGAGATTATTATTTTTTAAAACCTCTAGGATTAGAAAATAACGTAATTAGAAGCAACTTTGTTCCCCGTGTTTCCTGGGGACTGTTAAAGCCCAAGGATGGGAGATGTTTCTCTCTGAACTTAAAGGGCAGTTTTCACTGGATTAACCTGTATTAGTTTATGAAATACTTGGCCCAATAAATATTATGAGGTTGCCTGCCCACAAAATGATGAAATCGTTTGCATCTGAGCATTTTCTGTGTTCTTCTAAAATTACAAATACTTCTAAAATATACCTTTGAGTGCTGTCAGAAACGTGAATTGCTCCTTTGTAGGCTTAACTAGTATATGGCCTGCTTCCTTTAAATAAATAAAAAAAAATCTGGCTCTGCTCTTATGCCTTTAACAGCAGTCTGACATACAGAAATTCAACAGGTGACGCTTTTCCTGGCTCGGAGAGAACATAATGGTAAAAGGTCCACTTGGTTGATTCCTGCATGTCTGGTAACTGTTAAAGTCCCAGAGCATACCCTCCAAAATAATAATAATAATAATAATAATAATAATAATAATAATATTTATACCCGGCCCATCTGACTGGGTTGCCCCAGCCTCTCTGGGTGGCTTCCAACACATAGAAAAACACAATAAAACATTAAACATTTTAAAAAAGCTTCCCTATACAGGGCTGCCTTCAAATGTCTTCCAAAGGCTGTACAGCTACTTATCTCCTTGGCTCAGGGGTTGCACAACTCCATACCTTCCAATATTTCTCTGATGAAAATAGAGATGTCGTAAGGAAAAGCAGGACATCCCAGGATCAAATCAGAAACCAAGGTATCTTCTGTAAATCCAGGACTGTCCCTGGAAATTAGAGACACTTGGGGAAGGGGGAGCAATGGTTGCCAACAGCAGCACCCAAGGGCTCAAGTATGTCAGCCAGTACCTTCTATGGCACCCATGAAAGTTGTCAATAAATATCCCCTCAAAAATCCTCAAGCCATGAGAATCTGTTTGCTCTTCCTGCTCAGTTCCTGTTTGCACTGATTCAGCCTTTCCTGCACTGAGAACCCAACTCCTTTAGTAGTAGTAGTAGTAGTAGTAGTAGTAGTAGTAGTAGTAGTAATGGGATTTTTATTAGGAATGCATTTGTTCCTCCTTTCCCACCTCCTGTACCCGCAAGGGCAATTTTCATTTTTAATGCAGCTGTTTTGTGCAATTGCAGATCAGCTCAAAAGAGCTTTTAAAAAAACTCAAAAACCTTCAGAAATAACCAGTGGGAAAAGGGCCGGCTGCATCCTTTCCTTTGGGCTGATGTCGGAGACAAAATGGAAGTAGGGTGTGTGTGACAATAGATGCCACCCAGTGACGTGTCACCACAGATATAAAAGAAAAAGCCACCCACACAATGCATTTCAGAGCATCCAGTATTGGGTAACAGGCAATTTTATATTGGGTTTTCTTCCACTGTCAGATCAGTAAAATCTGAATTTATTTGCAGGGGATGGGTGGGAGACAGCGTAGATTGCCGTATGGATAAGGATATGTGGGCACCCTGAAAACAAACAAATACAGTTCACACCAGCACCATTATGCTCCAGCTCGGACAAGCCCTGAGGGTTTGAGGTCTCTACCCACATGTGAGATTTAGCCTCTGGCAGCCAGTTGCCTAATTGTTTATAAGCTAAATCCCATCTAAGTAGTAAAAGCCAAGTGACACATTTAGATAGGAGTGCTGTGCCTGGGGGTGCAAGGCTTCAGTTCAAAGCTTGCTCTGAAACTTTGGCCAGGATGCTTTCTGGGAAGCAACCATGTGAGAAAAATGTATGTTGCAACATGTCCTTCAGTCCCTGGGATTTTTATTTTTATATTATTTTTTGTCTTCTTCAAATGGACTCATTCTCAGCCTGACTCAGTAGCTTCAAGAATTCCATCAGTATAATGGAATGATTGTGAAACGGGAAGTGAGATTCCTGCCCGCCCCCCTGCCATAGAGTGTGAGTGATTAAGCAAAGGGGAAGAAGAGTCAACTTGCATATTTCACTGCAGGCAGTGTGGAGTAGTGGTTAGACTTAGGACCAGTTTACCTACAAGATCCGTATAGTTCAAGCTATGGTTTTCCCAGTAGTGATGTATGGAAGTGAGAGCTGGACCACAAAGAAGGCTTGCTGATTGGAAGGTCGGTGGTTCGAATCCCTGCAATGGGGTGAGCTCCCGTTGCTCTATCCCAGCTCCTGCCAACCTAGCAGTTCAAAAGTACACCAATGCGAGTAGATAAATAGGTACCGCTGCAGCGGGAAGGTAAATGGCATTTTCATGCGCTCTGGCACTCGTCACGGTCCTCTGTGTGCCAGAAGTGGCTTAGTCATGCTGGCCACATGACCCAGAAAAACTGTCTGCGGACAAACGCTGGCTCCCTCGGCCTGTAAAGCGAGATGAGCAACCCCAGAGTCGTCTGTCAGGGGTCCTTTACCTTTATCTTTAAGCTACTGAAGGTAATGGGGCCCTTTATATGTCCAGCTGTCCTTTGTCAACAACAAATTGTTGCTGTTTTTTTGTGTTGAATGTATGCTATATGGTAATTTATGGGCCTAATAGGTATCTAAAGCCATTTGCACACAACAAAATATTATTATTATTATTATTATTATTATTATTATTATTAATTTATTTATACCCTGGGCTCAGGGCTGCTAACACCAGTAAAATTACAATAAAAACATAATGGGGGAGAGAGAGAAAAAAATTTAAAATACGGGTTAAAATACAATTTAAAGTAATTGTTGAACTGAAATACAGTTAACAGTGAAATACAATTAAGAAGTATTAATAGTGAAATAATTATTAAGCTCTAACTTAAAATGTTTATTTATTCATAACAAACATTTTGGAAATGTACATCCAGGTTCCCCCCCCCTTAATTTTTTTGGGGGTGGCCCTAAGATAGTGGGGCCTTAAGATATAGATTTGTTTAGTTGATACGTAAATCCTGCACTGTGTATATGCTATAAAGCCTTGCGCTCGCGCCTTCGCTTCGTCTGAGGAGGAAGCGAAGCCGCTCGCTGCCTTCCAACTGAGAACTAGGCAAGCTTTTCCCTGGCCGGGAGCCATCGAGGGCGGGGAAGCCGAGGAGCGTCAGCAGCCTGCGACAGCCCGAGAGAAGGGAGAAGAAAGCGGAAAGAGCGACAAGAAAAGAAAGGAGGGAGAGAGAAAAAAACCACCCCACGTGCGCGAATGAGTGAGGTTGTTTATCTGCTCTGATCCTATGCACCCTCCCCGCTTCCTTCTTCCTGTGCGCCCACGTGGGAAGCCGGCAAAGGTAAGGCTCTATAAATACTCCTGCTGAGATCCTAAAAGGAGCTGGTCGCTGGAAGATTCCGAGCAAAAGGAAAAGCGCTTTTTCCACCCCCCGTCCACTTCTTGGTTGGCTTTCAAAGGGGACCGGGCACATTTTCATGGAGGGTGAGGCATGCTTCCTGGCATGATGGCCATTCTGCCCTGCGCCTCTGCAGTTGGAGGAAGCAATACTCCAGAATACCAGTTGCTAGAAACCAGAGAAGGTTGCTCCTGTCCTGGGGTCCTGCTCGCTGGGGTTTTCCCCTCACACGCAGCGGTTCTCAACCTGTGGGTCCCCAGATGTTGCTGGACTACAACTCCCATCATCCCTGAGCTCTGGCCTTGCTAGCGAGGGGTGATGGGAGTTGTAGTTCAATAACATCTGGGGACCCACAGGTTGAAAAAGGCTCAAGTCTTTTGAGAACAGGATGCTAAACCAGATGGGCTACTACAAGCCTGTTTTCTTGTGGTGTTTGTGGAGGGAAAACAAACAAAAATTCTGAGTTAAGGGATTGCAAGCCCTTTGCACCCTTAGCCTGGGAGGTGATCCCTATTTGAAGGAAATGAGGCCTGGGAGAGGCTTCCTCCTGTGCTCAGGGTTGGCTGTTTGCACCGTGCATTTAAAGCGTGATGATTGCACTCTAAACAGGCCGGCCTGCCCCCAAAGAATTATGGGAGCTGTAGTTTGCATACCCTCCCACCATTTGTCCGACGAAAACAGGGACGTCCTGTTCCATCATCATCATAAGTTTAATATTTATACCCCACCCATCTGACTGGGATTCCCCACTAAAGCATAACTCCATTTTGTTGTTGTTTAGTCGTTTCCAACTCTTCATGACCCCATGGACCAGAGGACGCCAGGCACTCCTGTCTTCCACTGCCTCCCGCAGTTTGGTCAAACTCATGCTGGTAGCTTTGAGAACACTGTCCAACCATCTCGTCCTCTGTCATCCCCTTCTCCTTGTGCCCCTGATCTTTCCCAACATCAGGGTCTTTTCCAGGGAGTCTTCTCTTCTAATGAGGTGGCCAAAGTATTGGAGCCTCAGCTTCAGGATCTGTCCTTCCAGTTAGCACTCAGGGCTGATTTCCCTAAGAATGGATAGGTTTGATCTTCTTGGAGTCTATGGGTCTCTCAAGAGTCTCCTTCAGCACCATAATTCAAAAGCATCAATTCTTTGGCCATCAGCCTTCTTTATGGTCCAGCTCTCACTTCCATACATCACTACTGGGAAAACCATAGCTTTAACTATATGGACCTTTGTTGGCAAGGTGATGTCTCTGCTTTTTAAGATGCTGTCTAGGTTTGTCATTGCTTTTCTCCCAAGAAGCAGGCCAAAGACAACAGGCATATAACTCCATACCCTCCAACATTTCTCCAGTGAAAATAGGGACGTCCTAAGGAAAAGCGGGACATTCCAGGATCAGATCAGAAACCGGGATGGCTTGTGTAAGTCCGAGACTGTCCCTGGAAAATAGGGACACTTGAAGGGTCTGAGTTTGTTGTAGGCCCATGAGGAGGAGGGAACAAACAGCCTGGTACAATTGCCCTGGGCCTCAGAGGCCTAAGCCAGACAGGGACCCTGCCAGGGGTCTGCCAGACTTGAGCACCTTAAAGATTTTTGCTTTTCCACCCTCTTTACTGCAGTGCGGAGCTGTTACCTTTGGAAGAAAAGAAATGGGGGAAAAACCCCCAGCCCTGCACCCATTTCTTTTACAGCAGTCTCCAAAATCTAGTAGGCAAAGTGTTTTCTGCCACCTGTTTCCATGCATGGAAAAGCTTCACCTATATCTCTGTGATTCTGCTTCTCTTAATCATACAGGAGCAAAGCTGTTTTTTAAAAAAAGTATTTATGCAATTAACAATTCCAGCCCAAATGTTTCTTCTTGCCACCTGCTCGTCATTTTGTCCTCTCTTTTTTTGCATTTTTTCTTTTCCTCTCTTTAAAATCCCATTAGCCTGTAAATTGCAAATGGAAGTTAATCAAATCAGAAGGCAGGATCGCAGCACTTAATTAGCGTTTCGGAATTAACTGCACTTGCCTCTCAATTGCTTTCTAATAGCACAGTGTGTTGGGAGCACAGGATGGGAAAAAAGGATGGCGTCTCCCTCCTTATGATGCAAAGATCAAATTTGCATTGAATGTAATCTTATTAATTATTAGGCAGAGAACTGGATGCAGAGTGATATTTTGAGTGTTAAGTTCTCAGAATGCTTTTCTGAGCCTGTTCTTCAGAGCTTAACGTGGCCTTGAGAGTATCCTGTCTACTAATAATAAGCACATTCTCTAAACACCTATCCTTTGGTTTGCTAAAACTATACCATCCATGCATGAGAGGGAGGAATCAGCAGAGCTGGGTGAACTCCTGTGTTTTCAGGTCATGGAACAGGGCTTTGGGGAGGCAGAAAACCAAGGAGGGAGGGGAAAATGGAATGGAAAAGGGCCTGGCCAGCTGGCTGGCTAAAACCTTGGAGCAGCATTCCACATTGCAAAAAGCTGTTGCAGGTTCCACCTGTACAAGATCTAATGATAATGATACCGAGAGTGCAAAGGGATTTTCCTGAACACTTAATTGACAGCAGCTCTCATTGCATCTTGGAGTAGGTATCATGTTTTCTGGGTCATGCAAGCAAGAACCGAGTTGGGGCTTTCCAGACTTGGGTCTCCAGCTGTTTTTTGGACTACAACACCCATCATTCCTAGCTAGCAGGACCAGAGGTCAGGGATGATGGGAACTGTAGTCCAAAAACAGCTGGAGACCCAAGTCTGAAAAAGCCCTGAACTAAATGATGCATAAGGGACGCGGATGGCACTGTGGGTTAAACCACAGAGCCTAGGACTTGCTGATCAGAAGGTCAGCAGTTTGAATCCCTGCGACTGGGTGAGCTCCCGTTGCTCGGTCCCAGCTCCTGCCAACCTAGCAGTTCGAAAGCACGTCAAAGTGCAAGTAGATAAATAGGTACCGCTCCAGCGGGAAGTTAAACGGCGTTTCCTTGCGCTGCTCTGGTTCGCCAGAAGCGGCTTAGTCATGCTGGCCACATGACCCGGAAGCTGTACACCGGCTCCCTCGGCCAATAAAGCGAGATGAGCGCTGCAACCCCAGAGTTGTCCGCAACTGGACCTAATGGTCAAGGGTCCCTTTACCTTTAAGTGATGCATATTGGGGCAAAAAGAGCTGCTCCGTGGAGCTTGTGGGTTGGGATCGCGCTTCTGAAACCATCCGAGCGCGCCAGAGACGCCCCCACAGCCGGAGGTTGCCACCATGTCTGTGTCACACAGTTCCAAGCTGAACAAGGTGGTCAGGGACCAGTACATGAAGCTGCCCTTGGGGGACAAGGTGCTGGTCACATACATCTGGATCGATGGAACTGGCGAAGGCCTTCGCTGTAAAACCAGAACACTGAGCCAGGAACCAAAGACCATTGAAGATCTCCCAGAATGGAACTTTGACGGATCCAGCACAGGCCAGTCTGAAGGCTCCAACAGCGACATGTTCTTGATCCCCGTTAAGATATTCAGAGACCCTTTTACCCTTGACCCCAACAAGCTTGTCTTATGTGAGGTTCTGAAATACAACCGGAAGCGGGCAGAAACCAATCTGAGGAGCAGCTGCAAGATAATCATGGACATGGTCAAAGAGAGTCAGCCTTGGTTTGGGATGGAGCAAGAATACACTTTGCTGGGTGTCGATGGACACCCATATGGCTGGCCCAAGAATGGTTTCCCAGGCCCACAAGGACCTTATTATTGTGGCGTTGGGGCCGACAAGGTGTACGGGCGTGACATAGTGGAGACCCATTACAGGGCCTGCATTTATGCTGGTGTGGAGATCTGTGGCACCAATGCTGAAGTCATGCCTTCTCAGTGGGAATTCCAGGTGGGGCCTTGCGAAGGTATTGAGATGGGTGACCACTTGTGGATGGCGAGATACATTTTGCATCGGGTCTGCGAAGACTTTGGGGTCATCGCCACTTTGGATCCAAAACCAATAACCGGCAACTGGAATGGCGCTGGGTGCCACACCAATGTCAGCACGAAAGAAACAAGGCAGAAAGGGGGTATCAAGTTCATTGAAGCTGCCATAGACAAGCTGAGCAAACGCCACAAGTACCACATCCGCATGTATGACCCTCGCGGGGGCCAGGACAACTCCCGGAGGCTGACGGGCCAACATGAGACCTCCAACATCTTCGAGTTCTCGGCCGGCATTGCCAACCGTGGGGCCAGCATCAGGATCCCCCGCCAAGTTGGGCAGGATGGCTGCGGGTGCTTTGAGGACCGCCGCCCCTCTGCCAACTGCGACCCATATGCCGTTACGGAGGCCATTGTGAGGACTGTCCTCCTCAATGAGTCCGGGGACGAGCCCAAGGTTTACAGCAATGAGGAGCGGTTGCAGAGCGCGGCCACCAAAGACTAAGCCCCCATGGCCCCCTCACTCCCTAAAGTGTTGTCCCGTAGCAGTTAGTAAATGGCTGACATCTTTGGAACTCCTCGCATCGTGACATGTTGACTTACAGAACATATTTCTATATGTATACATATATATTTTTAGGAGAGAAAAATTATTTTCCTAGTGGGCTTAACGAGTTCCCTGGTGGTTGTTGTTGTTTAGATCATAATGTGGGCTTTTGAAGTAGGGGTGGGGAAAACATGTGGCCCTCCATTGGTTGTTGGACTCTCGTTCCCACCAGCCCCAAGCCAGCAGGGCAAGCGCTCCTGGATGATGGGAATTGTAGTCTAGCGGTATCTGAAGGGCCTGCAAGCTCCCGAACCTTGCTTTATGGTTGGGCTTGTTTCATTGTTTAAATTGACTTTGTTAAGTGGGAAGATCAAGTTTTGTATAAATTTGTACACTCCTCCCACCCTTTTTCTGTCTCCACTACAATGAAATAATAAAGTGCAAGATCTTAAAAAAAAAAAAAAAAAAAAAATATTGGGGCAAAAATAAATAAATCTTAACTTTACAGTTGACTACTGTGGGAACAGGTTGCTGGGCTCAACAAGCTTATGGCCTGATCCAACAGCGCTCCTCTTATAGGGTAGGCAGGTTCAATATATATTGTTGTTGTTGTTGGGAAATGATAGACGCTCCTTCCTTGGAGGTTTTTAAGCAGGGCCCGGATGGCCATCTGTCATGGATGCTTTAGCTGAGATTCCTGCATTGCAGGAGGCCAGACGATGACCCTTGGGTCCCTTCCAACTCTAAGATCCTATTATTATTATTATTCTATACCATCCTTCACCTGGTGATCACAAGGTGGCTTATAGGATAAATCTAAATGCATACGTAATAAATTTTTTTTTTTTAAAAAAGTAAGCACTGTCATTTGGATCAAGACATGCTGCGGGTCTGAAAGCTTGCGATATGCTTAGCAATGAGGTATTTTGTTAAGCCTGTGTTATAAATCCGTTAGTACTTGGAATGCTTACCTGTCCAGTACGTGTGTGTGTTGAGAAGGAGCTTCTCAGCCCTTCTAATCCACATTGTGGTTTATTTATATTCTGCCCCCTTAGAACTCATATCCCTGTTGGATGAGAGTTGAGTTGCTATGGTCCCTGTCCTTTCGAGATCTCTGTTCCTCTGGGATATATTTGAAGTCGCCCACTTAACTGCGAGCCTAGAAATCGGTTAACTCCTATTTCCTAGAGTGATAAATGAGGGGGGGGGGGGGAGAGAGACTGTGCTTTGAGCAGAACTGGTTGCCCAAGATTGCTGCTTGTGAGAACCGTGCCCATTCCTCATATTTGGAATCACAACTGCGATGAAGGGAGACTGGGATTTAATTAGGACTACAACCTGAAATAGCTTTTGGACTATCTCAGATTATCTATGCCTATCACCAGTAGACAGCCTGCTAAGCATTGTTATCTGCCATATTTAGACTCAAAATCTATCGCTATTATTTCAATTGTTATTATTTATTTCATTTATGAATCACTTCCCATTAAGAATACCAAAGTGATCTACAATACGCCAAAAGCCACATCTAGAATGGTGGTATATGTGAATGCAATTTAAAAATAAAAATAAGCAAAATACTGCAATAGCATGTATAAAATTCAATTCAGACCCAAAGCAGATAATAACTGGTGTGAAAAGAAAAGAAACTTCACTTAGAAGGCTAGTTATTATTATTTATTAGATTTATATACCGCTCTTCAATACAAGATCTTAGGGCGATTCACAGGATAAAATAAAAGGTAAAGACACAAGTAGATGGTTAACAACAACAAAACAACAACACCCTCCTTCTCACAAACACATTTAAAAGACTGTGGAATATTAATCAGCCAAAGACCTGGTAGAAAAGGAACGTTTCCACCTGGAGCCTAAAGACAGTGGTACAGTGGTACAGTGGTACCTCGGTTTACGAACAGTTCTGTTTAAGAACGATTCGGTTTACAAACTCCGCAAAATAGTTTCCTGGTTTGCGAACTATACCTCTGTCTAAGAACGGAATCTGAACGGTAGAAGGGCACCGGTGGCCGGAGGCCTCATTAGGGAAAGCGCACCTTGGTTTAAGGATGGTTTCGGTTTAAGAACGGACTTCCAGAACAGATTAAGTTCGTAAACCGAGGTACCACTGTATAATGAAGGCACCAGGCAGACCTCACTGGGGAGAGCATTCCACAAATGGTCAAAAGAGGGAAATCTTCAAGAGGCACCTGTCTGATTTATGGTGGGAGGGCGTTCCAAAGGGATGCCACACTAGAGGCCCGAAAGATTGTAAGGGGTTAGATTAGATGATCTTCATGGTCCCTTCTAATTCTACGATTCTTTGATTTCATGCGGAATTTACCTGATGATAGGACAGTATTTATAGGGTGATACTGTTGGAAAAACGCCCCCTCTGGGAAGGCTGCCAACTTCCCAGTTCAAACTTCTGGTTAGCTTTCTTCCATGGGACTAGAGTTTTTGCTCTGCCTTGGTCTGAGGAACAGTGTTGACTCTTCAGGTGTGGTTTTGTCTCTCCTGTGGACAAACCATGTACTTCACTCAAGACCTCAGTGTCTGAAACCTGGTTTGAGCTGCTAGCCACAGCTATATATGCAACAGCTGTGTTAGCAAACTCCCAAGAGTACCTCTTGGGTGGCAGTCCCTTTGTGACTCTCTCAGATCTACATATCCAGGGAAGCAAGAGGCATTATCTGATTTCAGGGACACGTTCCAGCCAGGCAAAAACTGATCAGGGTGCAAAACAGGAACAGAGAGCGGATGTGGCCCGGGGAAAGTTTTGAGGGCCGGATTCCCAGTCCTGGAAGGACGCATTTGCCCCCTGAGCCTTGCCACCTTCCAATGTATAAATCTTGGAGGAAAGAATAGGCACAGAGGGGGGGAAATAAGCAATCTGTGTGTTCCCTTCTTCCATAGCTCCAGCTAACCTGCCGGCCACAAGACTATCGCGATGAGTTTTATTGACTACAGAGAGACAATAAAGGAAGGGGACACGGCGATTGTCTTCTTGGGCCACGAGTCCATGTTTCCGGTGAAGGTGCAGCATGGCGGTAAAACCCAGACGAAGTATGGCGTCATCAGGCATTCCACCGACCTGATAGGCAAGCGGTATGGCTCCAAGGTGACCTGCAGCAAAGGAGGCTGGGTGTATATTCTTCACCCGACTCCCGAGCTGTGGACTCTGAACCTCCCCCACCGGACGCAGATCCTGTATTCGACGGACATCTCTCTCATCACCATGATGCTTGAGCTGAAGCCGGGGTCCGTTGTCTGTGAATCAGGTAATGGTTCTTGTTGCATGGCATTTGATAATGGCAATTGGGAATACTTTCTGGGGGGGTATTGTTATTACTATTTCCATTGCCTGGCCTTAAAATTACTCATTTTATTACTACTGTTTTCACTGGGGAAATTCCTTTTGCACGTATTGTTATTCCCGGTACTACTACTGTGTCTGTAGCACGGTTGTTACTTCTTATTCAAAAGGAATCATGGAGCTGGAAGAGACCTGGGGGGTCATGTCAGTCTGGCTTTTGAAAGGGGCTTTTCATTTTTGGGTGGGTGCAGGGACCTCACACACTTCAACGGGTGCATTTCTTCCTGTCCGGCTTGGAATCTAGTATGTTGCTATCTTGATCTTCATGGTTTGGGGGACACTCAAAGGAGCAGGACACCCAAATCCTTCTCCACCGCCTAAGCAGCCTCTCTTTGCCGCTGTGGTGGGCAGCGCAGCTGTGGGAAGATTGGGAAGACTGAACTAGCCGAGGAAAATAGCTGCCTTCCATCTCAATGTGCAAAAGGGTCCATTGAGCCGAGGTATCTCTGCATGTGTGCATTGCGGCGATCAGATGCCCTGTGCTGAAATTACGTCATAATAGTGCCATGGTATGGAATGAATGAATGAATACAGTAGTACCTCTGGATGTGAACGGGATCCGTTCCAGAGCCCCGTTCGCATCCTGAAGCGAACGCAACCTGCATCCACGCGTCTATGTGGGTCGCAGTTCGCCGCTTCCGCGCATGCGCCCGATGTAATTTTGAGCGTCTGCACATGCACGAGCGGCGAAACCCGGAAGTAACGCGCTCCGTTACTTCCAGGTCACCGTGGAGCGCAACCCGAAAATATTCATCCCGAAGCATATTTAACCTGAGGTATGACTGTAAATAAATAGCTGTGCTTAAGTTGATGTGGGTATGCATTTAATAGCATGTCTGGTCTTCAAGACTCAGGGCAATGGATTCTAAGAATAAGCACTGGAATAGCATTCAAATCAAATTCGTTGAAATTTTGCTGTTCTTTTGCAACTTGGCTTTTCAGCCCCCAAAGGCTTACAGGTGGGTCTTGCAGGTGCTCAGGGTTGGTCTTTGGCAGGCCCTCTGTGGGAGAGAATTCCACCCAGGGGAGGGTGGTCCCTGAGAACAGCCCTCCCCACACTCTCACTGCCCGATGTGCTCACGTCCCATGCACCATGATGTCAGAAAACAAGCCCATGACTCTCGAGCGAAAGCAGTATGGTTATGATTGCACAAGCTTTTGGCAGGCGTCTGGGCATGACAGTATCTTTCTTGGACGGCCGAAATGCCATCTGTCATCCTGTTTCCTTATTCAGCAGGATGTTTCTCCCCGCTTCCATGTGGGAAACTTGCACTGCCGGTAAACAGCTCCAAGGACTGAGTTGATGCTTTGAACTTTGCACTAGAAATTGCTAGGAGTCTTTCGGTCATGCTTGAGTCTTATTAGCCTCTCCAGGTAAGGCCCCACCTGCAACCTGTGTTTAAAGCAGCATTGGGCCACTTTAAATAGTCATGGTGTCCCTCCAGGAATCTTGGCAACTTTAGTTTAAGGGGGCTGGGAGTTGTTGGGAGGTCTACTGTTCCCCTCACAGAGCTTCAGTTCCCAGCATTCCTTGGGAAGAGGGGATGACTGCTCAACCATTCTGAGAATTTTAGAGGGGAATGGTGTGCCCTAGCAACTCTCATCACCCTTAACAAACTACAACCCCCAGAATTCTTTGGGGAAAACCATGGAAGAAACCTAAGATGGCAGGATACTGCTTTCAGTATATACTGCAGATGGAGCTTAAGTTTAGGGTTGGGAAATCCAAGATGGCAGCTTCAGTAGCACAGAGAGCCAGGCTAGACTGTACATTCGGGATTGTAAATAGGTGCTCTATTGGTAGGCCTGTGGCGTTGAAGAATCCTCTTGCACAGTACATTTAAAGCAGAATTATACACGTTAAACAATCATTAGCTTTATTAGAACAACAAAAATGATGTTGGTAGGGCTTGGCGATACCTGGTTTTCAACACCGCGATAAATCACCAGCTAAACATTGTGATGTACCGTTATATCACGATGTCTGAAATAAGGATGGAACTCTGTAGAGGCGAACACGTGTTGGCTTTCCTCAGCTCTCCAAAATGTGGCACTTGCAGGAGGTATCTCAAACTTATTACTCCAGCAGTTAGTGCCTTCAGCTCTTTCAACAGCTGCTGGATTTCTGCCTGATCCCCTACACTAGCTATAAAGAGCGGATAGCCAGATCCCATGGGTACTCGCTAGTTCCTGCAGGAAGCAAGAAGGAGCCACGGGCAGTCCGAGGAGGTGGTGAACTTTGGCAACCAATTCTTGTTGTATTATCTTTGCTTTGAAGATAGAGAAGCTGCCTTATACCGAGTCGAACCATTTGTCCCATCTGTTTTAGTGTTGTCTACACTGATTGGCAGGACGCGGGTGGCGCTGTGGGTTAAACCACAGAGCCTAGGGCTTGCCGATCAGAAGGTTGGCAGATCGAATCCCCGCGACGGGATGAGCTCCCGTTGCTCGGTCCCAGCTCCTGCCAAGCAGCATTGACTTTTCCAACTCCTTTGAGATTCTGTGATACAGCCCCGTTTGCAAGAAAGCAGTGCACTTGCCATTGGAGAGCAACATGCCTGTGGAGAGATTTTCATGCTCACACCTGTTCCCGTATCATTCAGTAGAACTTTGCATGTGAGTCAGGGCTCTACCCTTGCTGGGGGGCACCAGTTACGTGTGGGAAAACCTCATGTCTTTGGTTCATATGGTAATTCTTACTCAATGAGGAAACTCATCATGTGTGTGGCAATTCTCACCCTCTTAATTAACTGTGACCTTGTTTTCTTGATTCTTTAGGTTGCTTTAGGTAGGCTGGTGTTTGGTAGATGGGTCTGTCCTTTTGGGCAAGGGGTTAATCTGTGTTATCCTTCACCAGCCTGGTGTCCTCCAGATCTTCTGGACTTCAGCTCCCATCAGCCCCAGCTAGCATGGCCAGTGGTAAGAGATGATGGGAGTTGTAGTCTCAACAACATCTGAGGCTGGTCCAGAGTGCCTCTTGGTTGCTTCAACTCAGTGTTTCTGTAATACATCACAAAACATTAGGCTGAGTTAGCTCAGTGCGTAGAGCATGAGACTCTTAATCTCGTGGGTTTGAGTCCCACTTTGGGTGAGATCCTTGCATTGCAGGAATCTCAGCTAAAGCATCCATGACAGATGGCCATCCAACCTCTGCTTTAAAACCTCCATGGAAGGAGAGTCCACAGCCTCCCGAGGGAGATCATTCCACTGTTGAACAGCTCTTACTGTCAGAAAATTCTTTCTGATGTTGAGTTGGAATCTCCTTTCTTGTAATTTGAAGCCATTGGTTCGTGTCCTACCCTCAAAAGCAGGAGAAAACAAGTTTTCTCCATCTTCCATGTGACAGCCCTTCAGATATTTGAAGATGGCCATCATATCTCCTCTGTCGCCTCTTCTCCAGGCTAAAAATACTCAGCTCCTTCAACCTTTCCTCATAAGGTTTGGTTTCCAGACCCTTGATCATTTTGGTCGCCCTCCTCTGCACACCTTCCAGCTTGTCAATATCCTTCTTAAATAGTGGTGCCCAGAACTGGACACAGTACTCCAGGTGTGGTCTGACCAAGGCAGAATAGAGCAGTACTATTACTTCCCTTGATCTGGTTGCTATACTTCTGTTGATGCAGCCTAGAATTGCACTAGCTTTTTTCAGCTCTACGATTCTATGATTCTGTGTATGTCTGCAGTAGCACTGAGAATTGCTGGTGGTTTGCCATTTTGGAAATGAGGATGAGACTTTGGTCATCTATCTTCATAGCCTTCTTGCAAAATTATTTACTGGCCAGGTGCTTGATTGTTGTGAAATCTGTGGCTGTTCAGATGTTGCTGGACTTCCAGCTCCCATCAGGCCTAGCCAGCACAGCCAACGCTCAGGGAGGTGTGTGCTGGGACATATTTCCCCCATCTTTCTGCTAGGCCAAAGGTGAAGGAGAGATGTTTCGCGTTCCTGCTGTCGTTGAATGAAGCGATACTGCAAACGAGTTCCTGTGTGGTTGTGCAAGGAACTTGGGGCGTTGGAGTTGGCTTAATGCTGAAATTAATTGCCAACTTGATGGGCAGGATTTTTAATCTTATGCCGTCGAGTCTTGCATACATCGTGTTGGGTTTTTCTTTTTTTTTAAGTGGGTTACTGGCAGATGAGGTGAACGTATTGCTCCGACTTGTTTTGCATGCCTGCTTTTATGTTTCAAATCGTTTGACAGAACATATTGTCAAGCAGAGGTAGGCAGTTTGCTCTGTGAAAAGGACCACATTGAAATACAGACACACACACACACATGAGCCCTGTGGGCAATAACTCATTTACACATTTTCAGTAGGATGTAATATAATCCTCATAACATTTTGCATATGTGGAGGATGCCAAGTTACAACTGAAGGACGTGTTGCTGTCATCTTGTGCTGGCAAATTATCGGGCTGGTATTTTGTGCCGGCCAGGCTTTTAAGTTAAGCCCTTTGCAAATCTTGAGAGGGTGATAAATGTCATGGGTAGGATCCAGAAATGTAGGGAGAGGAGCTTCTGGCGGTGGCACTGTTCCTGATGAGCTGTTGTACAAGGGCTAGCGGAAGATGTGTGTGACATTGTACAAGAGTTTGTGTGAAACCTCGTGCTGGCTTCCATCTTGAGATCTTGCACAATAGGTTGTGTGTCACCTTGGACGGGGGGGTCAGATCCTGATGGGAGCAGCTCAGAAAGTTGGAGCTATGTAATGCTGGGGAGGTTCATATTGGGATGAGAGAAAGGGCTGCAGGAACCCAACAGATGTCTGAGCCTGGAGAGAGGACCAGAGGTTTGTGGGATGGAGAACTCTGTCCAGGGGAGGGATAAAGCAGGTGGACAAAGAGCGTTCTGCCCCCATGACACCAGACACTCCATGTCAGATTCCTCCTGATGAGGAACTGCCTGCAGCACTACCTACTATCGGTGTAGAGCCTCCTACAGAGGAACGTAACTTGGGATGAGCCTTGACTTGAGTCTACTGCAAGCAGCCTGGATGATGAGTCTTGACACCAGCATTGGCACGAAGAAACTTCACAGGCTCAGCCCACTCGAAGGAATGCTTGTTTACTCACCCCGTCCTAGGACTCCAGCTGCTATTAAGCGTTGTGCATGCCTCACTCTTCAAAGGGAAGGTGCATAGCCAATTATCAGAGATGATGGGAGCTGGAACACCAGGCGGGCCAGAGGTTCCTCACACCTGAATTTTAGGCTAAATCATGGTGTTTGAGCTACTTGTGGCTCCCAAGCAATTGATGTGTAGATCTTAAGCAGCTGGAAAATTGTCTCAGTAGTACGTAAAATTTTATTAAAATGGAGGACGGTAGATTAGAGAATGTGTGCTTTGTCTGTTAATTGCAGCATGAATAATCATTGCAAATTGCTGGAAGTGGCAGACAGAACCATTGAAAGCCAGTAGTTGTTTAAGATATGAGATACGATTTAGTTAAATTCCCTGAGATTAAAATTTCTTATAATAAGGCACTGTTTAATAAGAGAAACATGGCTTTAGTTGTTAGGTATTCTGCAGTGGAACATCCAGTTGAATGCAAAATGAAGTTTTTTTTTTAAAAAAATGGTATTGTTCTTCCTTGAATACATGGCAAATATTTATGCCCTTTTCTTCTTCTTTTTCTTTTTCTATCCCACTATAATTTTTTTTTAAAGCATCAGTATGAATTTATAAGTATATGTACACTCAGAATACTGAAATCTCCTTACCTGCAGCATACAAACGTAATATCTGCAACAAAACAGGAACACTGTATGAGAAGAGCCCTGCAGGATCAGGCCCGCATCAACGGGCCAACCAGATGCCTATGGGAAGCCCATGAGCAGATCATGAGTGCGACAGCCGCCTCCCTGCTTGAGTTTCATGGACTGGTTGGAGGAATGATGGGAGGAACCAGCTGGGGAACCCCCAAGGGAAGAAAACTCAGAGCCCGGGGATTGGTGGTGGGATGACAGTGAGTGGACAGAGGGAGGAGGAGCCACTGGTAGCCCTCTCCTCTGTGAAACCAGTTGCATGCTTTTGCTCAGAATGTAAGCCATGCCTCCTCCAGCAGCGGCTACGCTTCTCAGAGTGGCTTAACAACCAACCCCTCTTCAAAGAGAACCCTGGAAATTGTAGCTCTGGGAGGGGAAGAGGGGTCTTTCGTCAGCCAGGTGTCCTGGCTGGAGCTTTATTTACTTTTAGGCATGGGTAGGCAAACTAAGGCCCGGGGGCTGGATCCGGCCCAGTCGCCTTCTAAATCCGGCCAACAGACAGTCCGGGAATCAGCGTGTTTTTACATGAGTAGAATGTGTCCTTTTATTTAAAATGCATCTCTGGGTTATTTGTGGGGCCTGCCTGGTGTTTTTACGTGAGTAGAATGTGTCCTTTTATTTAAAATGCACCTCTGGGTTATTTGTGGGGCATAGGAATTCGTTCTTTTTCCCCCCCTTCAAAATATAGTCCAGCCCCCCACAAGGTCTGAGGGACAATGGACCGGCTCCCTGCTGAAAAAGTTTGCTGACCCCCAGGCATAGGGCTGGAGACAAGTAGCCAAACTTTTACTGCAGAGGTTATTTGCAGCCTTCTCCTGTTGCAGGTTCTGCTTTCCAATTGGATTCTCTTAGCCGCTTTTGTCTGTAGGTGGACCCTGGCTGACCTCCTTCCTTGCTTTTTCCTGCAACTGGCCTTCCCTCTGAATTTGCCCTAATCCATGTTTTCCGAGGCCTGCTAATGGGCTCGTTCTGTAAGGATCCACAAGGTCACAAAGGGTGATGCTTGATTCCCCCCCCCCGGCTAGAATCTGCAAAAATGATCACACCCCTTCCAACCTTCTCTATCCTCTCTGCTCTCCTGAAAACCAATACCGCTTCAAGTTAGTAGATATCTGGAATGCTTGGCTGTGTGTGTGTGTGCTTGTGAGTGTGTTTCTTGCTGAGCAGGTGGACATGGTAGGTGATGAGTCACCCTTTGCCGTTCCTGGAAACCAAGCCACAGCTCTGGATTCGGCCTTGAGAGTGCATAAGGCATTTATCTGCGAGCAGGTGGAATCCCCCCAGCTCCCGGTGCAAGTCGAACCACGAAGCCGAGCTACGGTAATGCAGTTTTGCTTGTGTGCAAGGATGTGGAATTATGATCAAATATTTGATCTGCTTTGCTGCAGCAAGAGCGCTGACGGTGGCTCTAGGCGGCCTGCGGACGGCATTTGTATGCATGGCTGATTCCCGAAGCAGAAACTGAGGCAGCTGAGGGCAGCTCTGAAGAGCGGCGGTGTGAAGTAACCTAGATTCTGCTCTCATTTGTACACCGAGCACATGCATGATTAATGCGCTCCAGTTGAGTGCAAGAGCAAACGACCTTTTTTTAAAAAGAGACTTTCAGCAGGGCAGCCTCGCAAGGGGCTGGGTTTCTTCCTGTCTCTTAGGAGCCTGGCATGCCAATAGCAGAGTGAAGAGAGATGGCTCTGGGATTTGGGGACACGCTTTTCATCCCATCACTTTTATTCGGGAGTTGGCAGGATATGGGGCAGAGAGTCGATGAATAACTGGCGTGCGAATAGAATAACGCCCTGGGTATAATTGGGAGCACCAGGCAGTGGCAGAGCTCAAGGAAGGGAATTCTTTGCAGAGAAGCAAATTTATAAACTGCTCACCTTATTATGAAATTTCAGAGCAGCATGCAGAAAGCACAACAGTAAATTATGCACTGAAAGCAGCACAGCTAAAATTCACGGTGCCGTCGCAAAAGATGGTCGGTGGACTATAGTTGAAAGTCTCATTCAGGAAACGCTTGGATAAATAAAACGGTCTCAAGCACATCTCTGAAATAGGAGGGGGGACAGACAGTGCCTGACCTCAGGGAGCTTTGTGGATGAGGTTCACCTTTGGCAGCTTTCTGCTCACCCAGGCCTTTTAAACAACTTGCCTTTCGTAGCCTGGGCCTCTCAGAATTCTAATTGTGTTTTCATTTTTTTAATAATAATAATAATAATAATAATAATAATAATAATAATAATTTGTTGTTTTTGTGGCTGGATAGCTCAGTTGATTAGAGCCTGGTGTTGATACAGTCAAGACTGAGGCTTCGATTCCTGTAAGGGTCAGCTGCATATTCTTGCTTTGCAGGGTTAGGGTTTCCCAAACTTGGGTCTGCAATTGCTTTGGGACTATGATTCCCATCATCCCTGACCACTGGTCCTACTAGCTAGGGATGATGGGAGTTGTAGTCCAAAAACAGCTAAAGCCCCAAGTTTGGGAAAACCCTGGGCTAGATGATTATTCCAACTCTGTGTTCTTTTTCAAGCGGGTTGCTGTTTTGCCTTCTGAGCCTGCTACAGAACTTTTCCTGCGGAGCTGCAACGTAAATGCAGGACATTAAATAATGAATAAGGCGTTTGAGTATCATTGCCTCTTCGTTGCAGAGGGCAGACCTGAGAGTGACTTGACTCTTCTCAGGCCCTCGAATGAGTTTATGGGAGAGGTGAGCTTTGAACTGAGGAGTTTCTGTTTCATGTTATATTCTTCCTCTGTCTCTACCAGGCACGATGTTGAGCAAGGAGGATTGGCTCATAGTGACCTCTATCCAGTCTAACTGGCTCAGAGTAGACCCATTAAACTCATTAATCGTGCCTGATTTCGGTTCCTTGATTTCAGTATGTCTTCTCTGAGTGGGACTAAGTTGGATTAAGACCTGTGGCTTCCTGTTGAGGTTAGTTTGACACCTCGGACCAAATGAAAGTCCCACAAGCACCTCCCTGGTGGTGGCAACAACAACAACAACAAATACATAAATGTTAAAAGTTAGTCATTTGCTGTCTTTTCCGCGACACTCAAAATTACCTGTCTGAGGTAGCCACCCCACTGCCTAGCCCTGGTCTCTCCCAGGAATCTCATAACTGCTGCTGCTCATAAGCTGGTGAGAATGTGAATCTTAAAATCACAGAATTGTAGAGTTGGAAGGGACCACGAGGGTCATCTAATGCAACCCTGTGCAGTGTTGAAATATTTTGCCGAACGTGGGGATTGAACCCAAAACCCTGAGATTAAGAGTCTCATACTCTACCCACTGAACTGTTCCATCTCTTAAGGAGGCAAAAGCCTAGGGCACCTGGTATTTCCAGGCGGTCTCCCATCCAAGTACTAGCCAGACTTAACCCTGCTTAGCTTCTGAGATCAGGCAGGTTCAGGGTAGCATGGTCTCTCTCTTTAGAGCTGGAAGCAGGTTGCAACTGTGAGGCCTCCTAGCCTGATGGCATATTCAGGACAGTATTATTCTGCTAGCTGGTGTGAGACTGGCTGGCTTTGTGTAGCCCTCACACCAAGCCTCGTTATCTCTGGTGCCTTTCAGGAATACTAATTTATACACGGTTGTGCACTTCAGATATTTTGTTCTCATAACAACGGGAACATTGGCAGGAACAATGGCAGATCTTGGGAGGCAGAGCTGTCTGAAAACGCCTGCCAGAAAAGAGCATTAGTGGCCTAAGTAGAGGAACTATGGGGTTGCATTCTGCATTCTCCGCATAGCAATTAGCAGCTAAGAACAATGAGGGCGTGAAGCCCACACGCGGCCTCAAGTGCTTTCATGTGGCTTCCAGACTTTTCCCATGCTCTCCATGAGCCTTGAGAATTTCACTCTGTTGCTGCTGCTCTTTTTCTCTTCGGGGCAAGTTCCTAGTCCACATGAGGACAAAGAACCGAAAGGAGCAGCGAAATTCAAATGTGTTGTGCTTGAAGATCCCACAGTAACATAGGCCATCTCATGCGTTCTCTCTCTCTGTCTCTCTCTCTCTCTCTTGCGACTAACTGTGCAAGAGGACATTTTCGCTCCAGCAGGTACCGTATTTTTCGCTCTATAACACGCACCAGACCATAAGTCACACCTAGTTTTTGGAGGAAGAAAACAAGAAAAAAAATATTCTGAATCCCAGAAGCCAGAACAGCAAGAGGGATCGCTGTGCAGTGAAAGCAGCGATCCCTCTTGCTGTTCTGGCTTCTGGGATAGCTGCGCAGCCTGCATTTGCTCCATAAGATGCACACACATTTCCTCTTACGTTTTAGGAGGGAAAAAGTGAGTTTTATAGAGCAAAAAATACGGTATATCTGGACCAAGGAGATGAGAAACCATTTCTGCAGCATGCCCTTTCTAGGCTGGTTTTAACATGCCATGGATTGTGTTATTTTTATTATTTATTTTGTCTTGTTATATTGTGATGTTATGTTGTAACCGCCCTCAGACCTTCAGGTATAAGGTGGTACAAATTGAATGAATGAATGATGATAATTTGTTAATAGGCAGTTTTGTTGTTGGTTGTACCTGGTTGCTGTATTTTTGTTGTTGTTGTTGTCCGTTGCCCCAAACCTGCAGTTTTACCTCAGGACTTCTTATTTTTCTCTTAGGGAGTTTCTCTGAGGCCATTGTTTTCCCCGCAAATAAGGTGGGCTACTCTGCCTTCCCTGACAGATAATTTAAAAAAATGGAAGTTCACTTTACAAATACATGCAAGGCTTGGTTAACCCATCTGCCCTGAGGCAGCTGGGCTGTTCAGGCTGACATGTGCCCTCCATCATCACCACCTGCCACCCCCACCCCACCCCCCACCCCCATGTTGAAGGGATGAGGAGACATTCACTTGCCAGCTTTGTGCACACAAATACACACACACAGCCTTGCATTTGTCAGAAGTGTGAGAGGGGTCTCCTAGGAACCTCGCCCCCTCAGTATGGGAGAGTGTCAATTTGAGCATCCTTAATATTCGGCACCATAAACTTCCCTAGCAGATATCCACTTATCTTGTCTAAAGAACCTCCGATGATTGAGGAGGCCAGAAGGGTTCATATCCATCTTAACTGGCTTATAGCACCCATCCAATGGTTTATTAAGATGAACTGCGTTGAACTGCTTGCCTAGCCATTGCCTGCTTGAAACGCCACTAGGTTGTTCTTTTTCTCATTTCGGATCAAAACTGGTTGGGGGGGGGGACATCAAATTATGCCTCAATAAATGGCAAGATAGAAACAGGTCAGATACTGTATGGACTGTGGCCAATGTCACGTGTACGCAGCTTCAGAAACCAGTGGTGGGATTGCACCGAATGTGGAGTAAATACAGAGAGTGTACATAGAAAACCTCACAGATTGCCTTACAATGTATGTCCCAACCAATTACTAGAATCATCTGGGGGAAGCACTATTAGTGGTCCCCCTTGGACCAGAAGCACAGCTCAGGCCAGCAAGGAGTTGTGCCTCCAGTGCAGTGGGCCTGTGGAACTCCCTCCCACAAGAAATCAGTCAGGCACTGTCCCTGCTAAGGATCAGACGCCAGGTTAAAACGGTTTTATTCCAGGAAGCTTTCTGCGCTGTTACTGAAACCCTGATGCTTTAACCTTTGATGTTGAAATTACGTTCTGAATTTTACACATTGTGTGTGTGTGTGTGTTTAATTGTAAGTTGCTTTAGGGCCCTGATGGTGACTTGTGGGGTATACATTTTAAAAACATGAATAAATGACGCTTCGCAGAGGCGCTACGTCTATCAATGGTTATTAGCTTTCGTAGGTAAATGGAGCATCCATAGTCTGAAGCAGTTTATCTCTGAGTGCAAGACACTGGGGACAGGCAGCAAGGCAGGGCTGTTGTGAGCTTCCCAGATGCTTCCAGCTGGTTGCAGAACTAGCCAGACCCTTGAGTCGAATCAGTGGGGCTCCTACAACAGTCCTTTCCTCCCCAAGCAAAATATATTTTCAAGTACATTTGGGTGTCGATTGAGCAAATTTCCTCCCTCTCTACCACATCTGCCTTGTTGGTAAGATCCACCATTCTTCCTGCCATTAAACAGCAACCACCACCAAATATCATCAGATTCCAGGCCTGGCATAAACCCAAGAGCCCAGGCGCTGAGCCAAAGCCAACTTTAATTGGGGGGGGGGAAGTTTCCTAGAAAGGGAAGGAGAACAGTCTTCTTCCCTGGTGGTTCAGGAGCAGGTTTTTAAAAGCCAGATAATTAAAAATGTAGAAGCAGAATATCGAGTGGGAAACCGAGAGAGACATTTGCCAAGCTGCCTCCTTTGCTTCTCCCCACCCCTGCCGTGTTGACATCCCTTCTGTTTGCCTCCGGAGATGAATGGGGAGGGACCTGGGGCGAGGGCAATGGTTAACCCTCTGGGGGGGCAGAAATCATTACACTCCCTGGGTTGCCCCAAATCCCCCACCCAGTCGTACAAGCGTGCCTTCTGGCTAGAGGCTTCACGCAGCTGTTGTCATGCAAAGCAATCGATGGGCAGGCCTGTTTGTCTGCGAAATTTAGCATGGGGCTTGCGGTTCCCCCAGAAGTAAATAGAGATGCTTTGAGGGTGGGGCATTGTGCTGTGGAGCACAGCAAGGCTCTCTAAAGAGCTCTTGGCAAGGGAGGAAGTGGGCTTGGGAGATAGGGTCGTGGAAAAGGGAGAGTTGGACCGGACCCCCGAGGGTCATCGAGTCCAACCCTACAATTCAAGAACCTCAGCAGGTGGTCATCTGACCTCTGTTTAAAAACCTCCTAGGAAAGAGAGTCCACAACCTCCCGAGGGAGACTGTTCTTACTGTCAGAAAGTTGTTGGAATCTCCTTTCTTGTAACTTGAAGCCATGGTTCGGGTAGGTAGCCGTGTTGGTCTGACGCAGTCGAAATAAATAAAAAAAAATTGTCCACTAGCACCTTAGAGACCAACTATGTTAGTTCTGGGTATGAGCTTTCGTGTGCATGCACACTTCTTCAGATGCACTGAAACAGAAGTCACCAGACCCTTATATATAGTGGGGGTGGGGTTTTCTCAGAAGGGTAGATGGGTGATTGACTCAGTGGGTGTGGTAAACCTGTTGACGACTGTTAACAAAAGCTTATACCCAGAACTAACTTAGTTGGTCTCTAAGTTGCTACTGGACATTTTTTTTATTTATTTGAAGCCATGGCTTTGGGTTGTAAGAAACAAAATCTGCCCTTATTCCCGTATGGGGGACACAAGAGCCCTTATAGATTCCAGAGAATATTGAGAAGCAAAGCAGCTAGTAAGCCTGATCTTTATTGAACTGTTGCAACAGGGTGCTCCCCTCACACGCAGGAGAGCGGAGGGGGACCCAGAACCCAGGTGTGCCCGCCCTTATATAGACATCTTAAATTCCCTGCCCTGGACCTTGAGACCAGCCCTCCATACATCATACATACATCACAGAAGGGGTGTAACCCAAGACCACCCCCCACAAACATCATACCTACGCCACAGAAAAGGTGGTCTACAACAGAAATTTGAATGTTGTTGTTCCTGTCTGCCAGGTTATCTGATAATGCCTTATCTGATTGCCTTTCCTGGTAGTCTGTCCATTCCTTTGAGATGGTGATTACCCACTTCCTGAGACAATGGGAAGGTTCCCTCACCCCCTCCCTCCTTGCAGAGAGACATTTGGTCAGTTTGGGAGTCAAAATGGTTTCAGGGTGGTCTTCCTGTGCTGCTCCAGACATGTGGTCCACTTATCTATGTACGTGCTTGGTTGGTACATTTATGAACATTTATTATATATATAAGCCCTTAATTTTTTTATTTCAGGGGCCTAGCCTCCAGAGCGGGGGCGGGGGAGGGGGACACACAAGCATGCTATAATTCCAAGAGACTCACAGCCAACTAGAAACCCATGTTTAGAATACAAAACCTAAGTGTGGAAGAAGCTGCATAATGAGTCTGCATTTGCACCTTGCATTTCAAGCACTACGATACCACTTTGAACAGTCATGGCTTCCCTCAAAGAATCATGGGAAGATAGTTTGTAGAGGGTGCTGAGAATTGTTAGGAGACCCCCTTATTCCCCTTCCCAGAACTACAGTTTCCAGGTTTCCCTGTGAAGAGGGACTGATTGATAACTTACTCTGGGATCCGTAGGTGCTGCCAAAAGGAGATATGGCTGGCATTCGGACCAAGAGCATGCCCTGCTCCACAAGATATAGGACATAACATACAATCTGAGGACTGGGAAAAGTTGTGGAAGGTAGATTTGAAATTTACAGATTGTTCCCTTTTGAAAGAAAATTATATGAAAATGATGTACAGATGGTATATCACACCAGTAAAAATGGCAAAAATGTATAAAACCGGGTCGAATACATGCTGGAAATGTAAAGAAAAAGAAGGTACTTTGTATCATGTGTGGTGGGAATGTAGAGAAGTTTAAAAATTTTGGGACATGGTATATAATGAATTGGGGGGGGGGGGGGAAATGTTCAAAATGACATTTGTAAAAAAAACAACAGATGCGTTTTTGTTAGGGATTTTAGGACAAGACCTGCCAAGGAAAACAAAGAACTTATTTATGTATGCTACTACAGCGCCAAAAGTCTTGTTAGCACAAGGATGGAAGAATAAGGAAACCCCAACGAAAGAACAATGGCAAGAAAAACTGATGAGTTATGTGGAGTTGGCAAAGTTAACACATGCATTGTGTGAGAAGGACAATCGTGACTTTAAGGAAGAATGGGAATTATTTACAAACTACTTAAAAAGACAACAAAAGGATTTGGACTCCTTAGCAGGTTTTGAATAAACATCCACAAATTTATTGGTAAAACATATGACAGATAAGGAGACGCGGGTGGCGATGTGGGTTAAACCACAGAGCCTAGGGCTTGCCGATCAGAAGCTCGGTAGTTCGAATCCCCGCAACAGGGTGAGCTCCCGTTGCTCGGTCCCTGCTCCTGCCAACCTAGCAGTTCGAAAGCACGTCAAAGTGCAAGTAGATAAATAGGTACCGCTCCGGCGGGAAAGTAAACGGCATTTCTGTGCGCTGCTCTGGTTCGCCAGAAGTGGCTTAGTCATGCTGGCCACATGACCTGGAAGTTGTACCTGGAGTTGGCCACGACTGGACCTAATGGTTAGGGGTCCCTTTACCTTTACCTATGACAGATAAGTCAATGATATATACAACTTTACAACATGCAGAGAATAATATGTATAAACAAATCAGAGAGGGGAGCTCAGGGAAGACTTTGGAGGGGGGGAGAGGGAGGGAAGGGGGGATGTAATTGGTTATATTGATTTATAATTTGATTTGTTAAATTTGCTCAATAATAAAAAAAGAGCATGCCTTGCTGCAACATTTTCACAGAGGGGAGGGCTATCAGTGGCTACTAGCCATGATGACTTTTGTAGCTATGCTCCTGTCTCCTCTGTCGCAGGCAGTACGCCTCTGAATGCAAGTATCTACAGTGGTACCTCTGGTTACGTACTTAATTCGTTCCGGAGGTCTGTTCTTAACCTGAAACTGTTCTTAACCTGAAGCACCACTTTAGCTAATGGGGGCCTCCCGCTGCCGCCGCACCGCCAGAGCATGATTTCTGTTCTCATCCTGAAGCAAAGTTCTTAGCCTGAAGCACTATTTCTGGGTTAGCGGAGTCTGTAACCTGAAGCGTATGTAACCCGAGGTACCACTGTATTGCACTCATGATTGTGGGCTTCCCATAGGCGTTTGGTTGGCCTCTGTGAGAACAGGATGCTGGGCTGATCCTTCAGATCACTTCTTACATTCCTATTTTGTTGCAGGTTTTCCTTGTATATGCTGCAAGTAGGAAGATTTCAGTATTCACTCCATATAGCGAGTTAGGCATATACATAAACGTATAAATTCATACTGACGCATTAAAAAACAAATAGTGGGAAAGTGAAAAAGGGAGCATAAATATTTTGCCCTGTATTCAAACAGCATGGTGTTTTTTTTAGAAAACATCATTTTGCATTCAACTGGCTGTTCCGCTGCAGGACACCTAACAACTAATGCCGTGTTTCTTTTTATTAACAGTGCCTAATTATAAGAAATTTTAATCCCGGGGAATTTTAACTAAATCGTATCCCATATCTTAAACAACTACCCGCTTTCAGTGGTTCTGTCTGCCACTTCCAGCGATTTGCAAAGATTATTCATGCTGCAATTAACAGACAAAGCGCACATTCTTTAATCTACCATCCGTACAATTTTTCATTTACTTAAGATCTAAATCATCTGTTGCTTGGGAGCCACAAGTAGCTCAAACCTCATGATTTAGCGCACAATCCAGGTGTGGGGAACGTCTGGCCCTCCTGATTTTACCACTCTCATCTTCCCTGATCATTGGCTATGCACCTTCCTTTGACGAGTGGGGCGGGCACAGCTAATTAGAGCATTGTGCACAACTCTGAACAACTCTCAGCTCCTTGAACAAACTGCAGCACCCAGGATTCCTAGGGGAAAGCCCCGTGGCTAGGATAGCTCAGTTGGTAGAGCCACAAGACTCTTAATCTCAGGGATGTGGGTTCAATCCCCATGTTGGGCAAAAGATTCCTGCATTGCTGGCAGTTGGACGAGATGAGCGTTGTGGTCCCTTCCAATTCTACAATTCTGTGATTCAAGTGGGCCACTAACTCTTCTGCCACAGCCTTTTCAGATCGCTTCCTTTTGCTACATCTGACCTTGCAGCGAACATGGTTTGTGGAACTGTTGATTCCCATGGCTATTGCATCTATTAGAAGTGAACCTGGATATTGCCCAATAGATATTGGGCAATAGGTATTGGTCATAATATAGACGTGGAAGCATGCAAGTGATTGTGGAATCTGGATATAAAATTTACAGCATGTTATGGTTTAAGAGAAAATTATATGAAAATGATATATTGATGGTATCTTACACCAAGTAAGTTGGCAAAAATGTATAAATCTAAATCAAATAAGTGTTGGAAATGTAAAGAGAAAGAAGGTTCTTTTAATCGTATGTGGTGGTCTTGTACAATGAGGGGGGAAAGTATTTGATCCCCTGCTAAATTTGCCCGTTTGCCCTCTGACGAAGAAATTACCAGACCATAATTTTAATGGTAGGTTTATTGTAGCTGTGAGAGACAGAATAACAACAAGAAGGTTAAAGCTTACTGGGAAATGATATATAATGAAATGAGAAGGATGTTTAAAATAACCTTTGTAAAAAAACCAACAACCCAGATGCTTTTCTTTTGGGAATTATAGGGACAGAACTACCTAAAATGTATAGAAGCTTAATCATGCATTCTACTACAGCAGCAAGAATGTTACTTGCCCCAAAATGGAAAGAAGCAGAAGTCCCAGCAAAGGAAGAATGGATACAAAAAGTTATGGAATATGCAAAAATGGCAAAACTTACCGGAAGAATAAGAACTCAAGATAACAAACTTTTTATAAAAGAATGGAAATGGTTTATCGAATATTTACAGATAAACTGTAAACAGATAAGAACACTGGCAGGATTATTATAATAACCTGCAGATTCATAAGGTTTTATACTTAAAGAAGATGAATAAATGAGCATATTAAGTTAATTTGGTTGTGCAGAAGATATCAAAAACAAATTTAAGGAACCACAGAAAGGGGGGGGGGGGAGGAAGTCAAGTTTTGAAATGTCAAAATGATTGTGAAATTAGTGAAGAAGTGAAGCACTGGATATGCTGCACAGTACACGACTAGGTGGCCGTGATCTGACTTCTTCAGGATCTTGTTGCAAATTCTTCTTCCATCTCTGTTCACTTATTATCTTCCAAACATACAAATTCCCTGCAAGCAAAAGTCTTGTTAGCTGCTGTGTAGCAGAAGGCGACCTCCCACTAGGCAGATGGGGGCAGAGACAGCCTCTCAGCTCTGTGCTTTTCTCCCCATTAGCAAAGTAGGTGATCAGAATCCTCTACTGTGGATGATATTAAATTGTTCAGATCCCTAGTCGTGGGGCAGTGTGGAATAGTGGTTAGAGGGTGGTATTTAGGAGCAGGGAGACCTGGTTTCGAATGCCTCTTTGGCCATGAACCCTTGCTAGATCCTCTTAACACAAGGGCATAAAGAAGGAATCCTTCTCTCGTAAGAAATGCTTTCTCAAAGGCTGAAATTCCTTCTTCCTTCTAGGTACTGGAAGTGGCTCCCTGTCTCATGCAATTATCAGGACAATTGCTCCAACCGGGCATCTGTATACAGTGGAGTTCCACCAGCAGAGAGCTGAGAAAGCCATTGAGGAGTTTGAAGAGCACAAGGTCGGCCATTTGGTGACGGTGAAGAACCAAGATGTCTGCAAAAATGGCTTTGGCATCACTCACCTTGCAGACGCCGTCTTCCTGGACATTCCGTCGCCGTGGGAAGCCATAGGGCACGCCAAATCCGTGCTAAAGCGTGAAGGTATGTTACCTGTTTTGTGGTTTATCCATCTGGGGTCTGAGATGGGCATGGGAAGTAGAGAATATGTAGCAACAGAGGCCTCCAAATTCCTCACTGGAAGAAATAATCCTCAAATGATATTATTGGAATACAGTGGTACCTCGGGTTAAGCACTTAATTCGTTCCAGAGGTCCGTTCTTAACCTGAAACTGTTCTTAACCTGAAGCACCACTTTAGCTAATGGGGCCTCCCACTGCCGCTGCACAATTTCTGTTCTCATCCTGAAGCAAAGTTCTTAACCCGAGGTACTATTTCTGGGTTAGCGGAGTCTGTAACCTGAAGCGTCTGTAACCTGAGGTACCACTGTATAAGATGTTAGCATGTGAAATACAGATTTTATTTTGCGGTCACGGACCAGCTATGCACTGTGAATGGGTTCACTTAAAAAAACAAAAAACCCTACCTTGAAAGGGGATGCAAATGCAAAATCTCTTTGGGAAGTTTTGGAACTCTGGGGGAAATGCGGGTGACTCAGAGTAGGCAGCGGCTAGGGAAGGGCCTGCGATTGTGGCCACCGCCTCTGTTTGGGCAAGGAAAGTAAAGGTCGTGACTAGGGCTGGGTGGTATCTGGTTTTCAGTATTGTGATATACCAGCCAAACATCTCAGTATAACAATATATCACGATGTCTGAAATAAGAATGGAACTATGCAGAGGCGAATCATAGGGCTGGCCAATACAGTGGTACCTTGGTTTAAGAACAGCTTAGTTTATGAACAACTTGGATTAAGAACGCTGCAAACCCAGAAGTAGGTGTTTTGGTTTGTGAACTTTGCCTTGGAAGCAGAACATGTTCCGCTTCCTGTTAAGTGTGTTCCATTTGTAAATTGAGTCCCCCGCTGCTATGAGAAAGCACTCCTTGGTTTAAGAACGCTTTGGTTAAAGAGCGGACTTCCGGAACGGATTAAGTTCGTAAACCAAGGTACTACTGTATCTGGTTTTCAACACTAACTAAACTTTTCAATATACTGATATATCACAATGCCTGAAATATGGATGGAGCTATGTAGAGGCATTGGTTTCACGGTTTTTCCTGCATTGTGATTTCTGCGTCACGCACGCACACACCATGATTCTCAATATATTGCCAGGTCAAAAAATATGAATCTGATATCACAATATGGACTTCAAACTGGTTTTGGATGATATATCAATATATCACCCAGCCCTAGTAGTGACCTGTGAGTTGTAGCACTTTTATACTTTTGTTCCTGCCAAGGAATAGCAGATGTGTTCCTTTTCCTGCCACAAAAACTGAGGTAGGTGGAAGTGTGTGAGAGAGAGCGACGGGCAGTGTTTGAACTCCCATTGTTCTAGGCGCATTTTGCAAGAGGGAATTTCATTAGCGCAAGCCGTTTTTGAACTCTGGGTGCAAATTTCAGATTGGGAGGGTAGACGGGGGGAAATAATGCATGCAAAGCTCTGTGAACACTTGAAAGTGATATCTACCTGCTCAATCTTTTATTTTATGTTATTGCCAGGCTGTGCATGGAGCAAAAATGGCAAAATAATAATAACTATTATTATTTCCTGCTTCTGTCTGTGTTTCTGCAAGGAATAATGTTGCTGTGTGGACAGGATCCTGACCTTTAAGCTCTGCAGCCCTTGTCTTGAAACGCTCGGCTTGTTGCTAAGATCCATTTAAATCTTTTTACTTAAAAGCAATTAAAAATAAGAGCTTCAGGTTTTGCAGCAAGAGGCAGAGATCTGAAAGGAGAAAAACAACTTTTCTCCCACTGTTCTCGCCCCCCCCCACTTTGATTGCACAGTAATTGGCATGTGAATAATATAAAAAGCTCTTGAACTTATAGCTGAGCTGCGAGTGAGTGGGAAGGCATAGTAAGCTTGATGAAAGCAAATTCTCTGCAACATTTTGATGGGTGTGCGTGTGTGTGATATAGATTTTTATTTTTATTTTAAATCCTGCTAATGACCAGGGTGGTTGAATGAAAGATGAGGAAAGCCATCTCTTAGGGCTTTGAGTCAAGAACAGTACACATTTCGTACGCTTGGGGGCTGGGTCACTTGTGTGCAGTTATCCCTTGATGACAGCAGCATTGAGTGATGGAGGGGGGGCTTTCTTGGACTTGAGAAAGCTTAGGGCCCCGGGATGTCTTTATCCAGCCCTGCACCAAATGCAATAGGATGGAACCAAGAGTTGTGAGCAGAAGGGAAAATATCTGCAAATGAGGAACCTGTTTTGTTGTTGTTGTTTAGTCGTTTAGTCGTGTCCGACTCTTTGTGACCCCATGGACCAGAGCACGCCAGGCACTCCTGTCTTCCACTGCCTCCCACAGTTTGGTCAAACTCATGTTCGTAGCTTCGAGAACACTGTCCAACCATCTCGTCCTCTGTCGTCCCCTTCTCCTTGTGCCCTCAATCTTTCCCAACATCAGGGTCTTTTCCAGGGAGTCTTCTCTTCTCATGAGGTGGCCAAAGTATTGGAGCCTCAGCTTCAAGATCTGTCCTTCCAGTGTGCATTCAAGGTTGATTTTCTTAAGAATGGATAGGTTTGATCTTCTTGCAGTCCATGGGACTTTCAAGAGTCTCCTCCAGCACCATAATTCAAAAGCATCAATTCTTCGGCAATCAGCCTTCTTCAGCCCCAGCCAGCATGAACAATGGTTGGGGAAGTGTTAGAAACTCGCTGTAACGAAATGTCTAGTTGCCATTTCGGGGCCAAAAGTCGTGTTTTTCAGTACGACTTTTGGGTTCCTGAAGTTCATTCTGATTGGGCAGATAAAATATAATGGATAGAATTCTACAGGATGTGTTGTTAGTGTGTGAAAACAAGCAAGAGCCAAGAATAACCAGGCATGCACCCATTGATGGTGGAGACGTCAGGCGCTGTCCTGGCCCCCTGGGCATCTTCACTTGGTCGCCAGTGGTCCATAGCTACTGGCGAATTTTGAACGCTGAGTTCGAAAAGGGTGGGAGATGTAAGCTTGAAAGCATTTCAAGGGGGACACCGAGCTTCCATCCCTGCTGTAAGAAGGAGGTCCTATAGAAATCATTCTGCTTATGTTTATGCATATTTTTCTGATGCCACCTAGCAGGAAGTCTAACATTGCCCTGCAGTTTGCTGAAGATTCCTTTTGTATGCTGAAGGGCAGAGCATGTTTGGATCCAAACCAGGACTTCTCAGTGTGCTTGAATTCCAACTTCAGCTACCTTGATCAAGTGCAGAGGCAGCAGGTTATGCACATGGGCGGTGAACTGGGGCTTCCTTTCCCAGAGGAGAATTGATTGCCCCGTGCCAAATTGGAAACGGGGATTTAGCGCTTTGTTGTTGTTGTTTAGTGGTTTAGTCGTGTCCGACTCTTCGTGACCCCATGGACCAGAGCACGCCAGGCACTTCTGTCTTCCACTGCCTCCCGTAGTTTAGTCAAACGCATGCTGGTAGCTTCGAGAACACTGTCCAACCATCTCATCCTCTGTCGTCCCCTTCTCCTTGTGCCCACAATCTTTCCCAGCATCAGGGTCTTTTCCAGGGAGTCTTCTCTTCTCATGAGGTGGCCAAAGTATTGGAGCCTCAGCTTCAGGATCTGTCCTTCCAGTGAACACTCAGAGCACTCAATCATTCCTTCAGAACACTCAATCATTCCTTCAGAATGGATAGGTTTGATCTTTTTGCAGTCCATGGGACTCTCAAGAGTCTCCTCCAGCACCATAATTCAAAAGCATCAATTCTTTGGCGATCAGCCTTCTTTATGGTCCAGCTCTCGCTATCCGCCACCAAAGGCTTCAGATTCAATCCACATTATACATGATTAAAGCATTGCTTCAAGCTCAGCCGGCTCCTAAGCTGCAGTCCTGTCCTTGCTTACCTAGGAGCAAGCCCCATTGAACTCAGCAAGACTTACTTTTGAGTAGACATGCACAGGACTGCACTTCCGGAGTCCATCTTTGGGTGTTCTCAACTCGCAATCACTTCTGTTCCCACGGCACAGCATCGCCTCTGCTTGTGATCTGGAGACTTGTAAATTGCATTGACCTTATATCTGGAATAAATTTAGGCAAAAAAGGCAATGTGACAAGATGCCAGAAGAACATTCCCATGGTCCCATGGGTGTTGCTGTTAAAGCGCAGTCAGGGTTCCAGTTCAAGTCAAATGCCAACATTTTGAGTTATGCATGTACAAAATACTTGCAGAATCATGGCTGTTGTACTCCACTGTATAAACAACTCAAACCACCAACAGTTTGGGGTGATGCTGTTTCCCCCTCCAGCTTTGTCCTCGAAAAGATGATGGTGTCACGATTTGTGTCTGTCGCCATCAAAACCCAAAAATTCCATTGGAAGAGTTTCAGGCACTTACAAAAGTACAGGAAGCTAACTTGCATTGGGCCAGGCCATTTGCCTACCTATCTCAATATTGTCTGTCTCAAGCACATATCTCAGTGTTGGAAATTAATCATAGAATTGTAGAGTTGGAAAGGACCCCAGGGATAATCTAGTCAGGGGTCAGCAAACTTTTTCAGCAGGGGGTCAGTCCATTGTCCCTCAGACCTTGTGGGGGACCGGACAATATTTTGAAAAAAACAACCCAAAAACAAACAAATTCCTATGCCCCACAAATAACCCAGAGATGCATTTTAAATAAAAGGACACATTCTACTCATGTGAAAACATGCTGATTCCCGGACCATCCATGGGCTGGATTTAGAAGGCGATTGGGCCTCAGGTGATGAATGCAAGGTCTTGGTAGGTAAGAGGTGGTCCCCGGATGCACCTGACCCCCAGGTTGTGCAGGGCTTAATATTAGCATCTTGAGTCGGGCTCAGTAATATTTGAAGCTGGGAATGTTGTTCCTTTCCTATTGCCAAGTGGGCAAACAATCAATTCACGCACCTTTGCCTTAGCCTGACGTTCTACTCTACCGGCCGTAAAGCTTATCTGATTTCTCAGATGAGCAAACTGCACTGTACTTAATTATTTTAGGGTGAATAATTTAGTAGCATTTCCAAGGCTAGCTGCTTTCTGCTGGTTCTCTGGGAATTCCCTGCTGTGTGTCTGGGAACTCGAGCTTCCCAGCATAGGAGCTAGCAATGTGTTCAGCAGTGATGACTGGAGTGAAAATACATCATGGGCGAAAACGAAAGCTGCCTTTCACATCTGCATGTCATCTGCATAATTCTTATTTTGAAATTAACGTGAAAAACGCCAAAGTATGGTTGGTGGGCATTTTGTGCGTATTTCACAGTGCCCCTGAGGCCAAATTGGATGAGGCACTGTGATTTTTAACATCACTGCCAGGTATAATAGGGTCCCTGATAGCAGGAATCGAATAGGATATGTTTACATTTTAGTATTAACTTTACAGGGGGGCACTTAACTTTTTTGTGCTTGCCCCCCTTTTTTGAAGGGGTTACCATACTAAAATTGGGAAGTAGGGGGTTGTGGATTTCATAGATGGCCCCAACACACACACACACACACACACACACCCCTACCCCTCTTTGCCCATAATTCAAGCCTAGGGTACCTTCCCATCTATTTAAACCATCACATGCAGGCAAGGAGTGTGCAATCTAGCTTACCAACTCTTAATATGACAGGCTAAAAGGAGGATGACATGCTGCCTCCTCCCTCCTCCCCCCTCGATCACATAACATTTTATTTGAAAAGTGGGTGTTAATTTTTAATGTTAAACATCCCATAAATCCCTTTAACAAGAGGAGAGGGAGCCTCTTCTGCCCTTGCGTGACTCACTCCCTGATCTCTGAATAGTTGCAGTTCATTATTTTAATAGCCTTGAGGGTTAATGGTCTGTTAAGCATCCCTCCATAGCTGCTGCTCCTTCTCCAGATTGCATTGACCTGCCTCTTTAATGACCTGGGAGATTTTCTTTTTCTTTCCCCCCAAAGATAGATACTTTGGGTTTGTGGCTTTCGAAGGTCCTTATTCATTGCCCGGTGAGGTGTAGCATGCTGGGACCAGCCTTGTGGCTGTGTACCTTTTGGCCAGGGCTTCCTGCTACGGTCGCTGTGGGCTTCCTGACAGCAGCGGTTCTTGCTTTCGAAAGCTGCTGCACTGCAGATCTCCCTTCATCTTCTAAACCTGCGCTGCCTCTCGCCTCTCCCCACCCAACCCTTGCCTTTGCAGCATCTGCTGACAAAACGATTTTCAGTGTGATAGTTGCTGTGCCCGATGCCTCTGACCTTGAATGCGTTGGAAATTCCTGCATTATTATTAATAATAATAATAGTAGAAGTAGTATTCACACTCCCTTAGAAGGAGCAGGTACGCATTTCAGGAGCATCCCTGGATCCACTGCTGTTACCTAGAGATGGTTCAGAAACTTCAGCCGGTGCAGAATTTGGCGGCCAGGTTGTTCACTGGGGCAAGATGGTTGACACCAGCCCTGGCCTGACCTCACTGGCTGCCAGTTAGTTTCTGGGCTGGTTTTGACCTATAAAGCCTTAATAAAATAATAATTGAGCCAGTGTGGTGTAGTGGTTAAGAGTGATAGACTCGTAATCTGGTGAACCGGGTTTGCGTCTCCGCTCCTCCACATGCAGCTGCTGGGTGACCTTGGACTAGTCACACTTCTCTGAAGTCTCTCAGCCCCACTCACCTCACAGAGTGTTTGTTGTGGGGGAGGAAGGGAAAGGAGAATGTTAGCCGCTTTGAGACTCCTTCGGGTAGTGATAAAGCGGGATATCAAATCCAAACTCTAATAATAATAATAATAATAATAATAATAATATTTTATTTATATCCTGCCCTTCCCAGCCAAAGCCAGGCTTAGAGCAGCTAACAACAATAAAAGTAACACAGCATTCTAAAATCAATCCATTCTAAAATCAATTCAAAATCAAATTAATGGCAACCATTGGGCTAGAGTTCTATGAGGATTACCAAAGGAGGGAGTCAGACTGTGCCTTGGCCAAAGGCCTGGTGGAACAGCTCTGTCTTGCAGGCCCTGCGGAAAGATGTCAAGTCTTGCAGGGCCCTAGTCTCTTGTGACAGAGCGTTCCACCAGATTGGGGCCATGGCCGAAAAAGCCCTGGTTCTGGTTGAGGCCAGCCTAACCTCCCTGTGGCCTGGGACCTCCAAGATGTTTTTGTTTGAAGACCGTAAGGTCCTCTGTGGGACATACCAGGAGAGGCAGTCCCGTAGGCACGAGGGTCCTAGGCCGTATACGGCTTTAAAGGTTAAAACCAGCACCTTAAAACTGATCCTGTACTCCACCGGGAGCCAGTGCAGGTGGTATAGCACTCAGTGCCACAGTACCTCAAGGACCACCTCTCTCCATATGAACCACCCAGACCCTGTGGTCATCATCCGAGGCCTTCCTTGTGTGCCTCCTTACTTGAGGTCCAGAGGGTGGTAACACAAGAACAAGACTTTTCTGTGGTGGCTCCCCGTTTGTGGAATGCTGTCCCCGGGGAGACTCGCCTGGCACCTTCATTGCATAACTTTAGGCACCCGGCGAAAACCTTCCTCTCTTCTGAGGTGAATTAAACCATCTTTGGCCTTTTAGACTGGGGGGGTTATTGTTTTTGTTTGTTGCTATTTTCTCTTGTGTTTTTATATTGTCAACAGCCCTGTGATCCTCAGATATATAGAAATTTAATAAATAAAAAATTAAAGAGGAGGCTCACTCCAGTTCTGGTGTGTCGATGAAGATGCACAAACACTTTTTTCCCATTAATTCTGATGTGCTTCGCTGTAGGACATGTTCAAATGCTCAGTCAGTGACAGCTCCTGATTTCTAATGCACTCATACTCCCACAAACTAAATGGGATATTGAATTGGAAGATTGTTGGCGATCCCAGGGCATCCCAGGGCATCTCTTTCATCCCCAGGAGGACAATAGTGGGATTGTCTAGTGAACGATGTTTACAGATCTGAAGTTCCTGGGTGGTGGGAATTTGCCCGTTCCCCTTCCGGGAACTGACAATTTCATTAATAGTACTTTGGGTTTTGTTGTTGAAAAGTATTTCCCATTATTTCAATAAGCCTTGCAAGATACCCTGTTGGTCAGCACTATCGCTCCTTCTTTACAAACTGTTTGTTTGTTACAGAGTTTTAAAAGTTTTTAACACACCTTCTAAATTCTTTCTATACGTTTTAGATTGTCCCAAGGAAGGAAAACTCCCCCCACCCCAAAAAAACACACACAAATCAAGCTTTTTCCAAAACACATTGTTGGACATTTACTACAGTAACCCTTTTGCAAGTCTGTGACTCACTGGTGGAGCATCTGCTTTGCATACAGAAGGTTGCATCTTGACTCCCCAGCATATCCAGGTAGAACTGGAAGAGACCGCAGTCTGAAATCTGGGGAGCTGCTGCCCATCAATGTAGGCCATGCTGAGAGGTGAATTTCGGGCAGTGTGGCTGGTTATGCTGCACTGGGCGCTTAGCTTGGGGGTGCTGCAGGACGTTGCAACGATGACATAGTGAACTGGGCAGAACGCAAGGCGAGAGGCTGGGGGCACTGAATTCTAACCTCGCACAGGGCGCCGACGCAGTTGGAAAAGACCAAAGTCTACCCCTGCCATACTGACAGCGGTCTGACTCCAGCTTCCTGTGTTCCACTTGGAGATCATAGAATTGAAGACTTGGGAGGGACCCCCAAGGGCCATCTAGACCAACCCCCTGCAATGCAGACATCCTGCCCACAGCCATACCTGGGTGGGCTCGAACCACCAACTTTCTGGTTAGCAGCCAAATGCATTGAACTGTTGTGCCACTCTATTTTGGTTTCTTTTATCTTGTGCCTCCTGTTGTTGTTGTTGTTAAGGATGTTGTGAAACCATCTAGAAAGCTGCATGGTCTGATCCAGAAACTCTCTTATGTCTGTCTTAGTGGTGATCGCAATATGTCTGTGCCTTACCTGTTAGGGCTTCCTCCAGCTACTGCTGCAGACGACTATTTCTTATATTTCGCTTTCTCTGTCTCTTCCTAAATAATCCTCCTCCCCACCCTAAAATGTTTGGGGAACTTTTTAAAAAAAGAGGCACATAACATCAGGCTTCCAACAGAAACCCCTCCTTAATCCTGCGCTGAAGAAGCCCAGATGATGTGCTTAGAAGAAGATGTGCGGCACTTCATTTGCATAACGTTCTGACTGCAGCATTTAAACTCCCGAATAATTAGGAAGAGCTTGGCACGGATGAGGAAGCGGAGGGAGGGGGGATAAATAAATAAATGGCCAAGGATGGAGAGCTCTAGAAAAACGAGAGACCAGCGTGCAGCACTTCTGTAGCTTCACCGCAGATTTAAACAAAATCTAATTTTCATATCTTTCCCTCTCCCCGTTGGAAGCGGTCATTCTGTAAGGGGGAGAGGGCTATAGATCTCCAATAAAGAATTATCAGTGCCCTCATCTACAGTTCGCTGGGTTCTTTTTCCTTTTGGGGGGTATGGGGAAGACATGGCTTTTAAACTGACACAGAACATGCATGAGTTTGTAATGTAGATAATACTTCCTTTGGAACCCCTCCCTGCCTTCACCCAGATGCTGCCCCCGTAGGAATCTGCCCTTACATGGAGTCAGACAATTGGTCATACAATCATAGGATCTTAGAGTTGGAAGGGACCCGTGGGTCATCTAGTCCAACCCCCTGCAATGCAGGAATCTCAGCTAAAGCATCCATGACAGATGGTCATCCAATCTCTGCTTAAAAACCTCCAAGGAAGGAGGGTCCACCACCTCTCATGGGAGTCTGTTCCACTGCCGAACAGCTCTTACTGTCAGAAAGTTTTTCTGAATGTTTAGTCGGAATCTCCTTTCTTGTAACCTAAATCCATTGGTTCATGTCCTACCCTCCAGAGCAGGAGAAAACAAGCTTTCTCCATCTTTCATGTGACAGCCCTTCAGATATTTGAGATGGCCATTCATATCTCCTCTCAGTCTCCTCTTCTCCAGGCTGTACATACCCAGCTCCTTCGACCGTTCCTCATAAGGCTTGTTTTCCAGACCCTTGGTCATCTTGGTTGCCCTCCTGTGCACATGTTCCAGCTTCTCAACATCCTCCTTAAACTGTGGTGCCCAGAATTGGACACATTATTCCAGGTGTGGTCTGACCAAAGCAGAATAGAGTGGTCCTATGATTTACACTGACTTGCAACAGCTTCTCAGTATTTCAGACAGGGTTCTCTCCAAGACTTACCTGGAGATGAAAGGGGTTGAGCCTGGGGCAACCATCTACATGAACATAAGAACAGCAGAAGATGTCTGCTGGATCTGGCCAGGGGCCCATCTAGTCCAGCATCCTGTTCTTGCAGTGGTCAGCTAGCTGCCTCTGCATACAAACCAGATGCTCTATTCCATTGATATTCCACATCCCACCCAAGAAACCCCCAACGAATGCTAGTTGTTGTTTAGTCGTTTAGTCGTGTCCGACTCTTCGTGACCCCATGGACCAGAGCACGCCAGACACTCCTGTCTTCCACTGCCTCCCACAGTTTGGTCAAACTCATGTTGGTAGCTTCGAGAACACTGTCCAACCATCTCTTCCTCTGTCGTCCCCTTCTCCTTGTGCCCTCCATATTTCCCAACATTAGGGTCCTTTCCAGGGAGACTTCTCTTCTCATTAGGTGGACAAAGTATTGGAGCCCCAGCTTCAGGATCTGTCCTTCCAGTGAGCACTCAGGGCTGATTTCCTTCAGAATGGATAGGTTTGTTCTTCTTGCAGTCCATGGGACTCTCAAGAGTCTCCTCCAGCACCTTAATTCAAAAGCATCAATTCTTTGGCCATCAGCCTTCTTTATGGTCCAGCTCTCACTTCCATACATCACTACTGGGAAAACCATGGCTTTAACTATACGGACCTTTGTTGGCAAGGTGATGTCTCTGCTTTTTAAGTTGCTGTCTAGGTTTGTCATTGCTTTTCTCCCAAGAAGCAGGTGTCTTTTAATTTCGTGACTGCTGTCACCATCTGCAGTGATATTATTATTATTATTTTACTTCATTAAAGTTGAGATGATTAGAAGAACAAATGTGGTGCTAGTCAGGCTTGAGACCTGACATGCACGGAATCTTGTATGCTTTTCTTCCAGCCAAACCTTGCTTCATGGGTGATGCTGTGATTTGTCAGTGATCCACCCCCCTTGTAATGAATTTAGTGCATACTCCCATCTTTCTTTGGAGAGCTGAACCCTCTGATTTCCCTTGTCAGCGAAACATCCGTTTGCCCACGTACCTGCTCTCTTGAAGGACGTTCTGTCCCCCTGTTTGCAAAGGCAATGTTTTTAGTGCACTAGTAAGCATTGAGCAAATGCCAAAAAAAGGATGCTGCTGTCTGATGTTGCTGCGCACCCCCTCAAACCATCACTGCCTCCCACTACCATCTAATGCCACCAAGATAATGGCAATTCTCTGCTGTTGTTGTGACGCAGCCGTGGCATCGCAGCACCACGGTGAACGCGTTTCTAAAAATACATAAGTTTAAATGGCGGGGCGTTGCTTCTACGGTTTCTTTTTGGTGCCTTAAATTGTTAGGAAGACTTTTATTTCCCAGGAAGGGTGGTGAGGACCGTTTCTGATGTTCAAGAAAGCTAGATTGTTAGCACCTGTCTTTCTCGAGAGGCAATGGAGTGCTCTTCCAAGGGTGAAGTCAAAACTGCTGAATTAGCAGCACCAAAGCGACCTCCTTGGGGCGCAGGCCTGGGCAGTGTGTATGGAGGTCCTGGGCTGCCCAGACGACAAGACCCCTATCTCGGCCTCGCTGGTGTGGTCCAAAGGAAAGCAGAACTGTACGTTTGGCACCAGCTTGGCTGCAGGAGTTGCTGGAAGGATGTGTACAAGGTGCCATCCAACTGCCTTAGGGACTCCACTCCAGGTTTGTGGAGGGTTTACTCCTTAACCTTTTCTCCTGAAGATGTCCTGTAAGGAATCATAGGTTTAAAGGTAAAGGGACCCCTGACCATTAGGACCAGTCGTGACCGACTCTGGGGTTGCAGCACTCATCTCGTTTTATTGGCCGAGGGAGCCAGCATACAGCTTCCGGGTCATGTGGCCAGCATGACTAAGCCGCTTCTGGCGAACCAGAGCAGCACACGGAAACGCCGTTTACCTTCCCGCCAGAGCGGTACCTATTTATCTACTTGCACTTTGACATGCTTTCAAGCTGCTAGGTTGGCAGTAGCAGGGACAGTGCAATGGGAGCTCACCCCGTCGCGGGGACCTTCTGATCGGCAAGTCCTAGGCTCTGTGGTTTAATGTCCCTAATCATAGGTTTAGGTATTAAGAAATAAAGCACTGGAATGTTGACGTTACCTTAGGGCAATTCAGAACAAATCAGTGTCCTCCAGATGTTTTTGGAACACCCATTATCCCTGACGATGGTGCATGCTGGCTGGGTCTGGTGGCTACCCCTGGTCTACACCTGACTGGCAGTGTCTCTCCAGAGCTTCAGACATGAGTCATTCCTGGTCCTAGCTGGAGGCACCAGGGACTGAACCTGGGGCCTTCTACCTGGAAAGCAAAAGCTCCGTACCTGAGCTTATGGCCCTTCTTGGGAGATCTACTTAGGGATGGGAGGTCACACCTGCCCACACAAGGGCAACACTCAGTTAGGCATTTGCTTGGGATTCCACCGCTTCTCAACATGAAGTCCTTAGAAGTAGGTCTTTCCCTTCCCTGGAGCCCCTACTCACCTTTCATGCTGTTGGAAGCTGATGATCTCTCACTTATCCCCATGTGACACTGGGAGAAGCAGCAGCCCCACCCTTAGGAGAAGAAGCTGTCCTTGTCGTGGTAGCACTGGATGCTGGTTGGAAACTACAGAGCAGGGCCAAGGTGTGTTTGCCAAGATGATGGCCAGCTGCTTTTGGAGATAGGATGGTGGGTGAAAGATGGACTGTGATTTGGTGCAACATGGTATATCTTGTGGCACTTGAGTTCTTGATGCAGGGGTCTCATGGCAAGGACATTGATCCCAGACTGGTACTAGGTGCTGGTTCACTGCTCCAGCTTGACGGCTTGGTACAGCTTCTAGAAACAGGACCCATACACCTTGATTGCAGGTGTTCCTTTCTCTTTTGTTCCTCCTAGCTCTCATGAGCCAGTCACGGGTCTGGATTTGTCGGGAAGCCAAAGAGGGCCAGAAATTGAAGTGCAAGTATTGCAAATGGCTAAATTATTGGCTTCTTTGAGTCTTGTGATTCCTGTGTCTGCAGTGGCAAGGATGTTCAAAGGCCCTGCACAGGGTGATTGATATGGACCCTTCTGATGAGAATATGCAGGTGTCGAATAAAGATCTAGGGTTCAAAAATGGGTTGAAAAGACATTTGCAAGTTATAGTGCAAAATAATAATAATGAAGAACTACGAACCTCGGAAATAAAGGGCATGGGGCATGTACAGAGTGCAGCTCCCTTGCGAGAGAGGAAACACTGCATTAAATAAGGTGATTCCACGATATAACATCATTTATTTATCTTCACGTTTTATGGCGATTGTCAGCAATACAAAACTGCTAGAACATTTGCAAAGCTAAGCAGGGCCCGGTATGGTTTCAAATTGGATGGGGGACCACATATTGAGATTCCTGCATTGCACTAAATGACCCTTGGGGTGCCACCCAACCCTACAGTTCTGTGACTAATAAATGTTGATTATCTATTGATATATCTTGACATTATTTTCAGAGGATTTGGTTTGGGGGTCAATGCCCATTTTATAAGCTCATCAAGGGGTCACGGGACTCAGAGGTTTGGGCAACCCCGCTTTACATAGTTGTGGGCTGCAGTTCTGGCACGAGACTGTTTATAGTACAGCAAGGCCCAACGCTACTGCACAGGCTACAAAACAGTATTCTTTGTGTTTTGTGAAGGCAGTTATTCAGATTATGGGAATGCATGAATTATCCATGGCCCTTTTGTCTCCCGAGGGATTGCTGACATAGCCTCCGTTGTAAAGCAGGTGACTCAAGACTTCAACATTGAGAAAGTGGATGGGAAGATCTTGTACTGTGTGCACCCCTCGTTTCCAATCTCTCCAGCCCGAGCTGTGCTTTGACCTGTGCAAACTCCGAATCCTCTCCTACTTATCGCGTCTGCCGGCCTTCCGTCTAAGCTCTTTCCCCCAGCCTACGAGAAACAGGGAGGCTTGACCTCTCCGCAAAAGTGGCTCCACAGAGCTCTTTTGCCCCCTGCGCCGAATGGATGTGGGCTGGGAGGGTTTCGACAGGCCCCCTCATTGTTCCCCCCACCTCCACGCCGGCAGTTTCAGATGCATTATACATGAATGCATTCATTTTTTAAGACAGCTCCCCGGATCAAAAGGCTCACGCAGCTTCCCAATGTGAGTGAGACTAATCTGGGATAATTACTGTATCAACTCGGGCTAACACACAGATCTCATTAAACAAATTGAGTGGGGGGTAGCTGTTTCGAAAGTTGGGGGGCAGGGGTAGGGGAGTTCTTGAAGGAGGCACATTGGGGTTGGTTGCAGTGGGGAGCATTCACACAACACACCTTTCTCGTTAGGGGTTTGTTCCTGTGCTGGAATTCCCTTGGGAAGCTGTGTTGTGGAAACTGCAGCTACAGAAGAACTGCGCAGCGATATTCACCAAAAAATAAATAAATCCTGTGTTAGTTTTGTTGGAAGCTGCCCAGAGTGGCTGGGGCAACCCAGTCAGATGGGCAGGATATAAGAAATTTATTATTATTATTATTATTATTATTATTATTATTATTATTATCATTATCATCATCATCATCATCATTGGTCTCTATTCTGACACACAAACACACACACACCCCAGGAACCCTGGGAACTAGTTCTGACAAATGGGGCTGGAGATCTCTTTTGATTACCCAACTGCAGCTCCCAAAATCCTTTGCAGGAAGCCATGACAGCAAAGTGACATAAGATGTCTGGTAATGCAGATGCGCCCATGAGTTAACACATAGAGACATGCCCACACACCTCATGGATTTAAGAATGCGTTGCTTCTGCAGCCTGGCTTAGAACGCATGTCTCAAAAACCCAACTGTGGGTCTTCTCTGGTTTGGTTTTGTTGGAAAATGTTTACATTTGGGCCATCTTTTTCATTTCTCTGGAGCTCTGCTGATGTAACTGTCAGTCATAGCACTTCCATGACATTCCAGGGCGAAACTCTTGAGAAGCCTGATGGGAACAATAGTAAGCTGCTCCCAATGTCCTCCCGGCGCCTTCTCTTGAGCACAAAGCATTTATTGTGAGGTGACATTTCACGGAGATCCCATTCTCCCCCCCCCCCTCCCTTGCAGCCATTTCCCTAAACGCTGAGAATACCCAGCACCCTGGTTAACATCCTCTGGTTTTTTTGTTTTTGTTTTTTAATGCTTAGCTTGGTGGCAAAAAGCCAGAATATATTGTCTGTTAGAGCTGTGATTTATTAATTAGACTCCCCTCTGGGTTTCCCTTCTGTGCTGTTTTCTTAAAATGAACTTGGCACTGCAGAAATGCAAACAAGCTTGAGCTGGGAAGGAACCTCTGCTCCAGATGTTCAGCGATTTGGAGGGTGATCTGAGTGACACCCGCGTACCCGCGTGCGCACAGTCGCCTCTTGCGTTCCGGATGCTCCAACATAAACAAATGGGCCGTATTGGAGCAAACGGGGGCAGGTTGTGGGGGTGTTTCACCTGCTCCATCACGCTTGGCACAGGGAGCAGAGAAGCACTTTTGCCTTCCAAGGCGCATGGTAAACTTGCCCATCATCAGCAAGGCCTTTGTGAGTTGTGTGGGTGTGTTTTCCCCCCTTTTAATTCTCAGACTGAGCCAGCCATCGGTCCTGCAGAACCATTTGTAGCAGGATTAGCAGCCATGGGATTAGTTATTCAGTGACGATTTACTTTGAGTGCATCTGTGCAGGGCTGAACTCACAATCTCCCTGCGATGTCCCCGTCCCCCGTCCCCCCCGTGAGACAAACACAACCTGATTCTCAGGGACCACCTCCTTACTGGCTTCCTGTGGCTTCTCCTGGTCAAAATCACTGGGCTTCTTCGGTCTTTTGAGGGCGACACATTAAAAATCACGTGAGACCTCCTAGTTGCCATCCTTTAGGTTTTAGACCCCTCCTCTAGAACTCTGAAGCAGGAGTTTGGGCTCTGTTGCATGTGCATGAACATTAAGGTGCAATGCATTGTCTGATCGCTGCAACTGGTGATTTTAAACTGTTAATATATTACAAGACGATTAGTTTTTTTCTAATACATTTTAAAAAATGCTTTTAGATACAATGCAATGAAGTGGTTAGGCTAGGACCTTGGAGGCGTGGGCTGTGTACACACCAGACATTTAAAGCACACTGAAAGCACACACACACCCGCCCACAAAGGACTGCAGTTTCCCCTTACAGAACTACAGTTCACAGAAGCCCTGTGGGATAGTTTAGCCTGAGAACTGGTTTGGCCCAAGGTCAGCCAGTTAACTTCATGGCCGAGTGAGGATTTGAACCCAGGTCCCCCAGGTCGTTGTCCAACACACTGGCCACTCCATCACACTTAGGCTTGTCACCTTTGTTCTGGCAAAATACAGGAGAGAGTGGGGCGGTACAGTTGGGGGGAGAATTTGTGTGTGTGTGTGTGGCGCTGAAGCGACTTCAAAGCAATCCATTACAATATCTTACAGGATGGCCCCTCTGGAATGTCTCTCTCTCTCTCTCTCTCTCTCTCTCTCACACACACACACACACACACACACACACACACATTTGTAAACCTATCTGTGCTTTGCTACCCAGAGCTTAAATACGTGACCTTTCACACACCCTTTCTCAAACACATGCATTTGGGGAGGGTCCCTAACTTGGCACAGAGAGAGAGAGAGAGAGAGAAGTCCTGAAATACAGGACAAAACTATCAGTACAGGACATAGCATTTTACATCGAAATATGGGGCAATCCTGTATTATTCAGGGACGGGTGGCAACCCTAAGTCCACACTGGCTCCATAAATCCAGGTCGGTTTTTTGTTTGCTTTCATATGGAAGATCCTTTGCAAAATGTTCTCACCTGCCAAGTAGTGTGGTCCCAAATTGGACCACCTTTTTCTGCTTGACTTGTGACTTTCCTCTTTTAAGTGAGCGTTGGATATAAACAGGGCACTCTGGTGTCCCCATTACCCTCTATTTTTATCAGACAGGTTGCCTTGTTATCATTTGCATAGATTGCATAACAGGCTTTTTCTTCTTCTTCTTGCGGGGCGGCTGCAAAGGAGGGCGCCTTCGTTAGAGGACCCAGCAGCCGGCTGGGGAGATGGGAAAAGAATGCAGAGCAGCCGAACAACAATTAGCGCCACCCCAGCCATTATTTTTCTCTCCCCCTTCCCCCACTCATTAAAACCTACTTCGTGCCAGGAAGCCTGCCTTATGAGGACATTACATCATGAGCAAGACCACATGATCCCTGGATTTCTGGCAGACCACGTCCTTTTTTAATTCCTTGAGCTGATTTGGCCGGGTGGCTTTTCAGAGCAAAGACCGAAGCCTTCTATTCCCAGCTGCAGAGGTGACATTGTGACTGAACGGGAGATGCAATCTCTCCCCCGTAAAGGGAGGAAAGGTGCGTCTTAAAAGCTCTGGACTGGAGGCGGCTTCGGGTACTATCTAGGAACAGAGCCTCTCTTCAAACAGGACCGTCTGAAAGATGTTGGTTTCTGTCTACTCTTTGCAATGTTCCGTTTGACAGATCTGTTCGCCTTGGGATTTTGTCGTCTCTTGTCGCCTTGCGTTGATGCATTCAGGAGATGCGAAGCCTTTTGGATGGAAAGCTAACAGTCTCCAGAGCACTCCATCTAAGGACTGGGGATTATTCTGTTTACACATACCATCCCCCTTAAATAAACACAACCCTGTTCCACTCGATCTGCATGTAATATCGCTGGCAGTGCGGTGTAGGCCCCAAAGCACATCTCAAGAAAAAATTGGTGGGCGAATTGGACTAAAACGTGTGAATATTGTTTCATCGAAGAATCCTCGGAACTCTTAATTTGCTGAGAAATCTCTTCTGGGGATTCCTAGCTCACTGTTTGCAGAGATACAACATTCCTCCAGGAAAAGGGCAAATAGAGACTGGCCCGTGAAACAGCATTTTAAAGGGGGGGGTGAATCTAGGGAAATCTGGAAAATTAGAAATCAGTTTGCTTAACATCTGGTGAAAAGTTCTATTAAAGAATTACTAAGCACATAAAAGAACAAGTCTTGTAGAAGCAGAACCAGCATGGCGAGGTTCTAGGACTTATTGACAAATTAAAAACGGACAAACTCTCAGCTCTAGATGGTGTCTTTCCAAACTCAAATGTGAAAATGCTGATTTTCAAACAAAAATATGCAACTTGTCCCTAAGATCAGCCTCCATATGTTGGGACTGGAAAGTGACCAATGCAATACCAATTTTTAAACGGGAATCTAGGAAATTACAGGCCGCTTAGCTTAACTGGAAAACTGGTGGGAAACGTGATTAACAATAGAATAATCTTACATATAGAAGAACAAGTCTTTTTGAGACAGAATCAGCATGGCTTTCTGGAGAGCAACTCCTGTCTCACTAATTTTTCAGAGCATCAACGAGCGTATGGTTATAAGTGATCAAGTTAACATTGTGTACTTGGACTTAGAATCATAGAATCATAGAGTTGGAAGAGACCACAAGGGCCATCGAGTCCAACCCCCTGCCAAGCAGGAAACACCATCAGAGCACTCCTGACATATGGTTGTCAAGCCTCTGCTTAAAGACCTCCAAAGAAGGAGACTCCACCACACTCCTTGGCAGCAAATTCCACTGTCAAACAGCTCTTACTGTCAGGAAGTTCTTCCTAATGTTTAGGTGGAATCTTCTTTCTTGTAGTTTGGATCCATTGCTCCGTGTCCGCTTCTCTGGAGCAGCAGAAAACAACCTTTCTCCCTCCTCTATGTGACATCCTTTTATATATTTGAACATGGCTATCATATCACCCTCAACCTCCTCTTCTCCAGGCTAAACATGCCCAGCTCCTTAGCCGTTCCTCATAAGGCATCGTTTCCAGGCCTTTGACCATTTTGGTTGCCCTCCTCTGGACACGGTCCAGTTTGTCAGTGTCCTTCTTGAACTGTGGTGCCCAGAACTGGACACAGTACTCCAGGTGAGGTCTGACCAGAGCAGAATATAGTGGCACTATTACTTCCCTTGATCTAGATGCTATACTCCTATTGATGCAGCCCAGAATTGCATTGGCTTTTTTAGCTGCCGCGTCACACTGTTGGCTCATGTCAAGTTTGTGGTCAACCAAGACTCCTAGATCCTTTTCACATGTACTGCTCTCAAGCCAGGTGTCCCCCAAAAAGCTTTCAATAAAATCCCTCCCCAAAGACTCCAGAGGAACCTTAGCAGTGATGGGATAAGAGGAGATCTCCTTTTATGGTTCAGTAGCTGGTTTAAAAAATGGGAAGCAGCGAGTAGGAATAATGGACAGTTTCAACAACTGAGGGATGTAAGAAGGGGGCCTACACAAGAATCAGCATTAGGACTTGCAACTTTTTAACTTGATCATAAATAACCTGGAGTTAGGGGCGAGCAATGAGGTGGCCAGGTTTATAGACCACACTAAATTGTCCAGGATGGAAAAAAACAAGACGGGATTGCAAGGAGCTCCAAAAGGATATCTCCAAACTGGATGAATGGGCATTATGCAAGTGCAAAATAATGTGCAAAACACCCTAACTGCACACATGTGCACTCATGAGGTCTAAACTAGTCATGACTGACCAGGGTCATAGCGGATAGCTCAGTGACGATATCAGCCCAGCGTGTGAGAGCTTTGAAAAAGGCTAATTCCATGCTAGGAAAGGGGTTGAAAGTAAAACTGCCAATATCATAATGCCATTATGCAATCGATGATGCAATTGTACTTGGAATACTGTCCGCAGATTTGGTCACCATGCATCAAAATGGATGTTGTGGAGCTGGGGAAGGTTCAGGAAAGGGCAGCCAAAATTACCAGAGGGCTGAAGCAACAGAAAGGCGACAGCATTTGGGGCTTTTTAGCTCGGGGGGAGGAGAAATGTGAGTATGAAAGAGGTATATAAAATTATTCATGGGATGGAGAAAGTCGATAGAGATAAGAAACATAGGGAGCTTATATCGAATGGTTTAACTATCAAGCCTTCTTTCCAGGGAACTCTGGGAATTGTAGTTCTGTGGGGGAGATAGAGGTCTCCTAAAAAACTCTCAGCACCCGTACCAGACTACAGTTCCCAGGATTCTTTGGGGGAAGCCATGACTGTTACAGTAGTGTCCTAATGATTTGAATCAGGGTTTCCCAAACTTGGGTCTCCAGCTGTTTTTGGACTACAACTCCTATCATCCCTAGCTAGCAAGACCAGTGGTCAGGGATGATGGGAATTGTAGTCCAAAAAACAGCCAGAGACCCAAGTTTGGGAGACCCTGCTTTAAATATATATGGTTGATGTGGCCTAATTCTACTTTACTAGAGAACCGTCATCATCGCTTTCCTTTAAAAAAAATAAAAATCCCCCTTTTTAGTCCAAAGCAGCAAACAGCTATTCCACACAATCTAAACCTGGCAGATTTCAGAACTGCCTGAGAAGTGTCCTGGCCAAACCGGGCATCCTAAAAATAATTTGGCAGAAAAATCTGAGCTTGTAAAGGAAGAGGCTGCAGCTAGCAAACTCATCAACGCTCCTTTGCTGACAGTTTCCAGAAGGGGTAGCTGTGTGAGCCTGTCACAACAAGAGCCTTGTGGCATCTTAAAGACTAACACATTTCATTCTGGCATAAACATTTGTGGACGAGGCTTGGTGCAGCAAATCCCAGTCCGCACAAGCTTATGCCATAATAAACATGCTTGTCTTTAAGGTGCAACAAAAATCTTTCGCTGTCCTTTTTCTGATGGCGCTTACTCGCAAGTGTATTGATAAGGTATAGCGCTCATAGCCATAGCTGTCAACTTTTCCCTTTTCTTGCGAGGAATCCTATTCGGAATAAGGGAATTTCCATTTAAAAAAGGGAAACGTTGACAGCTATGCTCATAGCACCAATATTTTTTTAAAAGCAAGCTAAGGGAAACCAAATTCTGAGGACGAAAATAGATGATTCTTTCAACCATTTCCTATAAATTTGCTTCAATCTTCATGGTCTTTTCTATATTGTATTTTAGCCTCTTTTTTCAGCAGGTTTATTATTATTATTATTATTATTATTATTATTATTTTAGTAGTTTGGCTATTACAGTGGTACCTCAGGTTACAAACACCTTGGGTTACCAACACTTCGTCTTCTAAACTCCGCTAACCCAGAAGTAGTACCTCAAGTTAAGAACTTTACCTCAGGATGAGAACAGAAATTGCGCACCGGTGGCGGGAGGTCCCATTAGCTAAAGTGGTACCTCAGTTTAAGAATGGTTTCAGGTTAAGAATGGACCTCCGGAACGAATTAAGTTCGTAACCAGAGGTACCACTGTTATAGCAGGGGGTGTGGATATGGGTTTAGTGGAGGGCAAATTAAGGATAAGAGGAAAAAGCCATAGAGAAAAGGAGTATGAGATGGGGGAGCCAAGTTGCTCCATCAACAACCTCCATCTACTACCTCTTGAAGATGTAGCAAGTTTCCTTGCTCCTATTGGAGGCTGGGAAGATGAAGATCGAGGGATGAAGATTCCAGAAAGATTTACTAGCTTAAATAACCTGCCAAGGCAATGCCGTGGCAGGACCAAAGTGTGGTTTGCAAAGACTGCTTCGGGACAAGCACCAAGAAGGATTGCATTGACTTATATGGGGAGCTAAGGAAGTCGAACCATATTTGTTTTCCCTTTCCCCCAAGAGAACTGTGTTATGTTCCTTTTGAACGGATTATAATGGAACAAGAAGGCCCGGTGCGTGTCTTTCCTTGAGTAACTGGTTGAGAAAAGATTGTGCTTCTCGTCAACAATTCCCAGTGGAATGTAAATGGAGGCCTGAAAAATGTGGGGTTGGGATTGCCTTGAAGTTAACCTTTGCCTATATTAGTGGGGACAAGTGGTTCTTCTAAAAATTAAAACTGAGGTCATTGGTAGTCCATTCAACTCATGCTGATTCTAGTGAGTTTGGGGTGTGAGGAGGGCAGGGGCAGGGTGCAATTCACCCTAGATTCTATTTCATTCTGGAAAGCCATTGCTGTCATAGTCAAAGGGACAACCCTCGCTTTGAATGGGTTATTCAGATAGTAAATCAGAGCAGTACCTCGGAGCAGGGCTTTTTTGGTGGCTGCCCCTGTCCCATGGAATAACATTCCCATCAAGCTATGACAGGCACCCAATATCTGCACTTTCTGGAAACAGCTGAAGACATTTTTTTCCCTTCAGGCTTTTAAATAGGTCTTTACCATGACTGCCCACTTGTTAGGATTTCAGTCTTGTTTTAAATGTGTGTGTTTTTAACTGTTTTTTCATGTGTAAATTGCCTTCAGACTAGTTTAGAAGGCAATTGATGAATCAAGTATAATAATAACACCCACACATAAGGAGGAGTCCTTGTGTGTCCTTGTTTCTCAATTTGACCCTTTTACATGGTTTTGTATGTTTAGTGGTATTTTATGTATTGTGTTTTGCTCTTATTTTTATTATCGAGCCGTAATTCTTTATTGTAACTGATAAGTGCAAATTATTGTTTAATTATTATTTGCTTAGTGTTGGATTCTAATGGATTATTGAATATTGCTTTATTTGATATAAGTTGTTTATTCTAAAGTTATTGGGACTTTTTATAGTGGATCAGATTGTTACTATTAATGTTTTATTATTAGTCCTATATGTGTTGGAAGCTGCCCAGAGTGGCTGGGGCAACCCAGCCAGGTGGGTGGGGTATAAATAAAAACATCATTATTATTGTTTGTTTGTTTGTTTGTTTATGCATGCATGCATGCATGCATGCATGCATGCTGCCTCCACCCTCCTCCCACAGCTGGAGAGGAGCTGAGCTGGCCACAAGACCATCTGCCAGAGGGAAAAAGCCATCTGTGTGCCAGCCCATTTAGATGCAGGCTGTACTGCACCTGTTCACCAGCTGGTCAACCCACCTGGTCATTTGCTCACCTGGTCACTAACTCACTTGCCCAGTTGACTGTTCACTTACCCTGGGGAGTCTTAAGGCTCCCCCACAACACACACACACACATGCAACATGTTGCTGCTTAGAACCTCTTGTTTATTAGAATCTGTGGTGGTTGTGCAATTGGCTTTGGGTTCTTGCAACAGCATATTGTTCAATCGTAAGATACGGAAAGTGTGCTGACATTTTTTTGGTCGACCTCTTTTCTTCGTGAGAGGGAAACTACTTTGTGAACTTGTAGATTTTTTTTTATTATTAATTTAGGGTCCTTGCAACAATTCTTACTTGAGGATTATAATTTGGCAGTGGGTTCTTAACCTTGGCTGATCTTAATGTGAAAATGTGTTACTAATTTGTATGTTCAGAGGACGTTGTGTAAATAATTTGGGGGTTTTAGCAATAACTACGTAATCGTTCATGTTGATTCCAGGAAGTAGGAAAAATGCACTTGTTTTATCTCTCTGTTTTGAGAACGCTGTGTAGGATTTATTTTGGGTTTTTGCAGTATTTCATGATGGAGAACATGCTAGGAAATAGACACTTAATTAACAATATCATAATTGTGGGTATTGTGTATTTATTAAGGCTTTGCAAACAGTTCATTGCAGGTATTTAAGGGGGAAATACAATTCCTGGGTGATGGTTATCATATCCTTACGCTGCAATCCTGCACCCACCTAACCTGGGAGTAAAGTCCTATCAAACTCTATAGTTCTGACTTCTGAGTAGTTGTGTATAGGGTTGCACTGTTAAGGGTCAGTTGAATAGGAACTTGGTGCAATCCACAAAAGGATAAAATCTAAGTAAAGTTGATGTGTGATACCATTTTAAAAATTGTGTTCTTATTAAGATTTTCCATAAGCAACAAGAGTTCATTCATTGTCTCTACTTTCAAATCATAGTCTTTCATACAGGTCATTACAGTCAAATTGAGGCATTTTTGTGGTCATCAGTGTGGTTGTGGAGGAAAGAGAAGTGGGAAAAGGGGTGAGAGAGACAGTAAATATGAGGAAAGCAGAATGTTCCCTAGAGAAGGATCTGAAATTCTGAACCCTTGAATTTCTTTTATTCTAGATCAGTGGTTCCCAACCTTTTTTTTGGCCATGCCCCACCTAAACATCTCTAAAATCCCAATGTGCCCCCCGCCGTGACATATAATTCTTATTATTCAAAATGTGAACTCCTATTCACGTAGAGGAGGCCTAAAAGACCATTCACTGTTAATAACTTATTCTCGAATTGCCCCCCTAAAAATCAAATTGCCCCCCTTTGGGACGTGTGCCCCTCATTGGGAACCAGGGCTCTAGACTGTTTTGTTTGATGTTTTAATGTGTTGTAAACCGGTTTGAGATTTTTTCTTTAAAATATAAAGTGGTATGGAAATGAATAATAATAATCATAATAAATTTCACTGGGGAGAAAAAAGGCACCTAGACATTTGGTTGTAGCAACTGTAACCTGGATACCTGAAGGAGCGTCTCCACCCCCATCGTTCAGCCCGGACACTGAGATCCAGCGCCGAGGGCCTTCTGGCGGTTCCCTCATTGCGAGAAGTGAGGTTACAGGGAACCAGACAGAGGGCCTTCTTGGTAGTGGCGCCCGCCCTGTGGAACACCCTCCCTTCAGATGTGAAGGAAATAAGCAGCTATCTTCTCTTTAAAAGACAGGGAAGTTTTTAATATTTAATGCTGTATTGTTTTTAACACTTGATTGGAAGCCGCCCAGAGTGGCTGGGGAAACTCAGCCAGATGGGCGGGGTATAAATAATAAATTATTATTATTATTATTAACCTAGGCTTAAGGTGCCATTTGGCAGTTAGCTTATACAGTGGTACCTCGGGTTACAGACACTTCAGGTGATTTCGGGTTGTGCACCGCGCCGAACCCGGAAGTACCGGAACGGGTTACTTCTGGGTTTTGGCGCTTGCACATGCGCAGAAGCACTAAATCACGCTTTATGCATGCGGCAAATCACGGCGCTGCGGCTTCCGAATGTGCCTCCTGCACAGATCACATTCGCAACCCGAGGTTCCACTGTATATCTAAGTTTCAGACATTGGCTCCCAGATAAAAATGTAACCTGCCAAGATTTGGGTGTTTCTCTCACTCAGGAGTTACGGTGAAATTTGTGGTGGGCAACAGATGCAGATTTTGTGTGTGTGTGTTGTAGGCTTTCTGTGGTTGCTTTCTGGTGACCTCCAATTGCCCTCTAGTTTGGAGATAGTAAGAAGCAAGCATCCTGCACCTCCTGCCCATTTGACCTGGTTCCTCTCTTGTGGTCAACCTTTTGACTTCTTCCCTCAAGCAATTGTGGCGCAGACACCCCACTGCAGATGGGCAAACAAGCATCTGCTTTGCTAGAGGATTTGAATTTTAGAAGAAGATGGGGCGGAAACTGCAAAAAAAAGTCCTCCTTGTGGGTACCACAGTCTCGGAGGATTAATAAAAACTGAACTTCGGGTTGAAGACTCAGCTCTAAGCAAAAACCCATGGAAGGAAGTGGAAGACATCTAGCTAAAACCACGCTCATTTGTGCAGATGTCCTTATTTCAATTTTACAGCCCGCTTCTGCAAATGCACAGAAGGTCTGTGTAGTAGTATGTAGACCAGGGATTGCCAACCTTTTGTGGGTCAGGGAAGAGACAATGGAGCGTACATCTGGGCATGAAGGCAAACTGCTGCATTTGCAGCAGCAAAGTGACCGGAGTTTAGGCTGATGGATTTCCACTTCATTGGATGAAGTGGTATCTCGTCCATGGAAGGTTATGCCACCATAAATCTATCGCGTCTTGTGGCACCTCTAAAGACTGGTCTTTTGTCTCCACAAGGCACAACGTCCTCTGCCAGCAACCCCTTTCTGTCCTTCTCCCACTTCGGTCTCTCCTCAAAAGCCACTTCTTCAACAATTATATTTTATGTACAGTGGTACCTCGGGTTAAGAACTTAATTCGTTTTGGAGGTCCGTTCTTAACCTGAAACTGTTCTTAGCCTGAGGTACCACTTTAGCTAATGGGGCCTCCCACTGCCGCTGCCCCGCCACCACGCGATTTCTGTTCTCATCCTGAACCAAAGTTCTTAACCCAAGATACTATTTCTGGGTTAGCGGAGTCTGTAACCTGAAGCGTCTGTAACCTGAAGCATCTATAACCCAAGGTAAAGGGACCCCTGACCATTAGGTCCAGTCGTGACCGACTCTGGGGTTGCGGCGCTCATCTCGCTTTATTGGCCGAGGGAGCCGGCGTACAGCTTCCGGGTCATGTGGCCAGCATGACTAAGCCGCATCTGGCGAACCAGAGCAGCGCACAGAAACGCCGTTTACCTTTCTGCCGGAGCGGTACCTATTTATCTACTTGCACTTTGATGTGCTTTCGAACTGCTAGGTGGGCAGGAGCAGGGACCGAGCAACGGGAGCTCACCCCGTCGCAGGGATTCGAACCGCCGACCTTCTGATCAGCAAGCCCTAGGCTCTGTGGTTTAACCCACAGCGCCACATGCGTCCCTAGGTACCAAGGTACCACTGTATTAAATTTACATCCTGCCCTTCTTACTGGAGAAGCTCAGGGCAACAAACACAAAAAAGTTGCAATGTCACAATTAAGAATATATATTTTTTAACAAAAACTACTTTAAACGTTTAAAAGCACCTAAAAGCAACCACATTCCTCTCACCGCTAAGAAGTTCGTGGTTGCCATGGCCAGTATCTTTGAGCCAACAAACGGCTGGGTGAGCAGGAATGCTTTTAAATGAGGGAGGCAGAGACGTCTCACCAGGGAGGACATTCCACAAGCAGGGATTATTTTTCCACCTACTGTAAAATCCCAGGCTTTTTAAATACCTTCACCCCACCCCAGCCTAATGTATAGTGACAGCCGTTTGTTTAGAATTGTTGTTTTTTTAATATTGAATGTTAAGTTGCTGTGACCTGACCTGAAACCTTCTGGCAAATGGGCAAGTAAGAAATCAAAATAATAATAGTGTAAGGCTTTTTATCACCTGTAATGGCGTGCAGGACATCTTTTAGAGCAGGAGCAATGATGTCATCCGGCAGAATGGCGGGGTAAAGGAGGTGATAAGGAGGCTTTCAAGTTTTACTATTGTTTGTGATAGGTTAGCTGCTAGGGAGGCAGAGAGAGAGAAAGAAAAAGAAAGAAAGTCAGGGTTTGTTGGTACTTTTTTCTTTGTTCTTGATTCACCCTAGCAGTTTAAAAGGTGACATTTCTTTGCAGGAGTGTTTGCATTTCTAATTAAACACCAGGTTTAAATTTCAGCTGACTGGAGGTATTTTGTAAAAGCTCAATGTGTGTGGGGGGGGGTTGTTTTGTTTTTAAAAAAACAAGCTGGGATTTATTCTGTAAACAGGGAGGAGGTATTCAGCTAAGTTTTACTCGAAGTAGATCCATTGAAATGAATGGACATGGCTATGTTAGGTCCATGAATTCCAGTGGGTTTACTCTGAGTAAAACATAGCTGAATAACCCATATGTCTTGTTAGCTGATCCTTAAAAAAAGAGTATTATATTGTTAGTGGGAATAGATGGATATGGGCAGCTGGCTGGATTTTCTTTAGAGGTGTGGTTTTGGAACCCATCACGAAAAGCTCTTGCACTTTAAAGTTTACAATTTTGCTGCTGATTGCCTATTGATGTTTTGCATAGGGCTTAAAGCACCATTCCTTCTTAAACAGGTAGATAAGTAGTCATAATAGGAAAAGAAATGATAAGACATTCACTTTAAGCCTAGCCATGTAAGGCCTGTGGATCCACAGTCCTTATGTGGTCTAATGCTGGCATTCATATGAATGCAAAAAAAAAAAAGTTAACAGAAACAATTATATCTCTCTAAACCATGTGGATTGTCTGCTCCTTGTAGCCCCAGAAATTATATTTGTGTGTTTCCTGTGCAAGTGTGCTTCCTTCTGCTGGGATTGTGGGCTGCTGTTTGAGTCTGATTAACTTCTGTTTTCAAACGCTGGATATCTGGGACACAAGGAAGGGCTGTAGCTCAGCAACAGAACATCTGCTTTGCTTGCAGAAGGTCCCGGGTTCAGTCCCCAACATCTCCAGCTAAGGCTGGGAGAGGCCTCAAATTTTGGAGAGCTGCTGCCAGATGTTAAGGTGGGCACGTATTCAGCTAAATCAGGGTTTCAGCTAAACTTGGGTCACCAGCTGTTTTTGGACTACAACTCCCATCATCCCTGACCACTGGTCCTGCTAGCTAGGGATGATGGGAGTTGTAGTCCAAAAACAGCTGGAGACCCAGGTTTGAGACAACCTGAGCTAGATGCATCTAGGTTGGGTTCTGTATAAAAGACTGCTGTGTTCTTCAGTGCACTGGCAAGCAGAAAAGGCAACTGTGAGATATCCCTGAGATATATCCCTAAGGCATAGTGAAGTAGCCAGCATTGTGTAAGTCTGGAAGAGGTTGTGCAATGCCTTCCTTCCTGCAAAGGGAGGCAAAAAAACAGGATTACCGGTTAGATTTGCATAAGTCTACTGTTTATAATGTTGGGCGGTGTCCAACTAGACAGTTCCACTAGTCCATCCAAGGACTTGTCATGCTGTGCAACCCCTAAATATGTTCTTCCCACAACAGAGATGAAGGCAGGGAAGTTCCATTGCACAGTTGAAAGTCCTTGTGCCGGTGGAACTGTTTAATTGGATGCCACCCTTTGGGGGGGGAGTGCGAGTCGAGGAGATGCCAGGGGAGATTAGCTGTGTGCCTTTGCCGCCTGCCTGTCCCGATCACAAACCTTAAAATCTTTTCTCCGTCCCGAGACAACTTGTACAGCAGCGGAGGAAAAGAGAGACCGTCACTGTTTACACAACTCTGACATTAACGAAGCGCATTGTGCGAAAGTCAGTATCTCTTTACTGAGGTGCTATAGCATCTGTGTGAAGGGTCTAGGAAGTGACATGCTAACAACCCATGGACCAGGCACAAGGATAAGGCACAGACTGTTCCTGTTGCCTGTCTGCATGCACGCCGATGAAATACAGAATAGGTGCAGAAATACTCTCTGTGCTGAAAGTCCTGCCCTTTCTAAACCTTTTACAGAATTTTGCTGGCACTGAACTGCAGGAGGCAGATCCTCACCCCTGCACCCACCCACCTCTCTCTAAATCTCCAGTGTGTAGGAGTCAGCAGCCTTCCCCCACTTTGTATAAAACCAGAAATTGAAAAACTGTGCCTGTCATAGAATTTACATCAGAGGGGCTGCCCCAGCGACTTCAGCAAAGCTGCTATGGAAATCAGTGATTCACAGAATCTGAGCTCGGGTAGCACTGCTAGGGAACGGGGGTTTGGAGGAGATTAGCCAGGCTGCCGCTTCTCATTCATTCATTCATTCATTCATTCATCCTCTTTTCTCCCTCCCTCTTTTTCTGTAGGTGGACGCATCTGTTCCTTTTCCCCTTGCATCGAACAAGTGCAAAGGACCTGCCTGGCTTTGGAGGAGCACGGCTTTGCCGAATGTAACACTCTGGAGATCCTGCTGAGAGTGTACAACGTTCGGACAATCAGCTTGCCAGTCCCTGACCTTGGAAAAGGAATCGGGGGCAATGCCAGAGCGGAGTCTGACAAAGGCAGCCCATCCGATCAGGGTGCCTCTTCTGCTGGTCTCCAGCAGGGAAACGCACAGTTTAAAAGCGGTGTGCCACCAAGGGAGATGGTGGGTCACACTGGGTATTTGACCTTCGCTACCAAAAGCCTATTTTAGTTACTCGCGAAGCTAGTGGCCTCCTTGCTGCCTTCCCTCCTTCCCTCCCTCCCAATCAAGCATCCCAGGCTTTTTTTGCTCGTCGGGCAATTCCATATATAGTCAGACTGAGTAAGATTATGCTTTTGTTTAAATAGCACGCAGGAGCGCTAACCAGATCAGCCTTGCAGTACACTGTCCTTCTGGAACAGTGCTTGGCTGCCTGTCAGGTAGGAAGATGGATTAGCAGCTAATAGCTGTGGGATGGACTTTGCAAAGCAAAAGCCACTTACTGAGGTTGTTTGGGGTGGGGGGGTGGGGGTGGGTGTCAACAAGGTTTCTTTTTTCTTTCTGGAACCCCTGCATTGATTCTTCTCTCAACGAGGGTGTGCAATGGGGAGAATTTTTGCTTTCGGTTTTGTATTTGCCATTGGGAATCTATTTAATATTTGGATTTTTTAAAAATAAAATAAAAATGGTTTTGCCGTAGCCCCAGAATTGGCTAGCAGCCCCTGCAAAGAGAGTCTAAAAAGGCAGGCGGATGTGTGGATCCATATATACACATACATGCATACATAGGTGAACCACCCTGGAAAGAGCATCAAACCCAGTTTATTGTGGTTGCATGACGTGAGTGGGTCTCCCTTATCACAAAGATTCAAAGCGCAGGGCTAGCTTTTGAGGGGAGAAAGTTAGGCTGCAAGTCTTCACCCTGACATCTAATGCTGAATGGAGCTGGTGGTTTCCTATAGGAAGTGTCATTTAATCACATCCCTGCTTGCATCCCGAAATAATTCTGTTCAGGGACGGCTCTTCTACCTCTTCTGTGTGAGCAGAATCCTCAGCACAATCGCACATTCACTTGGTCCTGAATAAATGGCTAGATTTGCATCCTGCTTCCTCCCTGCCAAACAACAAGCAGCAAAAAAAAAACAAAACCTCCCTTATTCAATCTGTCCTGTATTGTAAGATGGTACTTGTATTTACAGATGTCCATTGCTGTAAACAGAACGAACCCTTCCCTGGTGTTCTTAACCAGCGTATAAGCACGTCACAATCCTGTCTTCCTAGGGCCTGGGTGAAATGCGAGCCACGAGGCAAATCTTTTTATCCATTCCATGCGCCGGCTGATTAATAGATATGCCTGAAAGTGCGAATCCGGTTTTGCCCTTTTCTTGACCAAAAATAAACATGGCTGAGCTTTCAATGGGTTACAGCCCCGGTGCTAATCTGTCACAGTTTAACAAAAGTTCCGCCAACCGCGGCGAGCAAAGATAGAACAGCTGAGCAGATTAAAAACCAGGAAAGCAAATCATCTGAGCTCGAAGCTGTTACGTAAGTGTTCCAGGGCTGCAGCTTTCCGCCGCCTCCGCCTCCTCCTCTTTGGAAGGATGTTAAAAGTCCTCTGTTATGCAGTGCTCGAAAGTACTTTTGAGGGAAAGCAGGGTAGAAGGTGCTACTGCTGCTGCATCATTAATGGGGTAGCTACAACCGCCTGCCTGCAAGCAAAGAGAGAACAGCAGGCATATGTAAACATCAGATCAACTGGGGAAGAGGAGGGGGAGCTGCTTAAACCTACAAAAGGAGAGGAAACAGAACCAAGGGAATGCCTCTGTCCTTAAGATGCTTGCACTCCAATCAGCACCGTATGTCCTTGGTTCAATATGCTTCTAGTGCAAAGCCAGAAAAGTGGAAGGGGACTTTTTCCAGACTCCCATTTGAACAACCTTATAGGGGTCTCATGCAGATGATGGGCTTGGCCAGAGGCAAAGTGGGCGGAGCAACGAATGTAAATTCTACCTTTGTGCAATAGGTTAGATGGGATGTTTTCCGAGGTTGACGAGCCGACGGCTAGGCGATATCTCGTTTTCAACATCGCAATATATCACCAGCTAAACATCCTGATACACTGATTTATCACAATGTCTGATATAAGGATAGAGCTATATAGGGGCACTGGCTGGATTCACGGTTTTTCCCGCATTGTGATTTTTGCATAGCACACACACACCCTGCATCATGATTTGCAATATTTTTGCCAGATCAAAAATTATGAAACCAGTAACACAATAGGGGCTTCAAACCAGTGTTGGAATGATATTTTGATATATTGCCCAGCCCTAGGTGAGCCGTGTCTACCCCTCTACAGCACACACAGAAAACTCCTCCTTGACCATTGGACCCACTATTGGTCTTGTCTGCTCAAGCTGCTAGAGCCTGTTTTCACATGCAGGGGAAGTCCCTAACCCACCGAAGGGTTGAGAACCATTGGCTGCCCTCACCTGGTTTAGCTGGCCAGTTGAAACTGTTTGCCAGGGTGTAGCTGCTGTCACATGCTGACAGCTTCTAGGAGCCACAGGTGAGAGCTGCGAACAGGGACCAAAGATGGATGAGCTACCCCAGAAGGAGCAGAACATGTCCCCCACCAGAGGTACCACCCCTCCCCTAACACCCCATATTCTGGATTCTAAGCCTCTGCTGCCTTGTGGGATCTCTTCAGGAGAAGAAAAGGCTTAGGAGTAAAAACCCTACACAGATCCAGAAGGGAGTCCCTAAGGTGGTTGGATGGTGCCTTGAACACCTTCTTCTGGCAACTACTGCAGCCAAGCTGGTGCCAAACGCCTTGCTCTGCTTTCCTTTGGTTTGCCAGGGGAAAGGGGGGGGTGTCGCATCATCTGGGCAGCCCAGGACCTCCAGACACACTGCCCAGGCTTGTGCCCTGGGGAAGTCCTTTGGGTGCTGCTAACACAATAGTTTGACTCCACCCCCAGAGGCACACTCCATTGTCTCTCAACACTCCATTGTCTCTCAGTACTCAATGCCAACAAGAGTAGGCTAAATTCTACACGGAGTCGGACCCTGCTCTCAACCCTCCATCCGGGCAAGCAAGAGGGATTATGTGAGTACAAGGACTCCTTCCAGTCCTGGCAAAAACGCTCAAAGGAAGGTGCAGATCAGGGCTGGGGAGGAGATGTGGCCATTGGGGAATCCCAAGGGCTGAACAGAGAGACCCGAGGGCTGCATCAGGCTCCCAGGCAAACTGAAATGAAATGTTGCAATCAACAGTGCGGCTGCGATTTAATTTTGGCTTATTTCATGTGGCGTTGGCCCGTTCATTCAGAAGTAAGTGGTGCTCAGTGGTGCTTGTCCTGAGAAAATGTGCACAGCGTTTGCAGCCTCAGCCAGTCTCATGAAGCCCCCCCACCCCCGCTGCTCCAGCGTTCGCTGCATTGCAGCGAGTTGGAAAGTGCTGTAACAGAGGGCTGTATTTTCTTCCCCTTTTGCCGCAGGACAGAACATCAAACATGCAATGCTATAAAAATGCCAAGCACTTTTCTTCACTGGTATTAAAAAGGAAGAGGAAGCAATAAAGGGACAGAGCAGGGATGGGTTCCCAAAAGTTGGAAACCCTAAAAGCACAGCGCTTTTTGCAGCTGGGTGGGTTAAGTTGCCTGGGCATAGCTTGCAGCAGCCTTTGGCAACCTGGCGCCCCCAGAGGTTTTGGATTACAGCTGCCCCTGTTGGAAATTGTGGTCCAAAGTATCTGTGGGCACCGGGTTGGTGAAGACAGGCTTATAGTGTCAATGCCTCTTAGGTTGTCCCTTGCTCCTGGTTAAAATGTTGCAGTCAAACTAAGGATTCACATCTCTGCCGTTATTCATTGCTGGTGCCCCATTCCTGGATTTCACAGGAGAGCGATGGAGGGTGCAGCCTGTTCCCTTTGGTAGCTGCCTTCTTCCTTGACTCGCTCGCCTAGGCAGGTGTGGGAGGGATGTCATTCCCTGCAGACAAGTCTCCGCGTGCCTGATTGAATTGCAAAGTGTCCTCCAGCATCCCTGGCGGAAAGGGAGAGCGCTGCTCCAAAGCCGCCGCTGGCAGTCTTGATGAAGACAATCTCTGCAGCTTGAGTCAAGCAAGACAAGCAAACAGAGAGATGGGAGATAGAGAGGGCTGCATGCATAAATTTTAAGAAGCGCCCTGTGGATCAGACCAAAGGCTTCGCTAGTCCAGCACCCTCTTCCCAGAGATGCCTGTGGGAAGCCCACAAACAGTCTGAAGTACAACACTCCATGTGTGAATCTCCATGTTAGGAGATTCAGGACCAATAAAAATCATTACTTTTCCAGCCAGTGCATAGCTAAAAGATATGAAACTCACTCCCATAGGTGGCAGTAATGGAACCGAGTTGGATGGTTTTAAAAGGGGATTGGACAACTGCATGGGGGAGAGGGCTATCGATGAATAACCATAGTTTAGAGGTACCTAAGGAAGTCAGACTATCCTCCACCAGGGCCAGGGCCTTCTCAGTGATGGCTCCAACCTGGTGGAATGCTCTGTCCCATGAGACTAGGGCCCTTCAAGATTTAACCTTCTTCCGTCGGGCCTGTAAGACAGAGCTATTCTGCCTGGCCTTCAATTTGAATTCAGCCTGATCTTTTATTTCCCTTCTCTTCCCTCCCCTTCCCTTTTTATGAAGATTGCCTGCTCTGAGACCCCACAGCTAATTCTCCCCTGGCCTCCTTGCTGGCCCAAGTAGGACTAATTCAGCCAGCTAGCCCTGGGGATTATCTAATGCTTATTAGATGGATTTCCCCTAAATTGATTTCTGAACTTTGAATTTTATTGTTATTCATGTTTTTATACTGTATTTTATGCTGCTTTTACAATTAAGTGTTTTAAATTTATTGTTAGCCACCCTGAGCCCAGTTTTTGAACCGGGAAGGGCGGGGTATAAAAAAAAAAAAAATATTATTATTATTTATTATCGATGGCTACTAGCCACGATGACTGTGCTCTGCCTCCACAGTTGGAGGCAGCGATGATTCTGGGTACCACTTGCTGGAAACCGCACGAGTGGGGCATCCTCTTGCCCTCAAGTCCTGTTTGCAGGTTTCCCACAGGTATCAGTTTTGACCACTGTGAGAACAGGAGGCTGGACTAGATGGGCCATTGGCCTGATCCAGCAGGCTCCTGTGCTCTTAAGATACATGCTTGTTGGAATGAATTCACAACAGATGAGTGGCAGGTGTCATATGAGAGGCGTCTCTTTTGGGGCAAGCCCCGAGAACTCTCTTTTATTGAATATTACAAACATTGCCACAGGTGTGCTTGTGGCTGATTGGTTGATACAAACACAAAGCAACTTGTTGCTGATTGGTTAACATAAGTACAAGGCGGGAATTACATATAAACATTAATCACCGATAGATTAAAGGCTGGGAAACGGAGCTGGAACTAGACAGGCATGAAACCTCCTAATTAAATTATAACTAAAGATTGATATAGCATGACTAAAACAATTACTAATGATTGATCATAACATGAAAGAATATAATAATCGAGTTCCGTAGATGTGGTCAGCTATGCATTAAGAACAGGTCATATTGTTTGTTCATGAACTTAAGATGAACTGAGCAATGAAGGAATGTCTTGGTATTTGGAACAGGTTTGTACAGTGTGTGCAGAAACAGAGAAAAGATTATAAGCGAGACTTCCCAGAATGCAAGAGAAAAGAAGCAATACTTCTCCCATAATGCCACAGTTATGTGCAGAAAGAGAACTTCCCTTTACATGCTTTTCATCCGTTCAAGCCCAGCACATGTTTTCTACACCAAGGCATTCTGGGGTGTCCTTTAGATCTTCAGAGCTGGCAGATATGCCCGGCTCTTCTGACGTGATTTGGGGACGTGGAGCAGCACACCCACCTCTGCAGCTGCTCCAACAGCCTGGCTTCGAAGATGTCAATGTGTGGGAAGCACTGACCTCACTCTCGTCGTTTCTGTAGTTCTTTTGCATGCACAAAGGTCTTGCACTTCTTACCTTATAAGAACATGTGGTTTTAAGAACTGGCTTGCAGGATCTCTGACCAAGGGACCATCAGGTTCTACATTTGGGTTCCATTAATGGTCAGCAAGGTGCTCCTTATCTCCATAGAGAGCCCTCTTCACTCTGCAAAATAAAGTTCAGGAAAAGCTATCCTACGGTCTATTAATGAGGCTGGTTAATAATGTAAGAATCTGCACACATTGACATAGCATTGCTTTTGAGGAAGGGCCCACAGAGCTCTGTCTCTTGACTGCTGGAAAAGCCACACGGAGATTTCAGCACATGCTACTTACATACTTTCAAGCCTATCTTTACAGTCTTAAGGACCAGAAACTTGTGTTTCTAAAATGGGGGGGGGGAGAGAAGACTTAACGGCACTACAGAAGCCTCATGTATTTCTAGAACACAGATATGAAAAGATTTTAAAACTTTTCAAAGAGTAAGTCTATGGACTGTGGCCCATATACAATTGCAGGCGGTGTCTATCACATCAGTATATTCTAAAATATCTCAACAATGGTGCACAGAAAAATGTATTCTGAAATACCTAGCTGTGCCGACTCAAATTCCCACTGCACCACACTGTGTGTCTTCATTTCCATGTTGTGAAGCACATAGGATTGCTTGGTTGTTATTGTACAGTCTATTGGTCAGGGGCCATAGGACTTACTTTTTGTAACGCTGCTGAAACATTTTCATACCTGTTACAGAAATGCATGCAGTTTATTTGGTACCTTGACTCTGTCTATCCTTTTGCATCTATTCATTGGTCATGGACTATATTATTTAGGTTTGATTTCATTGTCTAAACCGCAAGGTTCCCATCTTAGTGGAGGACCACCACTCGTTGGTAGAAAACATGCTTTGCTTGCAGAAAGTCTCAGGTTCCGTGCTTGTCATCTCCAGTTAAAGGAAATTGAGGTAGCAAGTGATGGGAAAAGGCCTTTGTCTGCCTGAGATTTTGAAGATCTGTTGCCTTTCGGAATATACAATAACAGACTTGATGGACAGATAGCCTGACTGGGTAAGGCAGCTTCCTGCAATTATAGCTAAAAACCATGACTAGCATTGTCCTTTATTCATTTATCTTCCTATTTTTTAAAAAAGCCATCAGCTAGTGACCGGCACTGTAGAGAGCCATGTCTAAGCTTCTGCTGTGGCATCAGTTTCAGATGATGTGAGTCCTGATGCATCTGACCACATGCTTGGTAAGTCTGCCCTGGGCCCAGTTGCTGGCATTTATCTGTCTTGGGAGACAGTGCTCCTTTGGGGGTGAAGTCAAACTGTGGGATGGTTGCAGGGCTTGCCATGACCGCAGAGACTGATATGGGAGAGACATGTTTTGTTGCAGCTGGGGCAGATGAAGGCATCCGGTTGAGCTGCTGCAGATGTACCAGGACGTTTCTTCTCTCTGTGCTCCTCCCAGAAGTCATTCCCACTCGGGTCACATGGCCTGACTGTCTCCAGGCACTGCGGTTGTCTGCAAGGGATTCCCACATGACAGGGTTGATGTTGTCAGACTTCATGTCATGTTTGGAGACATCTCTAGGGCAGAGATGGTCTGCCAGTGGGCCTGGTGCCAGCTCCCCATAGGACATGTCCTCGGGGAGCCTGCCATCTTCCTTTCTGTGGACATAACCAAGCCAGTGTAGATGTTTCTGAGATAGGAGTGCAAACATGCTGGGAACATACTGAATCAAGCCATTGGTCCATCATCCACAATATTGTCTACACTGACTGGCAGTAGCTCTCCAGAGTTTTAGGCAGGGGAGGAGGAGCTGGGGGTTGAACATGAGACATTATGCATCCAAAGCACGCACTGAGCTACAACACTTCTGCAGTTTTCGATGCCACTGGCCATGGCAATCTGGAGCAGTTCTGTGATAGGAGTATTGGAAACACTATGATAATTCTGATCATATCTACATTGGGTGAGTGTTCATCAGCCCTTTGATGTCTACACTATGGTGTACTATAGGGTACCATTTTATCTCCAGTACTTTTTATCTTCTTATCTGGGGGTGGGATGCCATCAACATGACACCAATTTTTATTGATACATAAATTGTTCAGACTCTGGTGGGAGTCCCACCCATGGGAAAATGTGGCACGATCTAAAGTGATCAAATGAAACTTTTATTACAGGGGTGGCCAACTCCCAAGAGACTACGATCTACTCACAGAGTTAAAAACTGGCAGTGATCTATCCCCTTTTTGGGGGGGTTGGGTCAAAGTTGCTGAGTTTTTTCAGGGTGAAGGTAAAATTTTGAGCTTTTTTTAGGGGAGCCACAGTTGTTCAGCTTCTTTGGAGGGAGCCAATGATCTACCAGTGATCTACCGTGGACATCCAGTGATCACGATCTACCTGTTGGACATGCCTGTATTGCACAGCATGACAAAAAACTGTAATTTTATTAGGACAGGGTATTTGTTGTTTACTGTTGCAACAATTATGTTCTCAAAACATATCATCTGTACCATCAAAAATAAATAAAAACATTATGCTGGTGACACTCGGCTCTTCCTCTCTGTTGCATCTGAATCAGAATCAATTTGGGACTTCACATGCCCAAACTGGAGAGGCAGGTGAGTGGAAAGACATGCCTTCCAAGCACAGATTCCCTCCCCATTTTCATTTTAAAGCAATGCTTCCACTTATAAATTTATTCCATATATATATTGATTGTTTTCCAGGCCTGCCATGGCCTACCTAGGACGAAAAGAGTAGTCTTTTAATTTTGCAAGCTGATGAACAGCAAGAGCTGACAACCTGTGATTAATCACCTCTAGGACCTGGATGGGAAGCAATTTGTTGTATGCTGTGAATGATTTATACAAGGAGACAAGCAATTCCTCCCAGCTGCAGAGGAAGACTGGCACTGCCAAATTATAAAGAGCTTCACAGGTACGAGACATACACGCCTGTGGATGTTACAGAGCCATCTCCCTGGGGTGCTGCCGGGTGCTATTCAGTTCCTGATGCTATTTAATAGCTATGTGAAGCCGCTGGAACAGTCATCAGGAGTTTGGGCAGCAAGGTGCCACCAGAATGCTAGTGACACTCAGCTATAGTTCTCCAGGCAATCTGAATCAAGAGAGGCTGGTGAAGATGAAATCATTTTAATATTTCTTGTAAACTGCTTAGAGGTTTTATTTATTTACGTATTAAAAATATATGGCACTGCATCGTTAAAAATATATCACAGCAGTTTGCAGCAATATAAAAAACATGAAACCTAACCAAAACATTAAAAGCTAAAAACTAGTTTCATTGCAATCAAACAGTAATATAACGCCAAGGCTGCAGGTTCGATCCCCCTAAGGGACAGCTGCATATTCCTGCATTGCAGGGAGTTGGACTAGATCAGAGCTTCCCAAACTTGGGTTTCTTAGCAGCTGTTGGACTACAACTCCCATCATCCCTGGCTAGCAAGACCAGCAGTCAGGGATGATGGGAATTGTAGTCCCAAAACAGCTGGAGACCTAAGTTTGGGAAAGCCTGGACTAGATGATTCTCAGGGTCCCCCTTCCAAATCTATGATTCTATGAAATAAATGTAAGAAGAGTTTTTCTGGATCAGGCCAATGGTTCATCTTAATCCAGAATCTTGTTCTCACTGTGACCAGCCAGATACTCCAACGGGAAGCTGAAAAGCAGGACCCGATGAGCACAAAATCACTCTTATCTACTTGTGGTTTCCTGAAACTGTTGCTCAGAGGCACACAACAGTGTAGGTGGAACAGCGGAGGCAGAACTTTCTGCACCTTTATTTATGTAATTTAAGCAATTTATCTCAGCAGCCAGGAGCAACATAGCCAGACACTGGAGAGACCTGTCAGGCGTAAGCATGGACCAATGATACCAAATAGTATGGGAAACAGCCTTATTAGAAAAACTAACCCAAAAA